AATCCCCGACTGGCCGAGCGCACTGCAACTTCATGCAGCTTTTCCATCATGGGTCCATAACCATTATCCCGGCTCTTTACGCGAAGAGCTTCAGGCCACTACCGTGCTTGCCAATCTCGCACACCTCGCAGACCTTGCAGACGCTGCCCTTGTACTTGGTGTGGTACTTGGAACCGTCGAAGGCGCACTCCTCGTACGAGGTACCGCTATAAATAGGTGTGTGGCTTGCAGCGCAGATGTCAAACTCGGCAAACTGGTCAAACTCAATCTCGATCGCATCTGAGGGGTTGCGCTCGCACTGAGCCTTTGCTTTCTTGGCCTGCAGTTAAAAAAGAAAAAGTTAGTGAATTATACTTTGGGGCAAGTAAATGATTCGATACTCACGTTTTCGGTCAGCTTGCTGGAGCCGCCGTTGGCAATAATGCGATTGGCGAAGCTGAGGGCTGATCCATAGTTCTTGTTACGTATCGCTAGCTGCATCGCGTTGTGCAGGGCAAGCTGTCGGTGAGGAACCTCGATCTTGGGGATGGTGAAGTAGGCAGAAAGCTCCAGGCCGCGCTTGAGCTGTTCGCCCGTAGTGCCAAGCTGGCGGCGGCTGAGCTCAATCTCCATAGCCACAGCATACTCGCTGGCAGATGTGATGAGCTTCTTCGCTTCTGCCACCTCGCTTTCGCTGGACACAGCATTGATGAGGATGGAGTGTAGGATACCCTTGAAGATCTTGAGACCGTCCTCGAGCTTGTTCGTCTTCATAGAGTTGTAACCCTGTTGAAGGTCGTTGGTAGCCAAGAACTCGAGGTCACGAGGCACGACTGGCAACACCTTTCTAGGGTCCGTCTCCTCAACCGTGCGCCGCACGTAGTTGACCAATGGAGGGAGGTTAGCAGAGGCCGGGAGATATGTTTTTGATGCCTGGTAGACCTCAAGGAAACGAGGCTTCAACGGTGCAAAGTTGACGGCTCCCACTTGTCTGTTGAGCAGCTGCATTGCTGACTCGAATGAGCCGCCAGCAACGTGATCCACGGCGAGAGGGGAGTTACGAGCCCAGAGGTCGGCCTCGCTGCTGCCAGCGCCCCCGGCCTCCGTTCTGTCAACATTGACGAAGTCGCCTTCAATCTCAGGAACGTCGTCGTCGCCCAAATCCCAGCCTGCGGCGTCCTCCTCGTCATCGGCATCGATCAGGTTGCCATTCTTCTTGGCGGCACCGTCATCTTCGGCAGCATCTTCGAAGCCGTTGGCAGCTGCGGGCTCGTCCTCCAAAGAAAGACCCTCGACCTGGCCAAGCAGAGCCTTCTCAAAGACCGACTGCGACGTGGCCTTTGTAGGCCAATTGGCCTTGTATGTAGGCACAACCGGCTTTGGGGGTGTCAGAGCTTCGCCGATAGTGGGAGTCTCCAGCTGGTCTTCCGTGAGGCCGGTAGCCTCAAGAATAGCTTGGCACTCCTCATCCAAGCCGTGAGACTTGGCCGTCATATACGCCAACGGGTCTAAATACGTTAGCTGAGATAACCAGCACTCCGAGCGGCTTGAACTTACAGAGGTCAATCTCCTTGAACATCTGGATCCGGTCCTCCACCTCGCCGAGGTAAAGAGCATTCTGGAATCTCGCGGTGAAATCGCCACGGTGCTCGGCGATCTTGGCCATACGAGCCAGCTTGGAGTGATCACCGGTGGACAGGTACAAGAAGGAAAGCTTGTCAAACTGCTTCAGCTTCTGGTAGGCCATCTCCACAACTTGGTGGTTGCCATGGGCCAAGGCTTCCGCGCTCAGTCTCTGCCACAGCTTGGGGCGGTCCAACTCCTTAGCCATCTCAACGGCAACATCGAGGTTACCGCATTCGATGGCGAGCTCGAACCGGGTTGTGGGATCCTGCACGAATTGCAGAGCAATTTCAGGGTAGCCCTTCTTCTGAAGGTAAGAGATGATGGATTGGCCGACAAGACTGGAGTTCTGGATGATGTGCAGCATCTCCTCGTAGTTTCGCTTGACGAGCGCAAGCTTGAATCGGTACTCAGTCGGATCAACGTGAAGAACCTTGGGCTTCGCCGCTCGGTCAAGGCAGTATACATTGCGGCCCTTGACGCGGACCAAGTAGACAGTCTGATCCAGAGTGCGAACGATGCCATTGTCGCCGTTGAGCAGGGTGTACTTGATGTGGTTGAGGGTCGAGTACAGCAGAACACCAGCATCATCCCAGGTGGCGCTCTTGATGCGGATGGTCTCGTGTAGAGTGCTGACCTGCTCAAGAGTCTTTGTCACAATGGTTACATTGTGCTTGCTCAGGAGCGCCGCGTAAAGGCCATCATTGGACCACACCACGTACTTCACGCCGGTGACCGCGAGCTCGGCGACGCTCTTCTTCTGCTGGATGTCGTAGAGATGAACAGAGGTCGGAGTAATGATGAGGAGGTTACCAGTACCGCCGAAGTAGATATCGCTTGTTCCGACAGGGGGCTTGAAAGATCGGGTCGTGTTGTTGGACAGATCCTTGATATCGATCGTCTGGCTCGAGGTGTTCAAAACGGCAAAGCGGTTGCGCGCGACGAAGATGGCCGAGTTGCCCTGACCACGCTTTGATTCAGTAGGCTCGATTCCGCCGGATCCATCACGAGGGAGGTTGATCAACTCATAAGAGCCGTTGTCGGAGGGCGACGTGACGAGTACGGAGCGTTCAGCAGGGTTGTAGGAAAGAGTTCGCGGCGGGGTCCAGGGGCTGCCAAGCTTCTTGAGCGACAGGAGAGTTGGGCTCTCAATGCTCTTCTGGAAGTCGTACGACTTGACGTGCTTCTCCTTGGTGATGTAAAAGAGATTGTTCTGGTATACCGAAGACGCCGGCCTCTCTCTCTCCAACTTGAAGACCATGACGCCGTTGTCGTGGCCAGCGGCGAACAAGTTGATCTCGGGGTGGGCCGCGATAACCCAGAACCGATCGTTCTCGCGCTTGAAGGATTGCACGGCGGTGCGCTTGTTGAGGTCCCAGACACGGATGGTCTTATCTTCGCCGACAGAGAGGATCAAGTCCTGGTGGGGGTGGAACAAGCAGCCAGATGAGTTCTGGAAGTGTCCTCTGCAAGTGTCAACCTCCCAGGCCTTCGTTTCGCTCATGCGCCAGAGCTTGACGAGTCTGTCATCGCCAGCAGAAACGATGAGAGGCATGGTAGGATGAAACGCTACCCAGTTCACACCACGGTCATGGCCTTCCAAAACAAACTTGACAACGGCGTCGGTGTTGCCAAACATATCAGCCTGGTTTTGGTTCGAACGCGCAACCTGATCTTCGAAGGTCATCGATGTCGGGGCCGAGTGCTTCTTGCGCAAGCCGGAAATATCCCAGACACGGACAGACTGGTCGAGGGAGGCGGAGACGACGAGGTCATCCTTGGGGTGGAACTGAGCGCACATGGCGTAGTGGTTGTGTCCTGTCATGGTGCAGACTGGGAGGCAAGGTCAGTCAGTCGGAGTGCGCATTCACGGGCGGGCTAGGGAGGATTGGGCGCACTCAGAGAGCGGTTTTGCCAGTTCCATATCCTGATGGTCTGGTCGTCGGAAGCCGACAAGATCCATGGCAGCTCGTGATGGAAGAATACGGTGCGGACGTAGTCGAGATGGCCATTCAGGGTGAACAGGCACCGGCGGGTCTGGTAGGACCAGACCTTGATCTTGTAGTCGTCGCCTCCCGAGACGAAGAGGGGCTGCGTCTTGTGGAAGTCAATTCCTCGAACCGGGCCATCGTGTTCTTCGAATCGATCAATGAGTGTTCCCATGCGGTAGTCCCAGAGCTGGATAGTGGAGGAGTGAAGGGCGACGAGGATCCATGGTCTGGTAGCTATGCGTCAGCAAGGGGGCCACATGTCGAGATGGGCATCTGCGGTTTTGGATGGTCTGCTCTCACCTCTTGGGATGGAAGGCGATGCCCTTGGCGCGCGAGGACTTGGACTCGAACTGTATGCTGGGTGAGCTATCGAGTGGACACTGGGAGAGACTCGACTCAATGCGCCGAAGACAGGGCGGAAGCATAGCATACCTTGGTCAACATGCCCGAGGAGGCCTGCATTATGGCGGGGAGGTGAAGCCGGAGCTTCTAGCAACCAGCGAGGTAAAAACAGGCGGCACCTCTGATAAGAAGGGAAGATCAATTGCAAGCCAGCTTACCGACCACGAAAGGTTGCAGCTGGAATCGGGGAGAATGGTGACATTCACGGGTCACGAAAAGAGGGCGCGGTGAAGGGGTTGGATGCGTAGAAGTATCCGAAGCAAGCAAGCAAGCGACAAGGTAGAGAGATACGTAAAGGCCACTTCCTCGTCTCAGCGCCCCTAGTAACAATTCCGCTTCGTGGCCATCTGTAAAGTGTGGGTTACGTTGTGGGCCCCAATGGCGTCGATTGACAGGAGCTCCCGCATCAGAGTTCCCCCGTTCTCCGGGTCCTCACCGCCCGATCCCATCCAGTCCTCCCTTGCAATGCCCGACTAGGGGTACCTAACCTAGGTACTTGGGTACGTACATCGTACGGATACTTAGGTCCTGTAGTTCCTGAGGGGGGCGCACTGCCGAAGCTGACATAAGCAAATGCCCCTCCAGTAGGCCCGTTTTCTGCCGTTCTTCCCCGTGCACCCAAGACCCCTGACGCGGGCGACGCTAGTCCTCTTTGATACAGCTTTTTTGTCAATGTGTTCAGAAGGCGGCGCGCGCGCGCGCACTTACACACCTGAAGTAGTTACATAGTCGAATTCTGGGACCCCTCCAAGCATTCTTACCCTAGGTGCCTCTAACAACCATGCGATAGAACACTACAGACACTCAGGCGCCCCTGCCTCTCTTTTTGACTCAAGGAAAATTCCAGAAGCGGCCTGCTTACCTCGTTTTGCTTCTTGAAACACTTCATCTTCGCCCAAAAGACCATACTATTTTCCACTTCCTTCATACCCCATTCATCGACTGAAAGCAACCGCGAAATTGGAGGACAGCCCTTGCGCCGGCCGTCGCAGAGCCTCCTTCGCCATGTTGCGCCTCTCCCGACTGCCAATGGGCCTTGCCCTGACGCTGTCGGCGGCCGTCAATGTCCTCGCCGTTCCCTCCGTTACCGTGGACATGAAGGCCGCCTTCCCGTCTGGCCCCTATCTTCTCGAGCTGCTGTAAGCAAACTGCCTGCTTTGTCCTGAATTCAACACCCTTTGCCCCTTCCTATCCGCTAACTTATGTCCTCTAGTGAGACTGCTGCGGGCGAAAACGCGACAGCCTATTTCCCCCTGCTCGACCGCATCGCCAACGGGTACTTTAGCGAAGCCAAGACAGACAAAGATGTCTACGACAAGTTCCTTCATGTCCTCAACGAGGATGGTCACGTCAACACTCCCGATGCTCTCTCTACTTTCAAGCTGGCTCTTTCCCTCAGGACCGCCGCGCCTCGGATCGAGGCTCACTACCAGTACTACCGAACCGCTGTTGAGCCCAAGCTCGGATCCGACGCCCAGGATGGCTGTGAAGCTTGGGTCGAGCTGGGAGGAAAGCAATACTGCGCTCCCACCCTGGATACTCCGAAAGAGCCCGAGTCGGCCTTGGACGGGTCAAAGGTCCTGCCCTTCGATCGAGTCCTGGGATCCGGCGGTGAGGCTATCCTGTACGCCGACCCAGCTTCGTCTGCTTTCGGCCCATTCCACAGTACCTTGGCGGAGAAAGCACGCAAAGGGGAGATCGAGTATCGTCTTCGCTACACGAAGCCTGCCGGTATCTATGAGGAGCCTCTGCCTGTCAGCGGATACGGAGTCGAGCTCGCCCTGAAGCGAACCGACTACATCGTTATCGATGACCGTGAGGCGCAATCTGACGACTCGCAGAAGATTGCCAACGCCGGAGAGGTGCTTGACGCCGCCGAGGATGTGGCTGATTTGAAGCCTTTGGCAAAATCCGAACTTCAGGAGCTCGGTCTCAAGGCCGCGTCTTTCATCATGCAGAGCCAGGACCCCTTTGAGACTCTACTTCGACTTACGCAGGACTTTCCCAAGTTTTCGACCTCAATTGCTGCTCATAACGTCTCTACGAATTTCCTTGCCGAGCACCAGCTGAACCGCCAGCAACTAGTTCCCAGCGGCATGAACGTGCTCTGGATGAACGGCGTGCAGCTCATCGAGCGCCAGATTGAGGCCTTCACCATCATTGACCTGCTTCGCCGCGAACGCAAGCTCATTGACGGTGTCCGCGATCTCGGCTTCACTGGGGGCCAAGCGGTGTCTCTCCTTGGTCATCCCAAGGTTGCTGAGTCCAAAGCCGATGACGAGCCGCCGCGCTTCGACTGGACGGACGACGAGGAGAAAGAAGAAGTAATCATGTTCCTCAACGATCTTGAAAAGGACGAGAGATATAAGGATTTCCCTAGCCAGTTGACGGCGGTAAGTGCTGTATAGTACTCCTACTCACGACCGGCTTGTTAATTTATCCCAGCTTCTCCAGCGCGTTTACCCCGGTCAGCTGCCTCCCATCAGGCGAGACATTTTCAATCTTATCGTCCCCGTGGACTTCTCCAAGATCGAGGACCTCAATGTGGTGGCTCAGCTCAACACTTTCATACAGCGAAAGGTCCCGATTCGGTTCGGTCTGGTCCCTTTGACACCCACCGAGGATGCTGCCAAGATCACGAAGGTTCTGTACTACCTTCTGGACAACTACGGCTTGGAGGTGTTCATCGAGTATCTGGATGCCGCCATGCAGGACGCCAAGACGGAGAAACCGGATCAGAGCGTCTTCGAAAAGGCAATCAAGGATCGCGAACCGCTTCCGACTGCCAAACTGCTTGCTTTCGACGATGTGTTGCAATCTCAGGAGCTCCACAACGTGTTGGAGCTGGCCCGGAGCTGGGTAAAGAGACTGAACGCGAACACCCCCATCCCGCCTGTGTTCATCAACGGGATTCCCGTCCCTCGCGAGAACAACTGGCTGCAGGCTATGAGTATGAAGGCTAGCAGTGATTTGCAAACCATCCAGCGAGCTGTCTACTTTGGTGCGATTACTGAGGAAGTCTGGTTTCCCGATTTCTTCCTCGAGAAGGCCGTCAAACGCCGAAACACCTACATTTACCCAGAAGATGACAAGTCTATTAAGATTCTGGACGTCAACAAGATATACACTGAACATGACGGCCTCTTTAGCAATATCCCCGCCATTGAGGCGTACGCCGACTCTACCAAAGAGAACTGGGCGGTCCTGACTATTGTAGGCGATTTCGTTTCCGATCAAGGGGCCAGTCTTCTCCTTACAGCTTTGGCGTTCCGCCGAAGCAACCCTGGCGTTCGTTTGGATATCGTCTACAACCCGCCCACATCTGCTTCAGCATCCGCCGTCAACACGGCACTGAAAAATAGTGGGGACAAGCTTGCCGAAGTCGAGTCTATATCTGATCTCAAGGCCATTTTCGACAGCGCCGCTGTTGAACCAGATGGAATGTTCACAGCAGCTCTCAGCAAATTTCTGTCTTTCGCTGCCATCAAGCCGGGTTCCAACCTTGTTATCCTTAACGGGCGGGTGATCGGGCCCTTTACCGAAGCTGAGCCTTTTCAAGGTGATGATTTCCAGTTCCTCCTGGAATTCGAACAGAAGGCCCGCATCTTGCCCGTTTACGCAGCGGTCGATGATCTTGGACTGACTGACAAGATATCCGGGCCGCTGGCGGCTGCTAAGATCACGTCGGTCACAGCACTTTCGACCATTTCTGATTTGCCTGCCGATATCTTCGAATCTGCACCGTCTATGCGCGTCAGCGCCCATGACCAGTGGAACTCTACCTACACCGCTATTGAGATTGGAAACCCAGAGACCTCAAGCGTCCACATAGTCGGTGTTTTGAACCCTGCTAGTGAGCAGGCACAGCGATGGGCGCCGATTCTGAAGGTTGTATCCAAGCTGGACGGAGTCTACCTGAAGCTCTTCCTCAACCCCCAGGAAAAGATTGACGAGTTGCCCGTCAAGAGATTCTTCCGATATGTCCTAGAGTCTGAGCCGAGCTTCGATGAGGCTGGCAAGGTGCGGGGACTCGAGGCATCTTTCAAGGGCCTGCCCTCCGAGGCCCTTCTCAATGCCGGCATGGATGTTCCTCCGTCGTGGCTGGTGGCGCCCAAGGTCTCGGTCCATGATCCAGACAACATCAAGCTGAGCTCCATCAAGTCTAACGTGTACGCATCCTACGAGCTTGAGAGCATTCTGATTGAAGGACATTCGCGCGAGGGCGGGCAGTCTCAGCCCCCGCGTGGTGCCCAGCTTGTCCTGGGCACCGAGAAGGAGCCCCATTTCGCGGACACCATCATCATGGCCAACCTTGGATACTTCCAGTTCAAGGCTAGCCCGGGCTTCTACAACATTCAGCTCAAATCGGGAAGAAGCTCGGAGATTTATACCATTGACAGTATCGGCGCAAAGGGATGGAATCCCGTACCAGGTGATGAAGGTACCGAGGTCGTACTCATGGACTTCCAAGGCACGACGCTGTATCCCCGTCTGTCGCGCAAGCCAGGCCAGGAGGAAGCCGACGTCCTGGCGGAGCCTGAAGACAACAGCATTGTTGGCCGTGGTCTCAAGTTCGCCGAAGGCATTCTGGGCAAGAAGAAGTCGGCATCTGATGAGGAGCACGCCGAGATCAACATCTTCTCCGTCGCCAGTGGCCACCTCTACGAGCGCATGCTAAACATCATGATGGTCAGCGTCATGAAGAACACCAAGCACACGGTCAAGTTCTGGTTCATTGAGCAGTTCCTCTCGCCGTCGTTCAAGGATTTCATCCCGCACATGGCCAAGGAATACGGTTTCAAGTACGAGATGGTGACCTTCAAGTGGCCTCACTGGTTGCGTCAGCAGAAGGAGAAGCAGCGCGAGATCTGGGGCTACAAGATCCTCTTCCTCGACGTGCTCTTCCCGCTGTCCCTGGACAAGGTCATCTTCGTCGATGCCGATCAGATTGTCCGCACCGACATGATTAGCCTTGTCAACCACGACCTCGAGGGCAAGCCGTACGGCTTCACGCCCATGTGCGATTCCCGCACCGAGATGGAGGGCTTCCGCTTCTGGAAGCAGGGCTACTGGGCCAACTACCTCCGTGGCCAGCCGTACCACATCTCAGCGCTGTACGTCGTTGACCTGCGCCGCTTCCGCGAGCTCGCCGCCGGCGACCGCCTGCGGCAGACGTACCACTCTCTCAGCGCCGACCCCAACAGTCTGGCCAACCTAGACCAGGATCTGCCCAACCACATGCAGTTCCAGATCCCCATTCACAGTCTGCCGCAGGAGTGGCTGTGGTGCGAGACGTGGTGCTCCGACGAGAGCCAAAAGGACGCAAAGACGATCGATCTCTGCAACAACCCGCAGACCAAGGAGCCCAAGCTCGACCGCGCGCGTCGCCAGGTGCCCGAGTGGAGCGTCTACGACAACGAGATCGCCGCTCTCGACCGCAAGCGCAAGGGCCTGCTCGTTGAAGCACCCAAGAAGGAGGAGACCAAGGCCGGCGGCGGGGGTGAGGGCGAGCAGCAGAAGCCCGTCATCGCCGAGGAGGACAAGAACACCAAGAGCCGCAACTGGGAGGAGCCCCCTGCGGAAAATACGCATGTCATAGATGAGCTATAGACGTCTAGAGACGGCGGCGGGTAGCTAGTCGGTCTGGCTTCTTGCGTAGTCTTATAGTATCTTAGATCAGGAAAGAAGAATTCAGAATCGATGATTTCTTTTATTTTATTTTCCTTTTCTTTCCGATTTGAGTGGAACGTGAGACCATACATACATACATCGAACCTCTCAAAAAAGAAAAGAAAAGAAAGAACGTTCAGCAGGCAATGTGACGTCTGTAGCTAGAAACCATTTATTTGCGCCGACGTCTGACGACGTCCAGCCTTGAAAGCAAACTTGGCGTCCTATGCGCGCCCCCAACGCCGTCGCCATCTGGATTCATTTCAACTCCAAAACACGCTTCTACCGGCTCTTTCTGAAGAAACAAACGCCCCATGCGCCCCATGAGTCGTGATGCAAAAGCAAACAAAAGCTCTTTCCCCTCCGTCTAATGCGAAATATATTGGAACACCGCCGACACCTCAGGCTCGCCACACTCCTGCCGTAGCAGCAGGTCCTGGATCGGCTTCAATCCCTCGTTGACGAAATGATTCCACGTGCTCGTGTCGCCGTACAGCATGGCGGGCGATTTGATATACTGCCTTCCATCGGGCTTGCACCGCTTACACTTGAACGTATCGTGCGTATCAGAGTTCGTTCCAGGGCGGTACTGGAACAACTCGCGCAGGCTGTCGAGCGAGAAGTGACGCTCGACGTCTTCGGCCGAGTCGACGACGCAACTGGAAAGGGACTGCTTGTGAGACTGACGCTGGAAGATCTTCTCCTCGATCGTTCCGGTAGCGATGAAGCGGTAGACGAAACAGTCCTTCTTCTGGCCGTCACGCCAGACACGAGCGAGAGCCTGCTGGTCAGCGGCGGGGTTCCAGTCGGGGTCAAACAGGACTAAGCGATTGGCGCCGATGAGATTGAGACCACAGCCACCAGCCTTGGAACTGAGGAGGAAGACAAACTCCTCTCCGTCGGGGTTATTGAACTTGTCGACCAGCTTCTGGCGCTTGTTGACGTTCATGGTGCCGTCGAGACGCAGACAGCCGTACGCGCGGGAGCGACACAGCTTCTCGAACAAGTCCAGAGTCTGTGTGTAGTTACTGATAAGGACAATCTTGTCGTTCGTGTCCTGACGGATGCGTGCAAGCATGCGGTCGAGGACTTGCATCTTTCCCGAGTACCAAGGCTTGATATCCCTGTCTCGGCCACGCGCTTCTTTGGGAACGTAGTCGTCAGGGTAGCAGTTTTCTGAACCGGGCAAGTCGTCCGCAATGTTGAGTAGGTCCGGGTGGTTGCAGAGCTTCTTGAGGATATTGATGGCCTTGAGAGGCTGACTGCCCTTGCCGCGAAGAAGGGCCTGAATCTCGGGACTGGTGATGAAGTAGTTGTACAGATCGAGCTGGAATGGTGCGAGGTTGCAGAAGACGACATGCTCATACTTGACAGGCAGATACTTTGACAAGATGTCGTTGGTGCGTCGAATGATGAACTTGTTGACAATGCCCAGCAGCTCGGATAAGCACTCATCGCCCTTCTTCCTGTCGATCTCGGACGCATCGGCGTCGCGACCCCGTAGAATGGGAAGCTCGAATCGCTTACGGAACTCCAGGCGAGTACCTAGCAGGTCGGGGTTGGCGAAACTGATCAGGGCGAAGTATTCGGACAAGTCGTTCTGAATGGGTGTTCCGGACAGGATGACGCGTCGTGTGACGTTGAGGCTGTTGAGCGCATTGAACGTTTGGCTGTCTCCGTTCTTGAGACGATGTCCCTCATCGCAAAGCATGAGACCAATCTTGGTGTGTTTGAGCTCCTCGACATTGAGACGGAGGGTCTCGTAGGACACAATGATGACTGGCCGGGTGACTGACCTGCCGCTAGCAATAGCCCATTGGCGCAGCTGGCGCGTCAATTCCTCCTTTGACGCCTTTCCGTCGATTGCGAAGGGCGTGATGGCGTCGGCGCCTAACCATTTCACCAGCTCGTTGGCCCAATTGCGGACCAGACTGGAAGGGCACGCGACGATGGCCTTCTGAATGGTGCTTTTGCCGGCTTCCGGGGACTGCTTGAGGAGAGTCCAAAGCAGGGTGATGCACTGAAGCGTCTTGCCAAGACCCATTTCGTCGGCCATGATGCAGCCATTGGCCTTCTCCTCAATCATGCCCGTAACGCATCTGTACATGAACTTGACACCCTCGACTTGGTGTGGCCTGAGAACTTTGGCCAGTCTCGGATCGATGACAACGGGTACTCTGGGGTGATCTCCTTCAACCTTTTTCTTGATCCCGAGGATCTCGGCCAAGCTCTTGTGGACGAGAGGCGCATCAATCTTAGCCTCGGCCTCGGCATCCTTGTTGTCTTGCTTCTTTTCGGGGACCTTGGGCTTGTCGTCCACGGTCGGGTCGTAAAGCACAATGGAGAACTCGCCACTGGGGTCGTGCAATGGCTTCGCGATAAAAGTAGCACCGGTACGAAGGCCAAGGGTGGGAGGGGGGCGGTTGGGGTTGTATGCTGCGGAGTTTTTGTTGATCAGAGGTATCGAGAAGGCCTTGCGGAAGACTGTCGATTTGTCCTTTGCCTGGAAGACAGGAAACATGTTTGCATCGCGGTTGGAAAGAGCAAGCCGATCGGCGTTGGTGTAAGGCTTGTCGGCCTCGTTCTCGCCATCGGCACCCTTGTAATCAACCCTTCTCTTCTTACGGACCGGCCTGTCGGTTGAGACTGTTTTCGCTGCCGACCCGGGACACTTGAAGGGCTTGTATAGCTTGTCGACGGATTGGGGGGTCGAGAATCGCTTAACGGGAATGTTCTCCTTGTTGGCGACCGGAGTGGTGGCGACGCCTGCAGTCCTATGGAGGGGTCAGTGACTTGTGGTGAATTGAATGAAGAGTAGATCAAGAACGCGTACATGTTGAACAACAGCCGGGACTTTTGAAGGCCTGCAGGTGCAGAGTAAGCGACAACGCGGTGAAGCGTCGCAGTGAGCAGGGGGTGGTGGCGGACGAAGATGGATGGGAGAAACAACGATGAGGAGTCTTGGTCTGGGTTGTTGATCTGGGGAATTAAGAAAGCGCGACTCGACCCGCGTCGCCACTCAAACACGGTGTCACATGATCGCACGTGCATCAGGCACCAGCGTCCAATCAGACCAGCGGGGCGGTCGTTTGTAGTGGGGGCCGGTCCACTTAATTATCGCCCGCTAACGCTTTGATGGCTTATTACCAACTCAGAATGCAAACATGGTTGACTAATCGTATGCTGTATCTCCCCCCACAACACAACTTGACAACCTACACAATGATGACCCATGATGGATGGCCATGTGAAATGGGCCTGCAGTGAGTGGATCAACTCTAGATGCACCACCTTCTAAGCGCTACGGGGGTGGCCAAATGGAAATCTGTAAGAGTTGACCAATAGCGTACAATTCAGCCAAAAAGAAGTGCGTAAGAGCCAAAGTTGGTTCTGACCTAGCTTCAGTCCTAAAGATGCAGCTGATGGTTTCCTGGTGGTCATACGTGGCTCCCTAATTCTCAATGCTGAGAACACTGCTATTCTCGGGCCTGGGGACCGGTCCTTTAAAGTCAGTGGGTGCCTCTCCCCCCTACCCGGTGGCCCAGAACGAGCCATCAAAGGATTCTCTTTCGTAAAGAAACATGCCGTCTGACCGGGCGAGATTCCAGTATACTCGCTCCATCGGTAAGGAGACGATTCGTCTTGTACGTATCCTGGGCCACCGGGAGAACGAGAATGGCCCGTTGCGACTTGCACTCGAGGAATACGCCATCGCCAACCTTCCCGCATACCGGGCTCTGTCTTACACCTGGGGGCCTCCCGCATCCGACGAATCTCCAGAGGGCGACTTGGTGACAGTCCTCCTCGAGGACCACGACTTTGATGTGTTCTCGAACCTGCACGATGCGTTGCTCTGGATGCGAGCGCGCGGGTCATGCGACCTGTACTGGATCGACGCCATCAGCATCAACCAGGCCGACGACGTCGAGCGGGGTGTACAGGTCAGTATAATGGATCACATCTACAAGCTGGCGGTCCGGGTGGATATATGGCTTGGCACCGTGACCGAGGAGCACCGCCCGGCCGAGGTCTCGCGGTTGGTTCACACGATGGCCGCCAACGCCGGGAAGGAGTGTCTGTCTAAACCAGGGAAGCACGATTTCGACCCCGGTGCGCTGCGGAGATACGGTTTGCAGGACGTGCCTGACGCCGTCTGGTACGCATTCGTTGCCTTCTTTGACCGCAAGTGGTTCAGCCGCGTCTGGGTCGTCCAGGAGGTGGCCTTGTCCAAGGATGCGTGCGTCCTCTGGGGCGACGACGTGATACCTTGGGAGACGGTGGCCCTCTGCACGGATTTCTTGTTCGACAGCCATCTGTACGAACAGCTCTCGGAGGTTTTGTACGACAACAACCCCACGACCAAGGACGTCCATGTCGGCAGCAATTCGGCAGGCATCGTCTCGATCCAGAGGTGTGGCCACGACGCACTTGGGACGTGGGACAGCGTGACGCTGGATCACATCATTGGCGCATCAGGTAGCGGAAGCGGAGGTCGCACAGTCACGACGGGAGGGGCACTGCTCTTCCTCATGCTCCACTTGACCATCGGAGTCGAGGCGAGCGACCCCAGAGACCAGGTCTTCGGCCTCCTCGGTATTCTCAACTTGCTCCTGGACACGGGGGGACGGCCGAGGACAGGGCTAGAGCCCAATTACTGCAAAGATTCGACGGCCGTCAAGGTGTACACGGAAACGGCCATGTTCATCATGGAGGAGTGCGGCAACCTCGCGCTGCTGACGGGGGTGGCCGACGATGCGGACAGGCGGGTCAAGGGACTGCCATCATGGGTGCCGGATTTCTCGGCAAACGGACCGTCGATGTTCCTAGGGGTGCGGTGGCCGACCGGCGTACCCTACTTCAATGCCTGCGGGTCGGCGCGAGCAGACTACGGTGTGGTCGACGGCGGGCTCCTCCACGTCAGAGGATTCTGCGTCGGCACGGTTTCTCTCGTGGGCACGGTGTACTCGGAGCTCGCGGCCAGCGGAAGCTTCGCGCAGTGGGCCGACTTCTTGCTGCAATGCGACCCAGTGTACAAGCCCACGCGGCAGTGCCGCGTAGAAGCCTTCTGGCGGACGTTGATCGCGGACCGGGACGGGTCCAAGCACCCGGCGCCTAGTGACTTGCGAAAGGCGTTCCGGCACTGGATCACGGATCACGTGGTATGGGAAGTGTACTGCGGGTTGAAAAAGGGGGCGGATGTGGGAGAGTATGTCGGTCGATTGGAGAGCATTCGAAAGCTCGCGAGGTCGGATACCAGCAAGACGGTGCCGTCGTGCGACAAGATCATGGCATATGCCAAGCAGCTACAAGAGTGCGACGAGAAGGATGAAGTGGACAGTATGTTGGACAGTTTCAAGCATCGCTGCCAGGCCTACATCAACCTCGCATTCGAGACACTCTGGGAGAGGCGACCGTTTTTGACGGACAGTGGGTATCTCGGGCTCGGAGGCCGGTCGATGGAGGAGGGGGATGGTGTCTGGGTAGTGGCCGGATGCCCGTCGCCTCTCGTGATGCGTGAGGTGCCAGTTTCGTCCATCTCGGGACCATTTTGTTATCGATTGGTCGGAGAGGCATACCTGCATGGCATCATGCACGGGGAAGCGGTTGACGAGGATGTGCAGTGGGAGGACATCTGCATCCAATGAGGGTTAGTATGTATACTCTGTATATACTCTGTATGTGTGTGTGTGTGTGTGCGTATGTGTGTGTATATACGCTGTGTATCTCTTTGCCAAGTACCAGTAAAGCACAAGATAAATGTATGTGTACTGTGCTGGTCATTTGGGGATTTTGAAATCTCGAGAACCTCGCCTTTTGAGTCGACTGTGCCTCGGTGTGAGGAATACATACAGGTAGTAGTAGGTACACTCCGTATCTGTACCTACATACTGCATTGCACCATGAACTACCGTAAGCACTCGGCAGATTGAAGGTTAGCTAGTAGGTAGGCTAGCTAGTAGTAGCTAGTGAATAGCCTATAGTAGCTAGCGTATATCAAACGCACTAAGCTTGCTTGAGAAGGCGGTCAGAGTACTTACCAATCATCTCCTTCCTACCCACTGAGCTTGCTGCTTATGTAAGGACGAGCTCCTGCTTTTGCTGATACTAGATCCCTGTTCCTGCCAGCACACTATGCCCATCACGGCGGCCGCGATACCCCTTTCCGTTAGCCTATCTACTAGCTAACCTTCAATCTGTCGAGTGCTTACGGTACAGAGTACATACCTGTAGGTACGTACCTACCTATGTATACCTACCCAAGGAGGCAACTGCCCCATTCTCGGCAAAGGGTCGTACCTACTTGTTTGTACGGAGTACGGATACATGGTTCCCCAAATAGGTACCTACTATGTAAGGTATCAATTCCATTAGTGTATCCGTACAGTACAGTAGGTACGCAGGTACGTACATCGCAGGGGCGTCACCCATGGAACTCCCCTCAGTCATCCTGAACTTCCCCTCCTCCTCCTCCACCATTCCGCCGTCGGTTGGCCCACTCCCGTGCTCAATTGGCTTTCTAGCTGCACCGGAAAGCATCGAAACCAAATTCCACCCTCCCCACGTACGTCCAAAGTCTCAGAGCAGCAGATTCACATGTTCGTCCTGTTAACATTCGTTGTCCGCCCATAGCGCAGCTCAAAGAGTGGGACCCCCACCCCCCCCGCGGAACTTCCCCCTCCTCCCTCGGTCTGAACTGAACGCAACTCAACGGCGACACCATGTCCTCCTCCTCCTCCTCCTCCTCCTCCTCCTCCCTCTCCTCCGGAACCCCGCTCCTCCGTCCGCCCTCCGCCCGCACCCTCTGGATCGCCGACAACTGGACCTCCATCCTCGGCGGCACCGTCTTCGTCCACTTCGCACACTATCAGTATCTCACTCGCATCCGTACCCCGAACCCGAACCCCCTCAAGAATGCCCGCTTCTGGGCTCTAGCCGGCGGCGGATGGATGCTCTCCTACCTCAGCATCATCACGGGAATCGCCATCGCGCAGGCAAAGGCTAACCACTACCGCGATCCCGACACCCGTTCTCTCTACACCGACGACCCCTGATCTCCCACATACTGCCACTCACAACCATCTAATACTGCCCCTTATCATTCCCTACACCACCACATCTGCCCGCCATGTCCGCAGATTTCTGGGCCGGCTACATCTCCGGCGCCGTCGGCATCATCATCGGCAACCCCCTCGACCTGCTCAAAGTCCGTCTCCAAGCAAAAACTATCTCCCCCGCCGCCGCCGCCGCCGCCGCCGCCGCTTCCCCCACCCTCGCCGCCACCTCGTACCTGCGCCACTTTGAATCCCCCGCCTCTCTCGTCACCGGCTCCGCCGCCCCCATCCTCGGCTACGGCGCCCTCAACGCTCTCCTCTTCGTCTCCTACAACCGCACCGAGGCCGCCCTCAACCGCGCCCTCGACGTCCGCTCCAGCCTCTGGACCACCTGGCTCGCCGGCGCCGTCGGCGGCCTCGCCACCTGGGTCGTGAGCACCCCCACCGAGCTCGTCAAGTGCCGCGCACAGCTGTCCTCGCCCCCCGCCTCGAGCTGGGCTATTACCAGGGACGCCTGGCGCGCCGAGGGCCTGCGGGGCCTGTATTTCGGCGGCGCCGTCACTGCCTTGCGGGACAGCGTCGGCTACGGATTCTACTTCTGGTCCTACGAGCTCGCCACGCGTTGGATGGGCGTCGGCGGCGACGGCCTCAAGGAGACCAACATGCGGGACGAGGCCGCCAAGGTCCTCCTCTGTGGCGGCCTGGCCGGTATCGTCACCTGGGCTAGTATCTTCCCGCTCGATGTCATAAAGACCCGCGTACAGATGCAGGCCTTCAAGGCTCCGACGTCGGCCGAGGCCTCGCCCTTGCTTGGGGCACAGGGTTCGCAGCGGCAGCGGCAGCAATCACAGTCGCATAAGCGCGCGGGTGCTGTTCAGGTCGCCAAGGCGGCATACCGCGAGGGCGGCATGCGAGTCTTCTTCCGGGGCCTCACGATCTGCAGCGTGCGGGCTTTCGTCGTCAACGCGGTCCAGTGGGCTGTATACGAATGGGTCATGTATGAGATGGGCCAGGGCCGGAAACGGCCTGCTGCTGCTGCGGCTTCTCCTGCTGAGCCTGCGGGGCAAGTGCTCTGAGTGCCACGAGTGATGAGAGGCGGATTGAATCAAGGCTGGCAGGCGGCCCGAGGGCTTAGCGTCGACCCTTGAGGGTTTTTGAGGTTTCCATAGGGTGACCGCCCAATACACGCAGCTTGGGAATGTTGCCGAATACTCTCCGACCGTAGAGGCAACCAAAAGAGGGGAGGGGTTGAGTACACACACCGATATAACAAAAGATTGGGAAGATTTCGCGCATAAAGCATGAGGCGCCGCCAGGACAAGATGTCATTTCTCAGAGTTGCTAGACAAATACAAGCCTTCACAAGCACAATCAATCTACAACCTATACCGCAGCCATGGCTTCAACCGAGTCCCAAATCACGTCCCTTGCAGAAATTAACCGCGTCTTCTGGGAGTTTGTCGAACCTCTTGCCCAGGTCTCCCAGACCACCGTATGCCCGACTAATCCTTGAATCAGTGCGGTCGCCGACGCGTTCTTCGAACAAGACTGGCTCAAGGCCTTTGCCGAGCAGCTCGCCCGCTTCCTCGGCACCCAGGCCCCGAAACTGGGACTCCGGCCACGGGACCCGGCTAGCCCCGTCCGTCTCCTAGACTACGCCTGTGCATACGGGGGTGAGTCTTGGGTACGTGCCCTCACCTCCAACAGCCCCTCCCCCTCCCACCCCTTTTTCCGCAGGACTCTGTTGACATCTCCCCTGTGGATCGGCTAGGCCCTCGCCGCCTTCGTCGACGAGATCCTGGGCATCGACATCGCCCCCGCCATCGTAGGCCGCTTCAACGACTGCGCCGCTCAGCTGGGATACTCGCCTGCCCAGGCCCACGCCGTCGCGGGGGATCTGGCGACAGACGGGTCGTTAGCCGCCGAGGGGGGCTTCGATGTTGTCGTTATATCAATGGCACTGCACCACCTCGACGACCCAAAGGGAATGCTGGGCCTGCTTGCGCGGCGGCTGAGGCCCGGGGGTGTGCTGATTGCCGTGGAGGCCGTGGATGCCATGGAGGCAGCAGCGGATGTGGAAGATACGGAGGGCCACGAACAGTCCGAGCACGAGGTCCTCAAGACCACCAGCCGGCACGTCGTCTTCGACAAGAAGCTGTTCAAGGGATGGTTCGAGGCGGCTGGCTGCGGCGCGGGGGGTTTCGTGTATATCGAGAACGAGGAGGTTAGTCACATCCCGGAGAAGATTGCCGGGAGGCCTGGGGGGCTGGACAGGAGGATGGTCATCGCTGCTTCGGTGAAAAGCGGTTAGACCAGAGTCCCCGTTTGAACATCTGGGGGTGATAATAGTTCTTCTCAGGTGTCTCTTCCTCAGCATTGAGATTCGTTAGTAAACTCCTTTTAGCTATACGATAGCTATACAACCAAGCTTTCCTCTCCTTGGCTAGCTGACTGGCATGTGTGGGAATGCGAATCGATGGAAGAAACGATGCCAGTGAATTTGAACATGAGAAGAATAATGCCATGGAACAACCATCTTTCTAGCATCTCAAACCATGCAATAAATACTTGCTGCCCCAAAGAAGCGGACGAGTTACTCTTCCTGCCATCATGACGGAATGCCCCCATCCCTCTCCCCCGCAGAGGGATCTCTACCAGTTTCCTGATACGACCCGTGGGACTTTACCCAGTCCTCGGGAGATAACAATAAACCGTCTAGTTTTAAGTCCCGGATTACGTACACTTTTCGCAGTCTGAGTCGTCCGAGCGCACGTTATCGGCAACTTTTCTCGGAGACTTTTTGCATCGCCCGAGCGGGCAGCCCCACATCGGGCCCGATCATCTCGGCAACTTTCACATGGCCTCGGTGCTCTTCGACTCAGGCCTGTACCGCAACGCCCGCGCGGCCCACATGTACAACGTGCTCGGCTTCGACCACGTCCCGCCCGCCGCCTTCCGCGCCAAGGCCAGGGAGGACATCAAGGCCCGGTACGCCGAGAGCGTCACCTTTGCCGACGTCGAGGTCCTGCAGGCGTCCAAGGTCGGGGAGGGCCTCTTCAGGGCGGAGGACGCGCGGGGGCGGGCGTGGTTCGGCAGGCGTATGGTGCTGGCCACCGGCGTCACGGACGTGATGCCCGACATCCCCGGTTACGCCGACTGTTGGGGACGCGGCATATTCCACTGCCTCTTCTGCCACGGCTTCGAGGAGCGCGGGGCGGAGAGGGTCGGTGTCCTGGTGTCAGGCATGGTAGGGAACCTTAAGATGGCGACGCACATTGCGCATATGGCGCGTCCCCTGGGGAAGCATGTGACGATCTATACGGATGGGAACTCGTCTCTGGCCTCGGAGATTTCAGCACTGGCCAACAACCCCTTCGCAGTCGACGTCCGCAAGATCACGAAGATGCGCATGGCCGGCGGCGACAACAGAGTGCACCGCACCAGCGTCGCGCTCACCTTGGAGGGTAGCGACGACGAGGTCGCGGAGGGATTCCTCGCCCACGGGCCCTTCACAAAGGTCAACGGCCCTTTTGCGGAGCAGCTGGGGCTGGAGATGGCAGAGAACGGGGACATCAAGACGACGCCGCCGTTTGGCGAAACGAGCGTTGCCGGGGTGTATGCCGCCGGAGACTGCGCAAGCATGCTTAAATCCGTCTCGTCTGCAACCACAAGCGGTGTGCTTTGTGCGGGTGGAATGGTGGTGCCGCTGCAGTCGGAGCCAAGGGCTGAGTTGGATGTTGAGGCGGTCGAAAGGATTATTGGGTGATGAGAGTCACGTCACTTGGCCTTTTGCGTTGGGCGTTTGTACAACATGATGATGCAGCCGAATAAGACTCTAAGAGCCTAGGTTATGTCATGAATAGGAACTGATAGACGACATATCACACACATACACGCACACGCACACGCGTATTCCAATGCTTTGGATATGGGTTTTCCTGGCGCCATATCCCGCGCTCGACTCGAACAGTCAGTAGCATACAGGCTTAGTCTAGCCAAGAAGCTAACTTCCACATGGCCTTTTTTTTCTTTTCTTACCGCTCTGCTTTAGCTGCATGTAGCACTTCTAAAGCAGATCTACAAACACGACCGACTGACTCCATCAAGAGCGCCGCCACCCGTGGGAGAGCAGGATCACCATCCATGCTCATATGTCGCCAGCGGCGGACGATGCAACAAGCTTAGTTTTATAGGATTGTAATCGAATTAGTTGGCCAATGAATCAACGGTGAGCATTAGTAGATCCCAAGCAGGGGCGAGACCCCCTTTCCGCGTACACTAGGGTTCAGACATCCCCGTTGAGGCACTTACTTACCCGCCTCCAGGCAGCAGGATAAACCGCAGCTCCCCCCTTGATTCACGACCGCCACCATCCCCTTTCCCCCCCTTTTCTATGAGAAACAGATACCTGCCGAGCCATCATACGTATTGATTTGCCGTAAACCCGCCATAGTGGAGGAGTTGATTCGAGCCAGGTTCCCCTCGTGGGTCTGGGACGTCAAGACTGAACCATTGGGTCTTCTCAATGATCGACCCGTTGAGTCTTGACCAGTAATAAGTAGCCGGACGGGTGTCTCCTCCGGGTTATTTGGCGGTTAACCTCAAAGAAGGGGTATGATCGCTCAGTCTGTTGCTTTTGCGCAGAAGCAGCGATGGACCGATGGTCGAGCGAGCCGGCATGTGCTTAACAGGGAGGAGCTTATCCTCCGCGGCCCCATACGCCATGGAAGAGGCGGGGTGCCTCTCCATTCTTCCATCTTGGACTTCCATCTCTACATTTGCTGAGAAGCGGCGTCTTCAAGGAGGCAGTCGGGTGCTAATGCTGTCCCCCCCCAGCAGGGCGGGCTTGGAACAATATTGATCGGAACCAAAGCGTGTCTTGGTATTCTAGCACGCTGCTATCGGGAAATTTTAACGTTCAAATTATGTCCATGGGGACTCTAGTTCGAAACTCGACTCGATCATTAAGCAGCACAACATCCTGTCCATATATCAGGGAGCCCTCACTCATGTTCGGGGTTTGCTTCGCGAAGGATGTCTTGGCTGATCCGCAGGAGACGGGACTGGGGTTCCTTAGTCTCCGTCATGCACTTGGAAGTTCCGAGGTTCAAACCCTCCGGAAGGAGTTGTGTCTGTGGGGGTGGGGATTTGTATCATTGACGTCCGTATTCTCGTGCTTCATGAAGGATCGCCGATACGTAGTGGTGCGAGAAGAGTCTTGGCAGCTTTCACCTCACCCGCCGATGAAGCAGCTATCCAGAGGGGCTCACTCGACGATTTGATGATTTTCCGCTCTTGAATTTCGCCGCAGACAAGTCCGGAAGAGACGATGCATTGGCTGACAGCAAGTCAGCACCACGAGCGATTTGTCCGAGATTGGTTTATACACTCTCTCTGGACTCTTTGGTTTTCTTTCTAACCCGCACTTTGGCGTCTTCAGCGTCCTGTCTTGATATTGCGCGGGAAACTATCAGGACACGTTCGCCAAGCAAGGGCAACGATCAGGAGATCGGCATATGGGAACAACCGTAACGTAGATGTTGGTCCCGCACTCGACGACAACGTATTCTCATATCACTTTGAAAGCACTCAACACGATGAGATGGACTGATACTCAAAGAAGACACCTTACCGGTCGTAGAGCAAACATCCCGCCCCTGTAATCCACGCCAACACCACGCAAGGATTCTGCTATCGAGTTGCTCCGCCATCCAAATCCCTACTTTTACACGTTTACATTTCGTACCAAGGAGAGACTCGCCTTGCAGTAACGATAAATGCAGCAGCCTTGATTGTCACAACAATGTTTTCACTACCGCAATCGGTGCTACGTATGCCCTCTGAGCAGCCGGCCTTGGGTCTGCGTTGTCTGGCAACCATATGTGACCTACGATGTCGTGTGGTATCGCACTGTTGGCATTAGTGTGGGGAGAGTGACACACCCCGAGCATATCCTTTGTTGGGCTGCCTGCCCGCCAACACACGTCCCCGCCTCCCGTCTCCAAACACCGTCTCCGAGTCAAGGTAAATCTACATGAGACAATACCATAAGAGACACAGCAATGCGGGAAGGTCAGTAAAGGGACTTTCTTCCAGAAGAAGGCAGGTAGACCCACGCCCGCGGCGAGTCCGAGTCAAGGCTCGCCGGTCTGTCCTCAGACAGCGAACGGACAAGAAGAGATGTGAACCGCCGAAATGGGGGAAACCAGAACAGCGTCCTTGGTGTGTTCCGATGCCGTGTGATCCGAGGCGGCTGTGAAGCCGTACTCAGCGAGCGCCTCCCAAAAGGGCCATACCCAAACCCGTCAAACTCCAATGACTGTGACACCGAACCACCGACCCCCCTCTATGCGAGACCCTGACGTTTCCTCTATCCGCCGCGGCAATACAGCTTGCGCCGGCGACGTGACCCGAGAGCGAGCCTGGCTTCAGTCCTATCATGCGCTGACCAAAAGAGGTTTCAAACAGGAGAATGCAGTGGGTAGGGCGGAACGAAATTCTGCTGTAAAGGTCGGTCGTTCCGATGGGTGTCATCCCATGAAATCCCCCGCGCCTCATGGGATGAAACGTCCGGGCTGGCCGGATTGCCCCCGGCGTGGGTTGGGCTGACAGACATCCCTCGTTTCAACATGTCCCTGTCCCTCCCTCCCTCCCTTGTCTTCTTTGAACAACCTCGTCGTCGACAGCGCCCGGTTACATCAATCCGTCAAGACACAGAAAACTTGCCAAAAGTCTCGGAAACATAGACACTGCGTTTCAACCAAAGGCCTGGGCCCGTCCTCTGGGCCTATGACCGTCGCGGCGAGCGGTGCACGCAACTGACGGGGCGCATGGGCCGGTGAGTGGGCCAATCAGTATAGCGAACGAGATATACCTCGCTTTGCGTCAGCTCGACAAGATGAACCATGGGTCACGAAATGTGGCCCTACGGACCCGTGACGCTGGCGATGTTGGTTCGGCGTCGCTGGGCAAAACATGAGAGGGAAGAAGACACAAGGGTCAGCAGCACATGTCGATTTGAAGGGGAACAGTTGATGAGGCCAGCTCATAGTGCATGTTCCACTTTCTAAATTTGGCGACGTTATGTAGCAATCGTTTCGATTTGGTTAGACCTCGAAAGTCTTTTTAACCCCTCGGCCCGCAAACAACGTTTGGCTGGTGTTGTTGCTGCTGCTCCGCCAATCTGCGAGTGGTTTGGCCATTTGCCTCATTGGTCGATCCCAGTCAGGGGTGTGTTTTCATTAGAATAAGTAGAAGAAGTCACTTTATCGAAACGACTGTCTTTGACCGACAGTCTGTATGCGTGTGCGTGTACGTGTGCGTGTGTTGTCTTTCGCCTTTGCCCTTCGAGGGCAGTCAATTCTGCTCATGTCGCTGTTCACTGTTTGGACAGACGACGCGTTTGAAGAAAGCAGAGCTTTTAAACGTGAAATTATTAGTTAAGCGGCGGCGAATAGCCGTGGTTTTCCGCCGCGCGCGAGGTCAAGCTGGGGGTAGCTCTCCCTCCCCCAGGACTCGACGACTTTATGGGATATATCCTCCAAGACATGATCCGATGCTCCATGTTCATAATCAGGCAATACCGGTTTCCAGACTCGGTCATGATAGATGCACTGCGCCCCACGAACCTCCGTGATCCAACCCGTTGAATGAGAACCATACGCCGCGTGAAAAAAATAAGAAAAGAAGAATTAGAAAATGTATATATCCTTTTCAGTGCCCACATCCTTCATAGGCGTCATTCAACTGTGCAGTCTCAGCTCCTCCGACCTCGTCGTCATCGAGCGATGGATGCGCGGGCTTGCATACTCGGACAAGGGCGAGACCAAAAGACTGGGATCATAAACCGTGGCGCTCACCATGCTGGCGTGAGGGTCGTCCTGGAAGGTAGCCCATCCCATGGACTCCCTGCTGTCGTAACTGGGCTGGTGCACGGGCGTTCGCTGTACGGCTTCCCCAGTCGCCGAGGTGGTAGCATATGCCATGATGGACGTGGGCAGCGGACATGTCAGTTGCCGCTCCCCTTGGTACCACCACTGGTTCTCAAACCCATTGTCCACCGTCATCATTGCCGCGGACAGCGCCTCCAGCTCTTTTCTCCGTCCTGGATCATCCACGTCCCTGGAGTCTGGTGCGGCGTCTGTCAGAGAGACGTCACGAAATTTCATCGACAGGTCGGAAGAATAGTCGTCGACTTCGGAACCGTCCGGCATGCCAAACTCGCGCGGCCATGCTGATGCCGACCAAGGCATCCCGTCTTCCCCCAGCCTGAAGCGCGAGGGAACTTCAGGCAATGCCTTCCAGTAATCGGGGGCATCGCTGGGGCGTGGTCTTTGACGTGGTAAGGCCGAACTGCCCAGGGCATCGGGCTCGGCGTCCCACGGACTGTCGTTCCAGGGCGGGGGAGCAGAGCTACCTCTCTCGTGCGATGAAGCCGATCGGCTGTCCTGTCGAGGCTTCCTGGTGGGATCGTATTGTAGCGGCCCTGGCTGGGGCTGAGGTTGATAGTCACCCTGGACGGGTGGTAAAGGGCGCGTCGTTTGACGTGTTATATAAGTGGGTTCTGCCAGATAATTTGTATTCGGCGGCGGGACTTGTCTCGGAAACTGCTGAGCTCGATCGCGGAAGCCGCGAGAGGTGTAAGTGACGGAGTGCTGGTTGGGAGCATGCCTAGGTGAAAACGAGACCCCAAACTCGAAGTGCACGAAGATTTGGGGCCGTCGGCTCGAACTCGACGCCATATCGTGATGTAAGTGAGGTGAGATGGGCTCTGTCCTCCAGAGAGCGCTCATGACCAAAGGAGTGGAGGGGCATGCGCGGTTGATATCTGGAAAGGGGGGAAGAGGGAGGGGGGGGGAGGTGGTGGGCGAGGCGCAGATGTGGTAGACTCGGCGGCCTGAGCTGGCGAAAGGATAAGGACAAAGCGGAAATGCAGTCGGATGAATTGGAATGCCAGCAGGTATGATGCGTGTGTATGTACGGGGCCGAGCTTAGGCTTGGACGCTAGTGTCAAAGGTATGCGTGATGGACATGCAACGATGGGCAACCAGCAGGTCAAGTGAGACGGCTAGCGTAGGTTGTCAGTGGATGTGCCTGGCGATGAGCAGAGGTGAGATGAGAGTGGGTGCCGAGGTTTATCGCTCCAATGTAAGTGAAGAGGGCTGTTTTCCTTTTGGGGGGTGCAGTCGGGCGAGCCAGATTGGAATGGGGCGGATCAGTTGATGATATGAGTGTGTCGAGTTCGTATGGACGAGAAGTAGCGGCGGCGGCGGCGGCGGCGGCGGAGGCGAGAGGAAAACACGAAGGAGGACGGGAAGAGGTTTGTGGCGGAATAAGTCAAGACACCGCCCCGGCAAAGAGTCTCGGGAGGAAGGACGACCCAAGCAAGCAAGCAGGGCCGGCGCAGGGTGTCCGAGGGATGTGGGAACGAGGACGCTAGAAAGGGGGCCCGGGGGAGCAAGGATTGGTCAGGCCAGGGACCTGATGACAGTTGGTGGGCGAAGCGGGAGCCGGGAAGGGGAGGGGCGTGGAAGATGGGAGGAGGTGGGTGTGAGGCGAGGCCAAGGAGGAGGTGGTCGGGTGGTTAGTTTGATGCACAGCACGTCCCGAACGCCGGGACCCGCCCACCAAGTACACTGGGTTGCCAAGGCTTTGGATGTTGTCGACTGTCGATCCGGGAGGAGGGCTAGAGCAGAGCAAGGACCGCAGTGCAATGCAGCAGAGAAGTACAGCCCCTCGGCGCCTCGCTTGTCAAGTGATGGTGTATAAGCCTGCCTCGGTTGGCGGGAAGGACGTCGAGGTCGATGCCGAGGTCAAAGACGGGGAACGTATAGCGAGGGATGCTAGGGAAGGAGAGAGTTCACGATGGCGGGTTAAGCGGTTGTGCCTGCGTCTAGCTGCGTTGTGTTTCCTCCTCCCCGAATGTGTGGACTTATGAGATGCGGAATGGTGAGGGAAGCTTGGCCCAGATTGGGATGGAATATGGATCGAGGTTTTGGAAGGATGAGAAACCCTGGACGACGACGAAGACGAAGACGACGACGAGGGAGTCCAGGGTACGTACCTTTTCCGCCGTATCCTTACCTACAGTACAGTACAGTACAGACAAGAACGGTAGGTACATGCATGCATACCTACCTTATCCGTACGTGCCTTACCTAGGTATCCCTTCCTAATCGTATCGTGGTACGTACCCGTACTTGCACTTACCCGATGTACGTACCTACCTAGACACCCTAGGTAGTTAGTGTAGGTAGAGAGACACAGACACTTTTTTCTGAAAGTGGCAGAAAACCTAGGCTTGCGATACTCGGAACCGTGTGTAAACGTCCATCGTCCATCCCGTGCTTGTTCCATGCTCAGCTGCTTGCTTGCTTGCTTGCTAGCTACCTAGGCTGGTGGACTTCCGTTGCGGCATTGGCAGCGCTGACCCGACGCCGCCGCCGCCGCCGCCGCCCAGAGTGCCATTACCTACTCATTGCCACAATACTTATTTACATGGATGCCCGTCGGGATGGGATACTTGTATCTGCACACGTTCTCTGCAGAGTGGCCAAGTACACACGCTATATTGCAAGTCCGCAGATCATATGCGCCAACTGCCAATCAACGGGGTTCGCATACCTACCTACCTACAGGCTACAAGGTATACCTACCTGTCTCCCCCTTGAACCTCACCTCACGCCGCAGTTTATCAATCAGGCAGCCGTTTAAACTTTTGTGTGCACGATATGTACCCCTGTGCCCGTCAACCCTACGCCGCCACGACTGTGCCGACGCCTTCCACGAATAGCCCTCATGTCAGATTGGAACTAGACTGGACTGCACAGCTTCCCGTCGCATCAGCAATGACTGACTGACTGTCTGTCTGACTAGGGCTTGCTGGCTTGCTTGCTCGCTTGCTCGCCTGGATGAAAGCAATCACAGCAAGACGTCATGGAATTTTCCAACCAGGCTTCCATGAGTGGACCGGTCAGCACCCAAAATACGTACCATACGTACCATACATACCATACATACCATACATACCATACATTCCATACATTCCATACATAATACTCCGTATACCCAACCATAAGACCCCAGCCTCGTCCCCCTCCCTCGCCTCGGAATACACACACACACACACACACACACACACACACCACTCATTAATCGCTCGACTGCCCCCGCCGCAGCACACGGGTCCGGCATGTGGGAACGGGGGCTTGAGGCTTTGCCAGTGTCAGTGAACGCCATAAGGAAGAAGGATGCAAACGGGCTTGTCAGCAGAGGAGGACAAGTGCCCCCCCCCCCCCCCCCCAGTCATAACGGGCATCAGGGTCTCGGAAATGAGCCCCCTGGATGGAACTTCGGTTCAATGCCGATGCCTGCCAATTCTGTCGAGATGGATGGACCCTTGATCGAGCTTGGCCCGCCTCCTTCTAAAATACATCGTATCTAACCAACCGTGCCTAACCAACCTAGGCAGTAGATATCTACACGTATGAATGTGTAGGATAACATTCATACATTGTACAAATATCCTTGGACCGTATGCTCTGTGCAATACCTACGACACTCGCCACTCGCTTCGGCAGATTGTGGCTGGACAGCCTCTCTCTCTGTTTTCTATTTTTATCACCATACCATGCCGATCCGGCACGCTCCTGTCGCGCGTCTCCACATAAAAAGAGAGGAAGGTGCCCCACTCTTTCCGTCTCGATTGCTCCACCTCCCGCCGATCCCTTCGGCCGTCTCCCCGCTTCTACTTTATATCCCGCGTCTACCATGCTCCATTGCAAACCTTCATCAAACTGCCGACATGGACATCGAGCGCGCCGGGCGTCATGACCATCGCACTTGTATGTATCTAGGTGCTCACGCAGATTCACGATCCGAGCTCCATCGCCCCGCCGTGCCGCTTCGCTTTGCACCCACCGCACATTGACAACAACCACCTTGAGCCGTTCACGGTTCCGACAAGGCACGGGCTCCAATCTCGAGCCCATCTCTCTCTTCATTTATTCATCTTGATTTTTACTTTCTTTCGTCGCCGTGTCGGCGTGCGCTACGCCTCCTCCTTCGCCTCGTACAAGCCTCGAGTCCAGTTCGGATGATTATCGGCTGCCTTCGGGAGCCCTCCTCGTCCCAAGTCTGACCGGACGTTTAGTCCGCCAAGCCACCTCAGCCCTGCTCGGAGAGAAATGCTACCGGTGTCATCAGTTCTGAGCAAGGGGAGAAAAGGAGAAAGAGGAAGAGAAAGGGAGGGGGGGGGGAAAGTCTGTCGTATTCTATAAGATGCTGATAACAACCTAGAGTATTCAATAGCGAATGTAGAGAAAGCGGCCCCAACCAAAACCAACCCAAACACCTCGACCCGATAACAACAAGTCTGGATGTTCCGGCTTTAACCCGCCGCACAAGACAGCCTTCATGCATTCTCATGCGGCTTCGCTTCCCTTGCTCTCCTTCCACCCTGGCCCGTCCACCTCCGTTCCCCATTCCCAGGCGAGGTACACAGTGTACTTCTCCGGCAGGTACCGCCGTGGGTGTCGTGCGTTGAACATGACGACGTTGGCTAGCATCAGGCCCGCCTCGAACACGTAAAATAACCACTCGTACCGCATCGCCGGCGGCACCTCGCCGACGTCCACGTCTGGACCCCTACGCATCGCCGCGACGCCAAAATACTCTACGATCCGGAACGCCGTCCGCGCGAGGATGAGCCCGGCGCTGACGTACAATGTGACCCGCGGGCCCCGGACGCCGCGCTGGCACGCCACACCGGCCCGCGCGCACCGCCGCTGGAACGTCGCGGCCAGCACGACGAAGCACACGACCACAAAGACCTGCAGCAGCAGGCTCGCCTTGATCAGCGCGTGGCCCGCCGCCATCTCCCGCGGCGACAGGGACTGGTTCGCGCTGTAGCTCCCGCCCCACCCGTTCAGGCTCCCGACGATGACGGAGAAGAAGGCGAAGGTGCTCAGCACGCGTCCCGGGTGCAGCGGCGAGCAATAGGGAACGTAGTAGAGGACCCGGCCGAGGATGTGGTAGTTTGCCAGCTCCAGCAGGGGCCTGTTGCGTGACACGCAGGAAAATGTGAGTCCACGGCCTCTCTTGTCTGCGAGTGCTTGCGTCTCGTGGGCGAACTGGTCAAGGGGGGTTGCAGGGTCTACTCACGGTGCCGCATACACTAGACAAACCGTCGCGATGAAGGTGTCCAGGTTATCGTAATTTCACGCACCGGTTATGCGAACGGCGAAGCCTGCCGTAAAGAGCAAACAGCAGAACGGAAACAGGCCGGTGACCTTGAAAAACTTGTAACGGCTGTTCGTGCAGTGCGTGTTAATGCGGCGGAGCCCAGCAAGGGTGCCTGACGAGCCTCGACGAGAGAGCACTTACTAGCATTGCCAAAAGTGCAGGATAGCCGACCCGGCAAACGCTGCGGTGAAGAAGAACGGCGCGCCCTTGTTGGGGGCGTAGAAGAAGTAGCTCCCATCAACTGCATTGTGTCTCGTTTAAAAGAGGACGGGGATACATGAAGAGGCCGGTTCTGTCGACTTACCGTAGTTTCCGTCCGTCATGCTGATCGCCGAAATTATCAATCTCTTCTGCCAGAGAAGCGTCGCTATTCTCTCTTTGCGTCTTGGAAACAGTCCAATCGGACAAAATGACCCGACTGGTGGAATGCTAGCTCGAGACATTTCGCCCTTCTTCGTCCCGTAACAACAAAGTACGCGGCTCCCAACCACGAATTGGTTCCTCACACCCCGAGAGATGCTTGTGGCAGCTGGTGCCCTCTCCATGGGAACATCAAAAACAGAGAGCCGCGGATCACTGACAGATATTGATCATCCCTTTAAAGCGTGAATTGAATTCATCTCTGAATGGTACCTGATGAAACCAGCGTGCTGACTAAATGTCTCGTAATGCCAAGGGTAGAAAAAGGTGTCAAAAAGCCCAATCCCACCGTTCCCGTAGTTGCACATCAAAAAAGACATTAAAACAAGACAGGAAAAGACTGACATCTACTCGAATGTTGCTGAGCACGAGTTTGTCGACTTTCCAGATACGGGATCCAGCGTCTCTCGCGACATCCAAAGGCCCGCCTGTGCAAGAGCCTCGCTTGATGAGAAAACAGAAGAAGAAGGTGCCCAAAACTCTCCATACTGGGTGCAGTTCCTGGCGGTTAAAAGATACAGTGGTCATACATGAGCTCATTACGGACCGTTGCCTTGTTGGCTTCAGTCAACCTCCCAACCGCGGCCGATTCCGTTTGCGTTGTCGGTGGCCGCATCATTATCCGTGTCATCGCCGCCGATGACACTGCTCGCGCGTGACGATTCGACCTGGCTGAGGTAGAAGTCGTCGTTCTCTCCCCAGCTGTCGTACTCGTCGTCAGAGTAATCCCATTGCACGGGAATCGTCTCTCCGCCTTCGCCAAAACCGAACATCATACCGCGCCATTGTCCAGCAGCGATCTTAGCAGCCACCTGCAGCATCAGGGTAATCAGGTGGCTCGGCGGGCCTAGCAAAACCTCGCAAGTCTTGGACACGATGGCCATGGGAATCCTGCGGACAAGTTCCAAGCGACTACGAAGAGGATGGTTCCTGGCTTGAGTGTTTGTAGTAGCAAACAGATTGGCCGCTGTCGCGAGAGGCGAAAGAGCTCTATGGCCGACTGAGATGCCGCTCGTTGTTGACCGATGGCGGATGTATGGGCGACGTATAACCGCCGACGTAGCAGCCTCATCCTCGGAGAGGGCGACCTTTTCGGGCTGCTCCACCGCGTCAAAGGCTACGTCCGGCGCAGTAGCTGCGCTTTCCTGAGAGCTGTCATCGGTGAGACACGAAGTAGCGTCCCATGTGCGTCGAGTTTCTGGGGTAACGGTCAGATCCGACACATCGCGGTAGTGCCAAGGCTTCTTCGGAATCAATATATTTTCATGAGGATAAGGGAACCTCGTGGGGGAGACATCCGAAGCAGGAGATCGCGGGACTGGCGTAACCGGCGAGTGCCATGACCGGGAACTATGGAATGAATCTGTAGATCCTGTGGGGGACGCCGCATCATCTAGGATCGGGGCCGATCTCATGGCCGACTGTGACGGCGGCGAGGTCACGAGCGTCAGCTTAGGCATAAGAGCCCGGCTGCCCCTGAACCCGCGGAGTTTCTTGCGTCTGCCGCCCATGACTCCACTGCCCTCTAAAACCGCTTCTTCGTCGGTTCCTGAGGTTGAGTCGGTGCTCGGCCCACCCTCGTCATTGTTACTGGCCTCAACTTGGGACGCTTCGACAACAGCCGTATGGTCGTTGTCTTCAGGGGCAGACGCCGCTGGTGTAGCGGTGGCCATCTTATGCTCGTAGTTGCGGATAACGTCGTAGATGTTGGTGGGCGTTGGCGTACTTGTTGCAGCTGACAAAGGCCCCTTGGGGCGCACTTCCACCGTGACAAGCTGCTCCTTGATTTCACTCGCCGGAGGACAAGATCTCGCGAACTGCTCATTGGATGTCAACGTTTCAGTACGAACATCTGCTTTGCTATGCTTGGAAGCGATCGCTAATGCTGGAACCTGGGGACCCTTTCGATATGTTTTGGAGGGTTGGGTGCCCTCTTGGCGAATAGACGTCTCCGCCGTGGACCCCGATGGAGAAGTTGACGGCGAGCTGGCTTCGGGCTCTAATACGACGGCATCTGCGGTCGTGACGGTTTCGATATTGCTCAGGTCCTCCGGGTCGCGACACGGTTCCTCAACGGCCAGAGGCTTCGTTGACTGACTCTGAACATTAGTATTCAAGTCTGCCGAGAGCTCTTCATCCTCAATCTCCACCTCCTCGGCAATGGAGTCCTCGGTTGTTGAGAGATGATGGGCATTCGCGATTGCCGTCGTTTCTGTGTCGGCTTTATTGCCATTCTCCACCGCTTCGTCGTCATGGGCAGGAGTGTCTTCGACGGCCTGTTCTGGTACTATCTGCGATCTTGCGGTGGGAGCGGTTGCCTCTGTTGCCTCGGTTGTCTCGGTCGTAGATATTTTGTTGTCTTCCTTTGACTCGACGGGCACTGGCACATCAGTGCTAGGCTCTCGCGACCGGGAGCTGAACTGCAAGTCAGTGCTGATAGCCGATAGGCGACGGCCACGGAGTGACGCTGTCGAGGCTCTCCTGCCAGTGCTGGGAGTCAGAGCCGTCGGAGTCGGCGAAGCCTCAACCTCGTGGGCGGGCGTGGAAAGAACGGGCAAAGCTCGCTTCACGGGAGGCGTCCACGGTCGCTTCTTGACGGGCGTCTTCGGCTTGTCGGGAAGGACAATGGTGAATGATCGTTTAAAGGGGCATTCCGTCTTCTCGAACTGGAGGATCTGGTCCCAAACCGCCTTCAAGGCGACAGCAAGGTCCTGTTCATCGGCGGTGGTGACGGGGATCTCTATCCTCCAATAGTTGGGGCGACGAATCTGCAGCACAAATTTGCTCGAGTCTTCCGCCAGTGCCCAGCATTGACTCTTGGGCAACATTGGCTGGAGGGCTGGACCACAGTTCAGAAAGGCGACGGAACCCGTACGGTAGATGCGGAAGGGGCCTAGGTAGGTACGCGTACATTGGTCAATAGCGTTCTTGCAGAAGAGGGACTGGCTCGACTCACCAATTGCAATTGTTCTCTCTAGCTGCGAGTAGGCGGACAAGGAGCCAGGCTCGTCGGCGGGTCCGCGTCCTGGGCTCCGTGGTCGTCCTCTGGAGGCGGCAGTAAAGGCCACGATTTTGACATTGGGGTGATTGTATAGTGTTTCGATGAGACCGCCGGCCGAGGAGGAGGGGCGGGACACCTGTGTCGGTACCGGTGCAGTCGCGACGCGGCGAGGAGCAGGCTGGGCAGGGCGGAGAGGCTCCATGATTTCGACCCTCGGGAGCCTCGAGAGGGAGGTAAGAGGGATGGTGTCGTCAGGTAAGGGCGAGAACTGTCGGGTTGTGATGGAGGATTACGAGTCGAATTTTGGGCATGTCGAGGCTGAGATGGAGTACATGGCAGGTTCGAGAAGGAGAAGAGGGTGTCGACGTGTGTATGTGTGAGAAGTGGCGCTGTCAAATTCCGCTGCGGTCGTCGACGCGCCGGCCTTTGGTTCGAGGAGCAATGCGAATGCAGATGGGAGGAAGTAGAGACAAAGTTGTGCAGCCTGCCAGGGATGGTGAGTGGGATTGTGGACGGGAGGAATCCGACGGACAGATGGGTCCCAGCAGCGCGGATGGATGATGGGCGTGGACGTGGACGTGGTCGGGGGGGGGGAGGGCGGCGTAGTCGAGAGGCGAGCCGGTGGCGCCCCTTTTGAACCGAGGGAATATCGACAAGAAAAATGTCTTGTATCTCGTAGTAGTTCGGTCTCAGTACCCTTTGGATGAATGAAGAAGAGAGACTAGAAGACAGTTGGTGTAACACACACGAACACACGCACACAGACAGACAAACGACGAGAAGAAGAGGTCGAGTAATTAGGTACTGCTGCTAAAGAGGCGAAAAGAAGAAGACGATGATGATGGTGAAGAAGAGCAGGGGGTAAAAGGATCTACGTTGTGTGCAAGAGACTTTGCTGTTGAGTGTTTGGGGAAAGAAATGGAAAGAAAATGTAAGCAAGGTTAATAATAGTTTAATTACCTGCTACTAGGTACAAGTACGTGTGGTTCCGGGGGTTAGTCGGATTTCCTCATGGTTCGACCAGGGGTCGAACATGTCACGGCTTCTTGGAGGACTCGTTCGAGGAAACAAAAGAAACACGCGCCGCCGGGGGTTTTTCTGACACGACCGGTTTGGGGTTCCAGTCCCCCCCCCCCCCATTCGCGCGTCGCCGCTTGATGGCGATAGACCCCGTTGCCCCTCATTCCCTCCCTCCCTTCCCCCATCGCCTCTCTCTCTCTCTCCCTTGCGATGCTTGCCCTACCTACCTGTACATACCTAGACCTACTTCGCAGTCATGCCGTCTTGTCTGTGTCCAAGTATTATTAGTGTGTACTCCGTTTCTTGTGTCTATATGCCCACCAAATTGCCCAACGGCGACAGGTCACCCACCGGCTCACTCGGTCACTCACACGGCACAGAGTCGGATGGAATCCGTTTCGGCCTGGCCGCCATGCAGCTAGTGCCCCTTAGTCATTATCGTAGAGACTCTCCATTCCAGCATGGCGGGAACTCGAGACATACGGTGCTATGGTCCGGACCCTGCGGCTTTCACATGCTGCTGCTTGCTGGCTTGCTTCTAGGGTCCCTCGAAGCGCGCCCCGGTCATGTGCTCGGCCCCGATTAGAGGTGTATTGGAGATTGCACGGCGTTCGCGCTGCGGTGCCATTAGCGCTGCAACGGCGGGCGCAGCCGATGCGTCCCAGCTGGATTGCATGGGCACACACTTTGAAACCCTTGACCTGCTCTTGAGAGCAGCGACGAGGTTTCTGTCCATATGGTGATGGCCATGGGGCAAACAAGGGCGGCCGACACAAACAGACATTGTCACGATTCCACTTGCAGCATCTCAGTGGGACTTGCTCGGTATCGTTCCCGTGATTTCACTTCGCCCTTGTGCAAAACCCGTGTTGCCTCGTCATTTGGTTCCTCACCGCATTCTCCGGCAGAAACTAGTTTCCGAGGCGGGAAAGATTCGAGAGCTCCGGTCCGGATTCCCCATGACAACTTGATGGGAGGCGATGGGCTCCTGATTATGCGACCTGATGCAGAGGACAAAACATTGGAAGACGACTATGACAACGACAACGGCGCAGCTTCAGGAATGTGCTCCGAGCTCCAAAGCTACCATGAGCTCTCAGCAATGCATGCAGGGATTGCAGCTCTTTCGACCAGTGAACGTGAACCCGTCCTGTCCTGGGATGCAAGCTTCGACGCATGAGTATTGCACCACCCCAAGCATGAACCGGCGCCATATGCCCAGACGACCCTTATCCTTATCCACTCACATATACGGAACCTACCTAGGTATGCATGCACGGATACGGAGTACATGGTATCACTGCCGTACTCCTGCCACCGGCAGACATCCGGCACGGTATCGTCGACCTGCTTTACCGTAGGTAGCTCACCTACCCCACAGACGGCTAACCCTTATGTCCTTTAACTGATGCACTCTGCCTGTAGCTGCCGTTCGTCCAGTCCAATGTCCAATGCCAGTGCAGCTCACCAATGACAGTGGCCAATGCATTTCCGGTGTTCCCAGACCCCCCCGCCCCCCGGTCCACTTGCGATAAGATAAAACCTGACAGTTGGCATGACTCTGAACCAGCTGTCAAGTCCGCAGTACGTACCTCCCCTGCTTCTGGCCGCCGTTCCCGGAAGGGTGTCGTCATCGTCTCTACCCGCTACGATCAGTCAGCCAGCCAGCCAGCTCAAGCTTCAGCAGTAGGCTCAGCCCAGCCCTGTTCTGACGTGGACAGAGAGAGAGAGAGAGCTCGCGTGCCCCTCCATACTTTGACCACTTCAATCCTCTCCTCCTTCTCTCCCCCTTACAAACAAACTCTCCCGTTTTCCACGCGTCATTGTCAGACACAATCCCGGATCAAATAACCATGGCGACGGCGGATCAGCGCGAACCGCGCGAGAAGCTCGACAAGCAACTCGACAAGCAACTTGACAAGCTCCCCTTCGACAAGAAGAAGCTGAAGCAGGAGTTTGACCTGTCCCACTTCGACTTGAACCAGATCTTACGCGGCATCCAGCTGACGCTGGTCGGCGGTCAGTCCAACCGAGCCGCACACTCGGATTTCTGAAGAGTGAAAAACACAAAGTACTGACTCCCGTCAAAGCCCACCGAGCTCTCCAGAACCCGGCCTTGTTCACCTCGGACCACTACCGCCAGGCCGGCATCGCCGTGCTGAGTGGTCTCGCCATTCGCCTCGTCATCTCAATTCCCGTAAGCCCGATCCTCGACCCCAAGCACAAATAACGAGCAACCGATGCGCTGCCTGCCGCACACCGCCCTAACATCGTTTTCCAGATCGTTGGCGTCAGGGTGTTTCTCTGGATTCTTTCGCTGTTTCTGAGCTTGGATCATGTTACCTGGGACGATCAAATCGTTGGGGGGCTTAACTTCATTGAGGAGTATGTCTTGCAAGTGCCATTCTTCCTAATGGCCCTGATGCGCTACGTCACGCCAACCCTGGACAACATGTGAGTACACCGAGTTCCGTGCATGCACTCGACTTCGTGCTGATCACAAAACAGGTTCATGGACTCGTTGAACTGGGTCGACAAGACGTATGTTCAGAAGCACAAGAACGAGGACCCCGATAAGCTACGAGACATGTACTATCCCAACCTGAGAATGTACAAGGTTAGCGACGGCAGCACCCACTCCACGAGCACTGCCGAGGCCATTAGCATGTTCTTGTACCGATTCGCTCGAAAAGGCGCCATCTCCCTCGCCGTTTTCGCTCTGTCCTACCTCCCCGTCGTCGGCCGGTTCGTGCTGCCTGCAGCCAGTTTCTATACATTCAATAATGCGGTCGGTCTCGGACCCGCCTCGCTCATCTTTGGCATGGGCATTCTCTTGCCCAAACGCTACATCGTCATCTTCCTGCAGAGCTACTTCGCCTCGAGGAGTCTGATGAGAGAGCTTCTGGAGCCCTATTTCGCCCGCGTACACTTCACCAAGGAACAGAAGAAGAACTGGTTCCGCAATCGTGAGGGGCTCCTGTTCGGTTTCGCCATCGGCTTTTACACCCTGATCAAGATCCCTCTCGTTGGAGTCTTGATTTATGGCATTGCCGAGGCGTCCACGGCCTACCTGATCACCAAGATCACGGATCCTCCCCCGCCTCCCGCCGAGAAAGCCGCTTTTGCCGAGAGCCAACAGGAGTGGTCCAACAAGCACGAGTTCCTCAACCTGTCGCTCAGCGACCTTGATGCCATTCATCTCAAGTCTCGCCCATCGAATGCAACGGGAGACGCCCAAAAACACCAGTAAAAGGCTGTGCGTGGCAAACATGAGGTGTGCTATTGGCTATTCCAGGTACCTACTTGGGCTTGCAACCAGCAATGATGTACAACGGCAACGACAAAGGCAGCAGTCAAGCAGTGCCGATGCTGGAAAAACATGGTATGCATGCTACTGCTAGATTAAAAACAGCAAACACAGCCCTGCAGGCGAAGCAAAAAGAGTGACACATTCCGGAATTGTGTGACGTTGAGCCATCTCTCCATTGCTTATATCTATCTCCTTTGTCGCCTTCGCCCTCGTGACGTCTGCTGGTGGCTGCCGTTTCCGCGATACCCATATTCGAACTGCAACTGCTAGATAAGGAATGGCCCAGACGAGGGGAGGCGGGTTTTCAAGTTGGGAAACGACCTTGAGTGACGCCGGCTCATTTTCTTTAGCTTTTGACTGCGTGCCCACCCACATTCAAAACGCAGACGCCGAGATAACATAACCAAAACCCGGACCTGCGGTCTCCAATTACGATTTGTGGTAGGAGGTACATACGGCATGAGATCACCATGTCGTCTTATCGATTGGGTTGCAGTCGGCACGGCGGCGGAGCCAATGCGGGGGTTGCCAAATGCAAGCCTCTTAGGGTATCGGGGGGGAGGGGCAGCTCACTCACTCACTCTCTCTCACTTCCTCTTATCAAGCTCCGTCATGAGCTCCGCACGCTGCTACCGGCACAACTTTACCAGAAGCCACCCTCTCTTAGCCCAGTTGATAGCCAATCTTGGAATTCGAGGCGTCTCATTTGCTGGGGAAAAGCCAGTCCCGAGGAGGCCAGGGCGGGGTAGCTTTGGAGAAGGAGACCCGGGTTGGGCGCGCGTATATATCTAGGAAGGGCGGGCTGCTTGGGCGGGAGTAGCATTCCCATGGACAAAAGAGAAGTCGTTCAACCTCGGTTTTTGGAAAACAAAATACACCTCAACCCAAATTGCTTCCGCATACTCTTTCCACAATGGGCAAGACTGGTATCCGTGTCGTTAACAAGGTCAGCTTTGACAAGCCGGCTTCGGAACAGCCCGGCCTGCATGTAAGTTGCATAAGCTACAACATCGAGCGCGCGGATGAAAGTGCTCACGGAGAACGCAGAACAGATGGCATCCGGACAGTAAGGACAATGCGTTCTCAAGCACACTGTGTCAAAATAGACCGACTGAATCTCTCTCTCTCTCCAGTTCCCTTTGCCGGCACCATCAAGAATGGCGAGACGGTCAAGATTGAATGCGTAGACTGGTATTCCCCGGCCCCCTCCTTCGTCTACCCTCACACGTGGTGACCATGCTCACCACTCCCGTTTCCCGTAACAGGACTGGCGGCCAGATTGGCAACAACGACTCGGCGGACGACATGCTCAATGTCGACCTCACCAAGATCCACTACCTCAGCGGGCCCTTCGAGGTCGAGGACGCCCAGCCGGGGGACCTGCTGCTCGTCGAGGTCATGGATGTCCAGCCGTTTGAGGACCAGCCGTGGGGGTTCACGGGCGTGTTTGACAAGAACAATGGCGGCGGATTCTTGGACGAGATTTATCCCACCGCGTACGTCTTCTCCTTGTCGCCCTCTCCCGTCTCCCTTCTTCCCTCCTCACTTCCGATTCAGCGTCCCTAGCCGGGAAGGTGGATAGCGGGAGGGGAAGGCCATTACACAAGAAAAGCAAAAAAGAAAAAGGCAGCTTGGCTAACCCGCTGCCCACGCCCGGCCCGGCACGCGCAGCGCCAAAGCTATCTGGGACTTCGAGGGCATCTATTGCACCTCGCGCCACATCCCGCACGTCAAGTTCGCCGGGCTAATTCACCCGGGCATCCTGGGCTGCGCGCCCTCAGCCGAGGTGCTCGACACGTGGAACACGCGCGAGGGGGAGCTCATTGCCGCCAACAAGCTCGAACGCGACGTCGCGAAGCCGCCCGAGCCCATCAACGTCCACGCCGGCGGCGCCGACGACGCTGTCAAGGAGAAGGTCGGCAAGGAAGGGGCCCGGACGATCCCCGGACGGCCGGAGCACGGCGGGAACTGCGAGTGAGTATAGGCAAGGACGGCATGATACCTTTGCCCTTCCCTTTCCTATGTTTATCCGCTCGAGGCAGAAGCGAGGCTGACGCTGTTGCGCGCAGCATCAAGAACCTGAGCAGGGGCAGCAAGGTCTACCTCCCCGTCCACGTCCCTGGCGCCAAGTTTAGCGTTGGCGACCTGCACTTCTCCCGTAAGATCATCCCCATCCCCGCCGTCATTCGTACCTGATCGCTGTGCTGAACGACCATGTCCCGAAACAAGAGGGCGACGGAGAGATCTCCTTCTGCGGTGCCATCGAGATGGCGGGCGTCATCACCATCAACTTCAAGGTCGTCAAGAACGGCGTCGCCGACCTGGGCCTCAAGTCGCCCATCTACATCCCCGGCCCCGTCGAGCCGCAGTTCGGCCCCGGGCGGCACATCTACTTTGAGGGCTTCTCGGTCGACCAGCACGGGAAGCAGCATTACATGGACGTCACCGTGGCCTACAGGCAGACCAGTCTCCGTAAGTTCCATCTACTACTTCTCGTTCCTAACCTCGTATGTCGGCATGCTCAACGACGCGAACAGGCGTCATTGAGTACCTCCGCCGCTTCGGCTACAGCGACTACCAGGTCTATCTACTCATGTCGTGCGCCCCGATCCAAGGCCACGTCGCCGGCATCGTCGACATCCCCAACGCGTGCACGACCATTGGCCTGCCGATGGACATTTTCGACTTTGACATCTCGCCCGGACTCGGCAAGGTTGAGAAGCGCGACATGGGCAGCTGCGCGTTCGCGACGGGCGTCACCGAGGGCAAGGTCGAGAAGGGCGGTGAGAATAGCGAGCACAGCTTCGGTGGCGGCATGACGTACAAGAGCTCGTAGACAGAAAATGCTTAATAGATCCCTGAGTTCGCGTGCGTCTTCTCTGTGACACACACACACACACACACACACACACACACACACAAACACAGAGAGAGAGATGGGAGGGTGGTGAATCGATCAGCGTAGTGTCGAGACTCCATCCTGTGTATCCAGTGTCTGCTTACGAGCAATGCCCACGAGAGGTTACTTTGAGCCATGAACCATCATTTGCTTTCGTCCGTCGTTGCTTGCATAACCAGGCGACCCAAGTCCCCCACCAAAACGGCCCCTGACCTCAGCTGAAGCCCGCCATGCACCATGACTTTCCCAAGAAGTCACATCAAAAGTCTGGAATCTCAGTCATCGAAGTGTGCCCCGTCTCGCCCGTGTGAATGCTTGCCTCAGCGAGACCAGTGCCCAGCCACTCACAACCGGGAGCGTTACACTTGCGAAGAGCGTTGTCACCGAAGCCGGTCGCTGCGCCAGCTGCAGCACCAGCACCACCAGAAGGCTCGTCCTTGATCTCACTAAAACCAGAGTGACCGCTCGCTTTGGCATGCTTGTTGGCCTCCTTCTGGCCGTTGCCGAGCCAATCGCAGCCGGGGACGGTGCAGCGCAGCAGGAAGTCACTGGTGTCGGTGAAGTAGTGCATTTTGTGCAGCTTGCGGATGAGAGCTCGCGTCTTGTCGAGGACGTCGTCGTCCGAGGTACTCCAGTTGGTGCGGTCGAGTTCGGGGGGCAGATCAGAATGGGTGTAGGGCGGCTCCGAAGGGCTGCAGGCGATTCGGTCGTAGTGGATGCCAGAGTAGACGAGGATACAGCGCGAGTCCTTGTTCTCGCCGAAGCGGAGCGGGTTCTGAGACTTGACGTCAAAGGCGACGATCTCGAGGTCGAAGAGGTCCGAGAAAATGCCCAACTCGATGGCGCCACCCCAGCGCTCGGGATCTTGGATTGTGCGGATGTACTTGTCCACTGGCATTTCGAGGACTGCCTCGGGGTAGTCGTCCGGGTGCTGGCGGATGTAGTCTGCGACCATCTTGCGGAGCTCCTTGGCTTCGAGCTGCTTGCCGGGTATGGCACCGCCAAAGGCAGTGAAGAGGCAGCTGTTGTCGTCAGGCATGACGCGAAGAACTAATGCTTGTTAGATGAAGACCCAAAGAGTGAAATGCAGGGAGACTTGCGCAAAGTCGACTCGCGCTCCGGCCAGGGGATGCTGATCTCTGATGGGGTCGCATCGGCGTCTGAGTCGAGGCGAGCCTTGTTGGCTGTCGGACCGGCGGCTTCCGGGGCTCGCGCGACGGCCGGGGGGGCAGAAGGTGGAGGAGTGAAGGCCCGGGAGTGCGCCGGCTCAATGCTGAAAGACTGTCCGTTGAGACCCAGATCTTTGGCGTTGGCGTCCTTGTGTTCGAGTGTCAGAGTTTGAAGTGGCCAGCCGTACTTGAGGCTAAAGTCGGCGATCCCCGTCTTTTCCTTGATCTCGTTGAAAAGGTCGCCAACGGTGGCAGTATCGTCGAGGGAAACGACGCCGGTTCCTCCCGGACCCTTGAATCTTGCCCGCATGGTGTTGGTGTGTAGTGTATTGGAAAGGTCGAGATGAGAGCTGGAACGTGCAAAATGAGAGGTTCAAGGCTGGGGAGCAAAATGATTGAATAACAAGTATCTTCGAGAAAGAGCCTTTATCTTGAAGACACAAGAGCGTGAACGGTCAAGATGAGCTCAGCCGGGCACGGATCCGGAAGGGCAGCCCGGGGGGGGGGGGCACCGAGTGGCCGTGGCTGGAACGGCGGGGTAGTGCCGCGGGGGTTTGGTTATCTTATCGCAAGGGAGCACCGGGGTCTCTTTGAGAGCCGTAGGTAGGACGATATATCCGTAATTGAAAGAGAGAAGCAGCTCGCCTCGAGGGTTGATAGTGACACCAGGGCTTCGAGACAAAGCAATCGACTCTTGTACGAGATGTGCAATGGCTGATGCGCAGCGACGAGAGTATGGCCGAAAATTGAGACGCACAAGAAGCAAGCTTCCCCGCTTATGAAGTGAGGTCCTGACAGTGGCTCGGATGTGGCTGCGTGTGTGATGTAACAAGTAACTTGAGAGAGGAGGTAGGGAAGCAGTGTGTTATCTGAGGGGTGGAGCGGTGGGATGGTAGTGTACTGTAGGTAGGTATGGGCCTGCAGGCTGGGTCAGATTATGCTTTCTCCCCGGTAGGGCAATGGTTCGTCCAACGTGACGATCAAGGAATGACGCCGGATCTGTGCTAGGATTGATTGCGGTTGCAGCATCCCCATTCGTTGTTATGAGGTGGGGAAGTAGCCCAATAATTAAGTATCCGTAGACGCTACTTGTTCGAGCTGCTACGTCCTGAAAATGCCATTCTCTTTTGTTCCATATCGATCTCGTTGCTTAGGTAATCCGGTGCTCGAGGCCTTGGAGGTCTGGGTACGGAGTGTAGGGGCGGCGAATGGACATGCGCTGAGGTTGAAATACATCGTGTCGAAGTCCTGAACAGTGAAGCCTTGTCTGCAAAGTACAGTACACTCAACAAGGTAGTGGGGATGCCATCAACCGGCAACTCACTTACCCCGGAAAGATGTCGTACGAGACGTGTAGTCATGGTCGGGGAGGAAGGACTTGAACATGGAAAGAAGATGCAATCCAATGAAATCTTTATATGATATTCTAGGTAATTGAAAGTAAGACCAAACAGAAGACGACAAAAGGAGGAATTCAATCAAAAGCAACATGGGTACCTACCTACCCAACTAGGTACCTAGCTTTATCCGTACCTTGGTACGGATACAGTACAATGAAGCGCGCGGCCAATCAAGGCTCACCTCACCTCGGCACAGACATCTTCTCTCGGCCAATCGGCCGCCCCCGTGGTGGATAGTTAGCCGAGGTGGGCCCGAACAGGAGCACCAACAGCCCTGGGCTCCTTGCTTGCTAACTAACGTCCCTCGAAGCACAGCACAGCACCACTTGTACCTGTCGCACCCCGGCCACCTCCCGTCTCGCACTGTCTTCGCAAACCTGCAATTCCTCAGCTCCAAAAGGACCTTGGACTCGAAAATTTGTCCTTTGCGATACAAGCTCTCGCCTTCGTCTTCCACCCGGGCTTGTAGTGACAAAGGATCCAGTGCCTCTAAAGACCCCCTGCGCCCCCAATTGTCCCTCGAAAGCTCGAGCCCGAGACTGAGCCCATCCGCCACCTGTGTTGTAGTTCCCAGTGGTGGAGGAAGCCATGGCGACGCGCAGCGACGCGCCCGAAGTGCGCGAGTCTATCGAGGCCAAAGTCACCAACGATGTCGACATGACTGACGCCCCGGATGCCAACCCTACCGATGCGAACCGAACTGAATCGACCGTCACTGCGAAAATGGATGCCGCTCCTGACAAAATGGATGTTGACGCCGCCGCCCACGACGCAGATGCGGATGTCGACGGTGAAGCAGATGTCGATGCAGACGCCGATGCAGACGGAGACGCAGACGCTGATGCCGATGCCGATGCCGACGCCGACGCCGACGCCGATGGAGACCCCGATGACGGCGCCGTGTCACCCGTGGAATCCGAGCCTGGCGACCTCCTGGATGTCATCCAGACTCTCAACACAACCCTCAGCAACTGCAAGGACGAAGAGTATGTCTTGACCAGCCGCAGTGTTTTGCGCGTCGCCTTGCTGATAGTAGTCGTTGCAGTGGAGAATGGTTGGCGGCTAGTTTCCAGCGCATTCCGAACAAGCGCCAGTTGCCCGATTATTTCGAGATCATCGAGAACCCCATCGCATTTAGCACGATCCGCGTACGTAATACCCGTCCGAGGTGTGACGAGACCAGGCTCGGCCGGCTAATCATCTCCTGCAGCACAAAATCCAGAAAAAACAGTACACAGCCTTCTCCGAGTTCGTTCACGATGTCGCCCAGATTTGCCACAACGCTCAAGTATACAACCGCTCCTCTTCGGCCATCTTCAAGAGCGCCACCGTAATCCGAGATCTGCTCAAGCAGGAGCTTCAGACACTTGTCGCGAAGGGTACCGTTAAACCGGAGGAGGCTGAGCTGCCAGACCTTGGCGAGCTTCCACCTGCCGAAGATTCTTCTCCGGAGGCCGAATCCGAAGAAGACGAAGAGGAAGAGGAGGAAGAGGAGGAGGAACAAGACGACGACGACGACGATTCCGACGAGGACGGAAAGCGACGTCGGAGTAGGAGGCGCGGCCAGACTTCACTCACCAAGCGGCAGCTCGAAGAAGCCAGAGAGGAGGACGAGCATAAGAAGCGCGGCCGCCCCCCAAAGGTCTTGACCCCTCTGGAGGCTCGTATTCACAATGTCATCAAGGGTCTGCGCAAGGTTCAGTCGGACGACGGCGATTTGCTCATTGGTCCCTTTGAGAAGTTGCCCGACAAGGCTGCGAACCCGGACTACTACCAGGTCATTCTCAACCCGATTGCGCTGGACAACATCAAGAGAAAGGCCAAGAGGAAGAAGTATGCGACTGTGGATGACGTGCTCAAGGACGTCGACCTCATGTTCAACAACGCCAAGGAATACAATGAGGAGGGCAGCGACATCTACGAAGCCGCCGTCGAGTTGCAAAAGCAGGCGCGTGAGCTTGCTAGACAAGAGAAGACAAGACCGGACGACGAATTCCGTGACGAGGACGGAAAGCTGCCCTTGTCAGAGATTCAGCACAACGGCCAGATATGGCGAGTGGGTAAGTTTTTTGAGTTCCTTTCTTTGATCCGCCCGCGCGTGGCCACAGCACAGACGGCCAAGATGGCAAGCAACAAGTGAGCGTTGGCTGACAAGGTTTCCCGTAGGCGACTGGGTGCATATCCGCAACGTCAACGACATGGCCAAGCCCATCGTCGCGCAGATCTTCCGCACCTGGCAGGACCGCGCGGGGCAGCGGTGGATCAACGCTTGCTGGTATTATCGACCGGAGCAGACGGTGCACAGGTACGAGAAGCACTTCTTCGAGAACGAGGTGGCCAAGACGGGTCAATACCGCGACCACCAGATCGAGGAGGTGCTCGATCGTTGCTTCGTCATGTTTGTGACGCGCTTTAACAAGGGCCGGCCGCGCGGGCTGCCGGCGGACAAGGAGGTGTACGTGTGCGAGTCTCGGTACAACGAGGCGACGTGCCGGTTCAACAAGATCAAGACGTGGACCAGCTGCGTGCCGGACGAGGTGCGCGAGAGAGACTACCAGATGGATCTGTTTGACCAGCCGCGGCGGCTCAAGAAGGTGCCCAGCCCGATCAAACACCTGCTGCAGGCGGACGCCAAGGAAACGGACGAGCTGCCCAAGCCGACATGGGGTGCCGCAAACGCACCGCCTATCATCGGTGCCGTGCATCGACGGCCTCGAGAAGCAAACGTAAGTCGTGATGCTGTTTTGGTTTGCCCGATCCTGCTCTCTACACACAACTTTGACAGACAGTGTGTGGGGGGGAAAGTTGACAGGCCTGCCCAGTGGCCCTCTCACTCTTCTCTCATCCCTTTGCATACACTCACTCACTCACTCACTCACTCACTCACTCACACACATACTCTCTCTCTTACACACACACACACACTCTCTCTCTCTCACACACACACACACACCACCCTCAATCTCTTCCGTTATCCAGTACAGGTAGATAAAGGGAGCGGCAGGGCAGGGAATAACAGCACCCTGCACTGCAACCCGTCCCACTACGGGCCAAGCCTCGACCGATTTTTCCTGCTTCTGTCATTCTCACCCTCGCTTCACCCTTTCCCCTGGTTCACGCTCATTTGGTTTACCTATCTGGGGCTGAAAGGGATTCCTCGTTTGTTTTATCCCTTTTGTTTGTTTGTTTGTTTGTTTGTTTGCTTGCTTCCAGGCTCTCGCAATGCCCTGCTCTCTTTGCCTGGCGTCGTTTTCACGTAACTGACAAGACACGTTTGCCGGTACAGGAATCGCCGCCTCCTGAAGCAACGCCGTCGCCGCCGCCGCCGCCGCCGCCGCCGCCTCTGGCGCAAGACGCGGCACGGCGCCCTTCGGTCCTTCAAGCGATGCGGCAGACGCCCAGCGAAATGTCGATGGGGAACCCTCCTACGCCTTACGGGCACGGGATGGGAGGAGGGGGCCCGTCGCCATCGCCAGCCATGTACGCACAGCAGCAGTACACGCCTCAGCATGCGTCGGCTTCACCAGTAGCAGTGGCCCATCAAACGCCGGTGCCTCTCCCCCAACTCCCTCACCAGGCGTCTCACTCTCCGCAGCAGCCCATCCGTCCCATATTCCAGCAGCAGCAGCAGCAGCAGCAGGGGTTCGCTCCAAGCCCCTTTCAGCAGCACCAGCAGCACCCGCACCCGCATCCACAGCACCACCCCCACCCGCAGCACCAGCACCAGCACCAGCACCAGCAGCCTCCTACGGCGGCTCCGGCGCCCCAGTTTCAGCAGTACCAGCAGCACGCGCACCAGTATCAGCAGCAGCACCACCACCACCATCAGGCCCAAGCGCCCGTCCCGCAGCACCAACACCACCACCAACCTGTCCACCACCAGCCCCAGCAGCAGCAGCAACAGCAACAGCAGCCACACCACCAGATGCATCCACAAATGATGCCAGCAAACCCTTTGGGCCCGACCTACAACCACCATCCGATGCAGCCTCACCCGTCGCCCGCAGCGCGTACCTCCATGGCCGCGACGCCCAACGCCATGCAGCAGAACAACGGCTACAACGCGCCACGGCCGCCCGAGGTTTTTACGCTGCCCGACGCCGTCAACGACCAGATCCCCGAGGCGGTGCGCAGTCGGTACAACACGGACGAGAGCGGCAGAATCATTTTCTTCACCACACCGCCCGTCGCCCGCCCCCAACACGGCCTCGCCCCGGACAATGCTCACTCGGGCCACAGCCTCGCGTACCTCGCCAAGAGCAACCCGACGTGGCTATCGGACCGGACGGCCCGCGCCAAGTCCTTCTCCGTCGCCAAGCAGAAGGAACTGAAAACCAAGATGGCCATTGACGACATGACCAAGGGCAAGACCCACGACGAGCTGCGCGAATGGGCCAGCGACTCGTGGGCTCTGTACTGGAAGAGCCACGCCCACGAGACCAACGACATGCTCGCTGACGACGGCGACGTGGACGACCACGAGCGTCTCATGGCCGAGCAGCGCCGTACCCGAGTCAAGTCCAGGAGGGCACGTGCCGAGGAAGCTGAGCGGGCCGAAGAGGCAAGGAAGGCCAACTACCTCGACAATATTTACCACGCCCACTCGAGCCTGCGGTCGTCCAAGCCTCGTGTTGCATGACCGACCGACACGGCCTATGTATGAACCGATGCTCCATCACAGCGCCAATCATCGTTCTGCACAGGGAGGGGGGTTCTAGCGGATTGGAGATGTTGTGATACCTTTTTTTTCGGTTTTTTTTTTTTTTTTCGTTCTCATTTCATCGCTGGCTTTGGGAGTTTACGGGAACAAAGGGCTGCTCACTGGGCCAACGACTAACTCTACCTTGCATGTTCCAAGGATTTCATGATTCACTATACATCAATAATACACTCGGAAATTGGACGGGCAGTCAAATCAGCATTGGTCCTTTCTTTAAAAAAAAAGCCTTTGTTCGTTGTGGTTTTTTTTTTTTTTTTTGGCCGCGGGGAGGTGGCAACGAGCTTCTTTGTCTCGGTAGGATAAGAAAGCGGCGATTGAGTTTTCCAAAAAGGTGGCGGTGGCTCGATTTCAAGACGACAGGCGACTCGGTCGGAGATGTCCAAGTGAAAGCAGAGAGAAACACATGTTGGAGGTTCTTGCTATTACACAGGATGAACGGGCTAGATGAGCACCGACCTCTTACGTAAGTAAACAGGGGATTTCTAGTGTAGCGCGGCAGAATGATGACTAGAGTCCCCCCCTGGGTACCTACGTTGAGTTGAGTGATGACTCTTGACTTGCTCCTTCCGAGCCCAATAACGTTAGGTACCTAGCTAGGTACTTAAGATGTATAACACACTAGTGGTGCTTGGTAGCAGCCCAAGCCCAAAGAGCAAAGAACGAGTTGGCCGCCGAGGACGTTCTTGGCCCGTGCTACGCTTGCGCCGCGCCCCGCCCCGCCCCATATTGTACCTGTATATTCCTGTACTTCTGAGACCGGGTTGAGGAGGGGGGCAATCTACGAGTCTACCATCTACCTATTCACACTACTGACTTGCCTACCCCTACCTACCTACCTTGGCACCTACCTTCTCATGCAGTCTCGACACGCTAAGTGAGCCTCAGCGCGGCTAATTGATTTGCTGACGTTCTCGACTTGCCGACTTCAACCTTCATCTACCCAACCCACCACATCTCTCGCCTCCTCTTCCTCCGCACCACCTTTTCTTTTGCCTCCCACTGCAAACTACAACAACTCACCCTCATCATCAAACCACCCCCCCCGGCTGTAGCGAACCAGCCTCCATCTTCACGGGTTTTCCTTTCTCTCCCCTCCCCTCCTCTCCCCCCCTTCTCTCTATCTTTTTCTCTGCGACCCCCCTTCCTTTTCTGGTTTACTGCCGTTCCGGGCTCGCGTTCCGCCACAACTTTCGCCGCCTCTTTTTGGTACCACCCCGGGTCAACCGCAGTCTGCTGCTTTTGGGTTACGACAACCTATATCCCCGTCTCTTTCTTTCCCGGTCTTTCTCTACCTCTTTTGGCACTGGTTTAGAACAACCAAGGATCCTCCCCTTACTTTGGACCATTTAACCTTCTTCTCACACCCTACCTTGGCCTCCCGCAGCATATTCCAAACCCACCGCCTCCCCTTCAGCAATACGGCACACATCTCAACTCAACCCTTTTCAAGAGGGTTTCAACGTTCCCCAGTCTCATATTTCCTGGAACTGCACTCTGGCACCGCTCATCCAACGTCTCTCACCTTTCTCTTATGCCATAGGACGCCCGCAAACCTGTCAAGATGGCCTCTTCTCTCTTCTCTCGGAGGAAGCCTCGCCACAGGCATCGACCTGCTAGTCCCGTCATCAAGGCATCGACAAAAACTCGGCTTCCTAACGTTTCACCCGCGCCCACATCCACTACCCTCGGAGATTTTTCAAGAATCTTTGCTTCTCTTCATTCTAACACGCCTTCTTGCACCTCGACTCCCGTCCCCGTTTCCACCGAACAAGTGCACCAGCCACCCTTCTCCTCACTTCAACCTCATAGTCTCACTCGCAGCCAGTCACCGAGCCCGCGCCTTCTCTTCTTCATCCCGGACCATGTTATCAGGGAAACTATGGCCTCAAACAGATCCAAGGTGCCGCCGCAGATGTTGGCCAAGACGGCCAAGCCTGACACTCCCAAGCCTGAATTCATGACCACAAGCACCAGCCCTCGGACCTCTTATGACGAGGCCACGACCAGCTTCCCGCCATCGCCCCCCCTCTCTGTCGCTTCGGATGATTCCCTTCGCTATTCGGAGTCGCCATCACCCACCGGTGAATTCCATCATGTTGACCTGCGTCGCGACGGCGGGGCCGCGTTGTCCGACATCACTACGCCTCCTGCCACTCCTCCCGCCCAACAAGACTCCTCTCCTGAATCGTTGGATGGCCTGGATCTTGCTGGCGAACGCTTGCTGAAGAAACAAATCATCAAAAGACCTCGCCTGGCCGCCGACGAGCCTTTGAACGCCCGTCTTGTTCGGCAATTTGGTGCCCACGACCAGTCGCTTCGAGATAACTTCCCGGAGCAGTACGCCAATGGTATCCACGAATTCTACGATGGCTCCAACATCACTGTCAGCTTCTATAACGCTGAAAAGAAAAGGCGTGGCATGGACAAGAAGGATTATCTGCCCGCCTTCTTCAGCCTTTCTGCTTTTCGGCGTGTGCTGGAGCGTGGTAGGCCCGTCGGCCGGCGCTTCATTGCTGGCTCAAGAAACAAGATGGGTGTCGAGCCACAGTATCTTCTTCAAGCACGATGCCTTGGATTCGAGACCAAGGTTTTTGATCGAGTGCGCAAGTTCCCTGCCTCTTCTGACTCTGAGGACGAGTTCCAGGGAATGCAAATGCGCGAGCAAGGAGTCGACGAGCTCGTCCATCTCGGCATGGCGGAGAGCTTGTTGGACAAGAACCCTGGCATCATGGTTCTCGCCACTGGAGACGGCAATGTGGCCGAGTTCTCAGGTGGATTCCCTGGCTTCGTCATAAGGGCTCTGAAAAGAGGCTGGATTGTCGAGGTTTACTCGTTTGCCGAGAGCGCCCATTCTATCTGGAGAGACCCTTCCTTCATCAACAATCCGGAGTGGACCGGCCGCCTGAGCTTCCATCCCTTGGACAGCTTCATCCAAGACTTGATCGACCTGAATAAGGACCAAGTCTGCTATCCTGCTTCGTCTGCCGCAGCAGCATCGCGCAGTTCTTACCTCAAGAGGACAAAGATGGTGAAGGCGACCAAGATTATCAACCTCCTCGAGGTTGACACTCCAGTGTCCGGCACTATTCCTTGGCAGACTGCTGCCGCCGTCGAACAACAAACACCTACGCCTGCTGCTCGGCCTGCGCAGGCTTCTCCTGCCAATCTATCAACGTCCATTTGCAGCCCTCGAGGGTCCTTCGCTCACGGTGCGACCGGCCACTACCCTACGCACGTGCAGCAACTCGCTCAAAATTACATGGCCTCTTCGTCTCAGTACAAAGTCTCTCTACAGTCTTACACCTCGCAGATCTTGGGAGGCTACGACTATACTGCGGCTTTGGCAAGGGATGCTGCCATCCCCGTCACCTCACCCTCTCGGTCTTAGGCTGACACTTTACTCAACATAACCATCGCGCCCAGTGTTCGCCGGAAGGTAGCACTCGCGTTTCTTGTTTTTTCTCTCTGTTCATCGGAATTTATTATCCGCTTGTCCTTGTGCTTCTCGAAGGAGAGCCTATGCAGGAGAGGGGAAACGGCCTGAAAGATGGCTTACCCCGGAAACAAGAGGCTCTGGCCTGCTTCGGTCGAAGACACGGTCACTAGCCAGCGCCTGCTTGGGCATGAGACAAGGCCCTCGCACCCATTTGCCCGCATATCATTCCTTTTTCACTTTGGCGTTCTTCGATTTGGCATAGGTAGCCAAATTTCCATCATCATCATCGTTATCATCATCTCACCCTCTACTCTACTCTACTCCTTTGGCATCTACGAGAGGTGCTCCCTGGGGTGAATTTGCTCATTTGTTCGATTTCGAGCTGAGCAGTGGGTTTTGTTTATTTCAGGGCGGTTGTTTGTTTCAACGGAGTCGGGTCTCGATTTGCCAAGTCTCATGTCTACTTTTCTTTCCTTTTCTTTCTCTCTGGTTTGTTCTTCATGGTGAGAATGATTCATGAGAAGTTTCCTACGAGGAGCGAGGCGGCGAAACAGGAAAAGCCACGAGAGGCTTTTTCTTTTTCTTTGCTTTCCTTTCCCCGTTTACTCGACGAGACACGGATGACGGTGATTTGAGATACCCCCACCTCTTTTCTTTTCTTTTCTTCCTTTTCCTTTTTTGCGTCGTTCTAGTTTTGCCTTTTGATCTCCGGCCTCTGCTACTCTCAGACGCAGAAAACAAACAACTCAGCTGTACATACAACGGCGTTTGGATCATGCATGTGGCAGGCAAGACGGAATGAGGATGGATGGGTATCATGACCAGCTGAGAGGACCGCCAGAAGACTTTGCTACGGAAAATAAACACAAATAAATCACACTTGTCGCATAAATTGCCCCACCCAAACTATATATACTCGTCTTGCTCGCGACGGGTTCCATGTAGACGCTGTCTCTCTTCACCAAATCGCATCAGTAATGAATGCACTACCGTGACCAAACCCGCACTCACACCCTGATAATCAGACGGAATCTTAAATTGGGAGGGGGGGATGTTTCATTCGACTACATGTCATATTGTGGTGAGTGGCCAAAGACCCAGGCTGAGGATGCATCGACAAAGTAAATAAAATACAGGTGACGATGAAAACGACCGCTTCCAGCCAGCCTCACATAAGTGTTTGATCGCTTTGCTCCCATTTCTAGACCCAGACAGCGCCTCCATCCCTAGACCCCTCACGCTATAACCGTCCCGCAATAGTATAAGACCGCTTTTCTCCCTTCTCCTCCCGTGAGGAAAGCTCCATAGATGCCGATTCTCCCAGAATCATGTCGACATGATGTCAAAAGCTGGTCATTTCTGGCCGTGAAGGTGACCTCAAGCCACCGTTAGAAAAATGCTCCGTAGTTCCAACCTATCCGAGAGTGCCTCGTATTTGTTTTTGTGCAGATAGTCAGTCAAGAATAAGGGTTAAAAAGAAGAAAGATCCGTCAGGCAACTCCGCTCCCTTGCTGTGACGTCGCCACCACGGAGTGGCAATTAGCCAACCACAACAACGAAGACGCAGAGAAACAGAAAAAAAAGTAGTGGTATCTTGAGGGTTAAATGCGATCGAAATGAGAATAGTGGGAGACGAGTTCGAAATAATGTAAAACGCTTGAGCAGCCACAGGTCGGCCTCTGGTTACTCCCGTATCGATGTCATGCCGCCGCTACTGCCGCCTTCCAGGAGAGGTTGGCTCGGAGGAGGCATATTGTTGTGGCTTTTGGAAATGGAAACCGTAGTGGCGGGCGTTGTGTTTCCAGATGATCCCTCGCTGGGCCGAGCAGGCGTGCTGCTCCTAGCCTTGACTTCGTTTTGAAGCTGGGACGAGTGTATAGGCGAGTTCGATTTCTTGCTTTGGGCGTCGGCGTTTCCACCCCCTCGGGACGAGTTACGCGGCGAGACCCGACCAACCTATTCCTGATTAATATCGTAATCCTCCGGTCCGTCCACTACAGAGGGCTCAGTGCTTCTCACCTGCTTTGCCCATCGCAGGCCACAACTGTTGCACAGGTCTCTTTGACCACTAGGCCCTCTGCGCCATTCGGGCGTGTTACGTGTATGGCAGTTGGCACAGTCGCGGACAACGTTGCCAACCCCCTTTCTTCTCTTTCTCTTCTTCTTGTTTGATAGCAAACCACCCAGTTCCTCGGCAAGGATCCTGTTGACCTTCTCCATCTGACGCAGTTCAAACTGCCAGCTAGAGCATTTGGTTGTTCGAAGCTCGTCAAAGATGTTGTCATCCGAGGCCAGAGCTGCCTCCTGCGAGCCCGGCATAGTCTTACCGCCTGGTACCGACATGGGGCCGGTCTTTGTTAAATCGGTATTTTGGGTGGGCTGCGAATTTGGTACGACCTGAGAAGTGGATTTGACGCTGCCAGGCGGCGTAGCCGCCGGTGCAATGGCCCTTGACGAAGCCTTCAAAAGCTTGGTCTGCGCCAGCAAAAATGTCGGCTTCTGGCCATCTGCGGCGTCTCCGGGATACAGGATTGTTTGCGCTTGAAGGACTTGGCCTCTTCTGTTGTGGACTTCGTGCTTGCATGTAACAATCTTACCCCTTCTTGCCTTTTCAATCGCGCGACCAAACTCGGCGCGGCTTTCTCTGCGCATCAGCTCCTGCATGCTGGTACCAATGAGGGTGTCTGGCTGTAGATCGAGCAGAGATCGGATGTTGGACGAGACGAAGAGGAACATGCCAGATGCCGAGATCTTTGTCCATAATTCACTATCGCCGATGCCCCCATGTGCCTCCAAGTCTCGCCGGCTCAAGGCGAAGACGGGCCGTTTTCTTCCTACCAGAATGATGCACTTTCTGCCCTTTCCATGTTCAAAGAAAAGTGAGCCATGGCTTTCGAACCACGTGTACCCGCTTTGCTTCCGTCTGATGCGGAAGACAATGTTGACCGAGTTGCCAGCGGTGGCGTCCTTTAGCTCTCGGGTTACGGGAACAATGTCTGACGGATGGCAAACGGTTGAAAGAGAATTGCCAACCAACTCGGTCGCGTCGTACTCCAGCACCTTCTTACAGGAGGGAGAAAGGTATAGGAAGAGCCCCTTGAGAGATAGGACGTGTACCACGTCATCGGTATTCTCCAGTAGCATCTTGTCCCAAGACTGCTTGTGCCAATCAGACACTACGCCCTTCGGGTTGAACTGCTGCAGTAGCGTGGAAACATCGTCGACACCAAGCGTCTGTCCATTCTCGGGTTCGACTGTGTTCACAGTCGGAGGTGTCCAGATGTACTGGCCAATATCGCTGTGCTTGTAATTGACTTTGACGCCGCCGGCCTCCTGGCCTTGAGCGATGGCATCCGGGCACTCTACAAGATCGATCTGGAAGCCGACGAAGAAACGTACTTCGTTGGGGTCGTCCCAGGGGATGGGAATCATGGTCAAGAGGTTGAGAAAAGGCTTTCCCCCCTTGCGATAGTTGATCAAGCTTTGCTGGACCTCACGGCCCTCGGCGATCTTCTTCTTTAGATTGTACACCGATGCGTCGTCGACAAACTCGCGCTTGGAGCCGGCCTCCACCTTGCCGTCGGGTGCCTGGAGAAACCGACAGTTTTGACCAACGATCTCATGGCGGCTATAGCCCGTCAAATTCTGGAAGTTGTCCGAGACGTAAATGATGGGACAATCGTTCAATGAGACGTCGCAAACAACGAATGCGCAGGACATGTCCACGGCACCCAGGTGAATTTCTGGGTTCTTTCGTGTCGCCACGTACCATAGCGCCCGAAGCATGTCGAAGCCGCTCTTGGAGTAGACGTTCTTCTCTTTGGACTCGGCGCGAGGAGTCTCGGGTCCCATGACGGGAGTAGTCTCTGCTGTGGGGGGTGCGGCAGCTACTTGGCTTGCCGCCATTGAAGAGGGTCGGTTGTTAGGGGATTGTGATGATGTCTGGCCTGAGTTGCTCGACATCTCGCGCGATAATGAGGATCGGGTTGTCTGAGAAGGACCGTTTGAGAAACTCAGAGGCTGGCCGTTGGCTCCAGACGAGTTGTCTCCCGACTGCTGGTATTGCTGGTTCATATTCATAGGGTCGTTGTCTCCATCATCAATGTTTAGTGGAGTGTCAAGAGCACTGTGTGTTGCAGTGCCGGGTGTATCATCAGTGCCCATGTCCATAGTCATATCAGCAGTGTTTGTATTGAGGGGGTTCGGGAACGCGTTGGCCATTGAGGTCTGAGCATACATGCTCATACCGGATGTTGTGGGCATGGCAGAGACCGACATGCTAGAGTAATTCGGCGGCATCATCGAGCGCATCATGTCGGGTGAAAATGTGGTGAAGGCATTCGTTGGCGACATCTGCAGTGCGTCCTGGGCGGAGTATGCATCCATGGGACCCGGTACAGATATGTTCCCAGGCACGTTGTTGGGCATGGTACTATCCATACCGTTACCCATCGGGCTAGCCATGGTGAAGTCGGCGTTCATCGCTGGGTTCTGGAAAGGATAGTTAAGCATCTGGTTATCGTCGGCGCCGAACTCCATCATGGATACTCTTCTGCTAGGGCCCCCATTCTGACCGGTCTGGTTCGAGGGCATATATGACTGGGTTATACTGCGACGACGTTGAAGTTCATGATGATTACTTTGGATGATGTCGTCGAGAGAATCGCCCGTGTTGCCTCCTCTGCCGCCACCGCTCATCATGGACATGGCGTGACCTTGATTCATCTGCTGGTAGCCGTGGCCGCCGGTCTGACCTGCACCCTGCATCTGGCGTTGCTGAGATTGTTGCGACATCTGTCGCTGTAGCTCCTGGGGAGTGAGCTGTGAGTAGAAGGCCTCCATGGCGAGCGCATCGGTCTCGGAGAGACTTTCTCGTCGTATGAGGGTCCAAGATCGTCGACCAATTTTGGTGGGGTTAAAGGTCGTAGAAGTGATTTTTTCCCCGGGCTGTTCAGCCGTCCAGCTTGTACTTTTCTCTTCCGAGGCGCCGGCTTAAATGGTGCCACTTGTGCATCCGGTCGGGGATGTGCTGTCCCGTTGCGACCCTGGATTATCCAGCTGGGAATCTATAGGACTGTCGAGTGATATAGACGGGAGCTTTGGCTGGGGGGAGAGGAGGTTGTTCGCCGTGGCAAAGGCAGGTCAGACGATTGAATGTCGTTCCGGTGGTGTATTGCGATGCGTCGGAAACTCCGGTTCAGTACAGGACGAAATGGAGCGGCGCGGTCGTTGACTCGGCGAGGAAGAAACAACGGCTTCGGCGGAAGGTGTCGTGGGATTGCGTTGAGTAGTGGGCGAAGGCGTTTGTCGGTTGAGACTGGATGTTGGTAGAAAGTCGTCGTCTGAGCCAGATCGGATGTGTTGCGGGGAGGAGAAGATGGAGATGTTGACGGTCCGATGGTTGCAGCCGGTGGTGGAAAGGAGGGGAGGGGAAGAATTGGGGGCGCGAATGGCCTTGGATCGCCCGTCGTAATACCACCCCTAAAGGTGGGTGGGTGGGTGTGTGTGTGTGTGACTGTGCAAGGAGAGGAAAGTGTGTGCGTGTTGGTGGTGGTGTGCGTGTGTGTGTATATGTGGGTGTGGGTGTACGATGATGTGCCCGCAGTGCCTTACCTACTTAGCCTTGGCCTGATGTATCTTCTTTGCAGTAGTAGCCTAGTAGGCAGGTAGCAAGAAATGTCCCTGGGAGGAGTGAAAGTTTTCGGCGTTACCGCTGTCTCGCAACTACAGACGAGTTTATTGTTCAATCTGGGGAGTGGATTTTAATTTTTTTAATCTAATTTTTTTCTTTTCTTTTTTTTTTCTCTCTCGTTCGCTCGACCCGAGGGATGGGGCAGGACTATGGTTGAGAGACACGAGAGCAACGAAGGGAAGAAGAGAGAAAGAGATGGGGGGAAGAGTAGAGACCCAAAAGAGGAGCCTTGGGCTGTAACGTGCTGGGCAAGCGAATAGTAGTCACGTAGTCGGCCTGCTTGCAAGGACATGGGAGGGCGGAAAGACCAGGCATTGCCGGGTTGTATTTTCCCCGGCATTTAATATAAATAATATCGAACAACTAGTGTCTTTTGGATCTTTTCTTTTTTACGTCCGATTCTTCAGCTCCGGCTATTCTCACTTATTAAACCCGGTACCCAAACTGGATTCAGTGCATTCGTACCTCACTCAGTGAACCCGGGTATGGTATAGTGTGTACCTCGTGCGTCCTCATCATCGTCTTCGTGGGTTCGAGATTGGTCTCGTTCCCTGCTGTCTGGGCTTGTTGAGTTTCCAACTTGCCCAAAGGAACCAGGGTGAGATAAGACCAAGCACGCCAGGAAAGGCGCGGTTATCACCATGCGTACGGATACACAAGGTAAACTACCTACGGTAGATGGATAGAGCCAGGCTAAGTGAAGACTCGGTCAGCAAGAGGAGCCCGGCAGACGGGTAGCTGCATGGGTCTCTGCCCTCGTCCTGGGTTTCGCCTAGCCTCGCCGCGCCGCGCCGCGGGTGCTGCACCTGGCGGCGAAGGGTATCCGCAATGGCTAGCATGGGGCGAGGGAGAGGAAGGTTTTGCGGCCGTGACACGTGCGGTGGCATCCATCGTCTGAGGAAGGAACCCGCGTCGAAAGGTCAACAACCAGCACATATCCAGTAGCCCAGGCAAGGAATGTTCAAGCGTCTAGTGTAGGTACAGTAGGTATCTTGGGTAAGAGAGATGAGTGTGTTGAGCGTCGTCGTCGTCGTCGTCGTCGTCTGCTGTCACAAACAGAGCGAAATGGGACATGTGCGCGTGCTCCGGCTTGGGTTGGTTGGTTGGTTGGTTGGTATATCTATCTACACGTACGTGTACACTACGACTGGGTAGGTAGATAGGTAGGTAGTACACTAGGTATATACCGGCTACCGGGCTCTGGATGCACAAGCGTTTCTGAAGAATGCGTGCGGCTTACTCGACAATCACTGTGGAATGAATGGGTGGTGTTCCGAGACCCAAATGGCGTATTTAGCATGAGGGCGGGATGATGACGGCATGGGCGCCAAGTACCCAGCAGGACTCGGGTCTCCATAGTGGGTCCTATCTGCTGAGAAGTGCCTAGAAGTACCATAGCCACTCGTCAGATCCGATATCTGCTAATTCTTGGGCTAACGGGAAGGGGTATTACGGCCGCCGTAAGCAGTAAGATTTACTGGCAGAAACAGGGATCCAGTGGTGGCAGAAGTAGGGGTTTGTCATGTATATTAGAAGCAAATTAGGTGGGAAGTGTGAGAAAGGCTAGCAAGCAGGCTTGTTATGGTTGCTAGACGTCTTCTGTTGGAGATTGACCGCCTTCTTTTATAGGACTAGCTCAACGGGCTGCACTATACCTTATATAGTAACCGCGATACCTTTTCCTGTTAGCTCCAAAGCTAGCAGATGTCGGATCTGACGAGTGGCTACGGTATTCGGTATCCGCCCCACTTTGGCGTACACCCCCATTCTGAGTGGAGGAGCTGCGACCAACTATCGACTAGGGAGTGCCATTGAACGGGCGGGCGGGCAGCCAGCCACCCACATCAGACAAAGAGCACACAGACTGCCAGCAGTCTTTTGTACAGGCATGGTTGCCATATGGTACCGTATACCGTAGAAGATATGTATCCGTAGTTGGGCAGTCAAACTCCAACCCGCTCGCGGTAGCTACGGACAAGCTGGAAGGCCGATGCCGATGCTGATGCCGATGCCCGAGCAAATCGACTGCCATCAACGGCGGCGGTAAGGCCATGTCTCCAAACATGCATCCCAACCCCCCGAGTCTAGCTTTCGGCTTCAGGCGAGCGGTGCCGGTGCCGATGCCGATGCGGGTCTCAGTGCCCTGCTCCGTTTCAAGCATTTCCCGGCCCCTACACAAAACCGTTGACCACGGCGGCTGCCTCAGAATCGATCGGTTGGATACCTACATATACACATAGACGTTTGTACAATGTAGGCACACCCAAGTAGTCAAGCAGCCGCCGAGGGGGGGACGCCAAAGATGCGACAATACACTGTAAATGGACCAAGGACCTGGCATCGAGAGGCCCATGCGACCTACCTAGTGTAGCCAGAATACTCCGTACAGGCAGGGTAGGAACTTCCTCTCCGAATATACGGTTACATGCCTACCTACCTACCCAGGAGGTACCTCAGTAGCCAGGTATCTACCTACCTACGTATCCGTACAGAGTACGGATACGGAGCAAAAGGTACTAGGTACCTACCTCTTCTCGTGGTGGTCAGTGCGGATTACTTAATACAGACAGGACAGGGGTTTGAGCAAGGAAAGTTAGTTTTAGTCGAGCAAAATCAATGTCGTCATAACCCGCAGTCTCCAGATGGCCCTGAACCGTCTGATACCAAGCAGTAAATGCTGCAGACCACACACACCAAAGGCTCCGGCAATGCTCTCATTCCCAAGCTCGGGCAACAGAACGAACCGTTGGTTCCATCCCACCCTCCTCACCTCACCACCAGCCGGTCTTTGTCACGCTAGCGCCAACATAATTACCTAGTGTAGTGCACACACAGCGCGCTGCACAGCGGAGCTGGGACGTGGCCATTCATTCCCGATCGTCAATCCTCCTCGCCCCTTTTCCTCCTCCCTTGCATAGGTAGATAGATGGGTAGGTAGATCGTGTTTCTTAGCCGGCCAGGAACCAACTCGAAACACCGCAGTTCTATATGCCATTGCTAGATATAGATACACACGATCCCAATCCCTCAATCCGGTTCTAATCGGGCCTCCTTGGCTGCAAACGCCCTTCTCCTTCATATCCGCAACAAGTACGGAGTATCCGTACCTACCTAGTAATTAGGGCACATATCCTTCCTTACCCGAGCGGCCCAAAACCCCAGCCTGACTCTGGAAACAAAGGCCGGCGCGACCTGATAAGAAACCGATCCGTCCCGCGTTGTTCTGTTGGAGCCTCGGCAGACTTTTTGTCTTCTCCTGGGTAAACTACCTACCATGGTTCCAACTCCCCTTTAGTAAGCAATCGCCTACTTCTCCACCTCAACGGGGGCCAACAGCTACCCCCTTGGTAGGAACCCACCCAGCAAAAGGAACCTACACTCCGTACACGGATGTGCACACACAAACATACCCATTTACACACACCATTAGGGATCAGTGCCCTGCGGTGTGTTGGCCCTACGCCGCCCACTATGTACTCCATAGGCCAGCAGCCCTCTGCACCCATGTGACTGACAAGCGCCCTTGACGACCCGGACGAAGCAAGGATCGACGAGGCATAATGTCTCGTCCGCCAGAAGGCTCCCTTGCACCGTTTCTAGCCATCGAGATGTGTCTCTCTCCAATACCCGTCTTATTGTCCCTTTACCCAACAAGGGCGACTAGGAAGACGGAACAGGGGGAGCTCCAGCTGCCATCTTTCGGCACACACACACATACGCGCACACGTGCATCCCTCGACAGCGCGCTTTCCCACCTTCCCGCAGCTGTTGACGGCGGCTTTTCCAGACCAGGGACCGGGAAAGCAAGCCTTGGCATGTGCTCTCGTGAGGCAGCTGCGCATCATCCTTGCATGATAAACACTTTGTGGCGTAATGATTAAAAAAGCCAATGGTGCTTTCTGCACGACAGCTGATATCTATCCATCAACATGGGGGAAACCAACGCAACCACCAGATACATCACCATGTCCAAGATCCCATTCTTGCACCTGATGCCTGTGGCAACACTTACATATCGAGCCAGGTCAAGACATCGACAGTGATAAAGGACAACCACAATGGCCGGACCCAACCCCAAGGCCTCTTCTTTCGGCCTTCAGTGCCTCCCTGGACTCACAGCGTTGAGACAGTCGAGAGACGTGTCAGGCCGGGCAGCTGGGCCGATCGGTCAAGAGAGGAGGAACAAGCGAACTGTCGGTGAGTGCCTTTGCCCATCTCATCGTCAAGTCAAAGCAAGATTTGGGGCGTCTGAGCCCCCACCTCGTCTCTCCATTCCCCCTCCCCCCTACCCCCGCCTTGGAATGGCATAGGCAGGCAACATGGCAATTCCGTTTGCCATGTTTAATCTTCCTTTTCTTTTTTTCTTTCTTGTTTTTTTTTTTTTGTCCCCCCCCCATGCGCTTGTCTCTCGCCAGTAACGTAACCGCTCACTCGAGACGCGTCCTCTATTCGACCATCCCTATCTCATACTCTAAACTCTCCATTTTTAACCCGGTCCATAATAATTTCTCTGATAGAAAGGTCGCCGCCGCCGCAATGTGACTCAGAGCTGTGTCCCGGACTGGCTCTACCAACTGTCTCATAGTCCAGACAGAATAAATCCGTGCCAGTGTGAGATGACTACGTACTACCATTCTACAGCAACGACGGCCTTGCCAGTGTGAGCATGAATGCCAAAAGGCTGAAGTGGTGCCACTTTTCTCCGTGACGTGAGACTAGGCGGCACCAGACGACCTGGAACAACTGCCGCCACCCCCCCCCCCCCGCGGATAATATACCTCGTTTCCCCAGCCCAGCCGCCTGGCCTCTTATTCCTCAACACGCCACCACGAAAGCGGTATTCCAGATAGCGAGTCTCGCTTTGGATCCAACAAGCATGGCTCCGTTCTATTCCGGTCCATGGAGTTATCCTTGCTTCTGGTTGCTCGACAGAATGCGGTCAGCGTTATGTTTGCTATAGGCATCTTCATATATATATATATATATATATATATGCCCTTGTTGAGTAGTTTACTCGGAGAGGGTTGCCGTGGATTTTCGCCCCTCTGATAGTCTACATACATCATCTACACTTCACGGAGCTGGCTTGTTGACTACACCTGTATGCATGTCTTGTTTCTCTCCCATCCTTTGCTACCCGTAAGTGGTTTGACAATGAATCATGTCATCGGCAACTCAAGAAGGCGGGACTTGACTTCCGGCACAGGTCCTCGGATTAGGGTACAGCTCATCAGCATCAATCCTAATGACGCGGCACCTCTCTCATAAGCACGGCTCATCATTGAGGAATATATCATATCTGCGTAGATTTCTATCTGCAAAAGCAACCACTCCTTTATATTATCAAGTAATATCACTACTTTGGCGCCAGCGAAGAGGGAACCGATGGCGAGAGGGAAAAGACGACCAAAGTGGTCTTCTCGCTACACACATTCACCTCCCACCCCACTCACCTTTCCCTTCTTCCTCGTTCTCCCCGCCACCCAGCTTCGCCCATGTTGGTTGGCACTTGGCTCGAACGAGGCAGCTATCCAAGTCTAGAACGACTGTTCTGGTGCACCAGTGACTTTTTCTCTCTCGTCTCAGTGCCTATGGTATCATCGACTACTATCCTCCCCCCTCCCCACCCTCTAGTACAACACCCCTCGTCATGTCGCTCACCCCGTTGGGTGCCGGTTCTCCATTTGAAGCTCTTCCAACCTGTTGCTCCAAACTCAAGAAAAGTACGCCGTGATTGCTCGTTGAGATTCGGGCGAGAACTGCTGCAGGAGTGGCGTGGGGTCCACACCCGCCTGGGACAGGAGGGCCTTAATGGCGCCAACCACGCGGCTTGCGGTCTGTCCTTGGAGAGTGTCTGCCTCGAGTGCTTGGGCGGTGAGCACGAAAACCCTGCCAGCCTGGTTTACAACAGCCGGATGTTGCCTGTGTATCGCACGTCAGCAATGATGCACTGTTTGGTCATAGGGGATGTTCACTCACTTGTCAATCAGCTCCGCGAGGTAAGCATATGCGTAAGGTGCCGCCTCCTCGTCGTTCGTCACCGGGAGTGTCTCCATCCACTGAGCAACGACGTTGTTGGGGTCTTGCACTGAGCCGGCATTGTAATGGAGAATCTTGGCAATGGCGGCACAGGCGTTCTCGGTTGCGTACACATTATCCTCGCTCCGCGCGTCAGGTACTTGCGTAACTTGGAAGAGGAAAGGCAGGGCACCACCCAGGAACTGGGCCCAGGGAAGGCCACCACGGTGCGCGGCCACGCCAATGCCGTAAGCAGCAGCTTGTCGAATGGCGGGCGAAGAGTCTCTGCAGCCGTCAACCAAAGGCTGTGTGATGAGATTGGCGTACTTTTGGCTCTCGGGACCGCAGTACTCGAGGACATCGTCCATGATGCAGAGACCCCACTGGCGCTGTGTAGGGTCGTCCGACTTCAGGAAACCCTCGTATGTGGGAAGCAGACGCTCCCAGGCCGGGAGGAAGGCTGCACCGTGATTCTTGAAGATGGCATGGAAGGCCTTGTTCATGTCGGACAATAGTGTCTGATCGTCCTCAATGGCCAACAAGACATCATCGGCGTCGTCTTCCGCATCCTCGGCCGCGACGCCCTCCTTGTCCTCGAGGCGCTGAGCCACGCGGTCTTTGTAGTCCTCGATAGCAGAGTGAACTGAATCAATAAAGCGAGAGAGATGCTCAGCAGAAAGGCACTCCTTTCCAACAACTTCAACAGACTCATAAAAGCACTGGTACATCTCGGCAAGGGTGTCAATGGCCGGCTCCGCCGTCAAGACCTCGAGAAGCTTGTCAACAGTCGCCGCCCACAATCCGTTGAGCTCGTTCGAAGGGCTTCCGTAAGTCTTCTTGTAAGAACTGAGAAGCTGCGGTACCAGCTTGGCCGAGATGAATCTGACGGGGTCGTGGAAGAAGAAGGCCAAGCCAGGAAGAGCGATCTTCTCCATGATCTCAGCCACGTATGGAGCAAAGCTGCCCTCGAGTACCTGGGCGTAGACAACCAGGAGCTCGATGGCCATGTTCTTGTCCTCCATGGTGCTAGTTCGAATGCCGATCATCTTGCCTTTCAGAGGGACGAGTTCCCAACCGTCCTCCTGCTGAATCTGCTCGACCTGGTCATCGTCATCGAGAAGCTGAATGTCAGCCTTGGCGCTGGCGAGCTCAAGAAGAGGAGGCATGACATTGGGCAGGAAGGGAAGGAACTCCTGGCCAAGCACTCTGCACATGCGGCCCCAACAATGCATCAGATACTGAGCCTGCGGGTCGTCGGGGTCCGTGATATTCTGCTGGATGGAGGCAAGGAGCTGGACGAGAGTCATGGCGTCTTGGCCAAGCCTCTCCTTTCCGACTGCCAAAGCAATCAGGGTGGCGCACTCCATTGCCTTGGCGCGAAGAAGACGGAATTCCTTGTCGTTCTCCCTCTGCAGAACACTGACCAACAGAGGCATCAGGGTATCGTAATACTTTGAGAACGCAGCCTCGGCAGCGTCAGCAATGGTTGCAATGGTCGACAGGGCCTGCTCCTGAACATAGCGCTTCTCGTTCTGCAAGAGCTGGAAGAGGTGAGCAAGGAGCTCGTCGAGGTAGGGTTCCAAGATGGACTTCTCGGCCTCCTCGCAGAAGTTGACTAGAGCAGCGGCAGCGTGCGACTTGACGCGAGCCTCGGGGGACTCGAGAACAGGAATGATGGCCTTGAGCACGCGGTCGTAGTAGTCGGTCTGCATCTTGGGCGCAAAGTCGGTGCTCATCTGGCCGAGCGCATTACAACCAGCCCAGCGGACACGAGGATGGGGGTCCTTCAGTGCAGGAACAACGAGGTCGAGGACTTGGCTGAGCTCACCAATCATCAGCTCCCGGCAGCCCTCTGAAATGGCGGAGATGGCCATGAGGGCCGCGTGCCTGTCCCTCCAAGCCATGGAAGTCATCATGCGGGGCAGCCAGTTGAAGGTCGGGGCCAGAATGGTTTGGCCACCAAGCTTGTTGGCGAGGCGATCCATGCACTGCTCTCCAGCAACGTGGTTCTGGTCGCTTTCTTCCTGGTCAAGCTGGATTCGGGTCAATATCCATACCTCCGTCGCCCAGAGTAAGGAAGCTACTCACGTCGTCAGACGCCAGCCATTCAGCGGCATCATCGTCGTCCTCACCCAGATCGGTCATAAGACTGAGACACTGGGTGATCATATCGTTGGTGTAGGTGGCATCCTTCCGGCACACCGAAGGCGCGAAGTCGGCGAAAGTAGCCATCAACTCGAGGGCGTTCTGGCGGCAGAGGTTGTCGAGTTCCTTGTCCTGGATCACGGACACGCTGAACTGGACGAGGTTGTGGAAAAGGGGCTTGAACATCTTGGGCGCCGACTCGGCCAGATCGATAAGAGCGACAAGGGCGCTGCTGAGGTCCTCGGAATCGTGTGTCTCCTTGATTGGGGGCAGGATGTTGAGGACGTCGGGAATCAGAGGGTAGAACTTGGGTTGCACCTTCTTTCCCAAGCTCCTAAAGAAGGCTGCAAAGGCCTCCATGGCGGCCAGTCGTACCTAGTTGCAAGTCAGGGAGGCTGAAAGCCAGACCGGGGGCCTTTTTCGGGTTTGTCCTACCTGCACGGAATCATCCTTGAAGCCCTTCTGGAAGGCCTGGATAATGGTGTCCTCGTGCTGTTTCTCGATAATCCCGGGGGTCGTGGCGAAGACACGGAAAGCAGTCTCGCGCTTCTCGGCGTCGGGGGCAATGCTGAGCTGGAAAAGACCGCCGAGCAGTTCGGGCCAGGAATCGTCTGCCATGGTGTGAGGTTTAAGTTTCCAGGAAAGGGAGCGAAGTGGGATGTGAACAGATTTGCGACGTACTATTCTCGGTGTATTGTCTAGCTACCTCAGCGACGGCGTCACTTATCTTATTCCGCACAGCACGCTGGAAATCGCCGCCGAGGCACTCGAGAAGCTTCTGGCGAATGGCAGCAGCTTGGTCCTGTGACAAGGACAGGAACATGTCGACAAGCTCGCCGCGGGCATTCTTGCGGCTCTTGGAGGAGATTCTGCGGAAGATGACGGCGGCAAAGGATCGTATCTGAAAGGCGGTATGACGGTGGTTAGCAGCAGGCCACAAGACGAAGGAAGAAGACGAGGGATAGGAGAAGGACGGACGAGGGGGGGTTGGGAAGGTGGAAGTATAGGGCAAAGAAACATACCGAAGCATCGGGGGCAACTTGAATCTGCTCGGCCAGGCCCATCAACAAAACCTCGGGTCTGTTCGCGGTCCAGTTGTTCTGGAGGTGTTCTTCGGCCTGGGTTCGGACGGAGTTGTCTGGGGACTGCAGAGCTTGCAGCAGCTGGGACAGCTCGGCATGGACGTCTGGGGGAAGGACGGACATGATTGCGACTGAGACGGTGTGTCGGTCGTGGTCAAGTCGAGTGTTTTGCGGTTTTTGTTGTGATTACCAGCCCCAAGACAGCCGGGGCGGTGGAGGTTTGTCGGGAGCGCGAAAGAAGATTGCGTTGAGGTAGGCCGACGCGGGGAGAGGCGGATGAGTGTTCGGCGTGTTGTGTTCTGAGGGGTACTTTTTTTACCCTTTTCGGTAGCCCCAAATGTCTCTCGACCTAAACCTTGGTGCGCCAAAGTAAGCGAGCGCGAGTCGGACGAGGATAGGGAGGAACGCGGGTATATGCAGTCTACTGGGAACAGCGACTGGTCGCAATGATGAGCATGATATGCTTCGGCAAAAGTACGTGGTGGTGAGGGATGTTGCGGAGGGAGAGGAAGAGAGAGAGGAAAGGGGGGGTGAAAAACAAAGGCACTTGCAGGAGTCAAAAAAGTGAGGCAGCAAGCCCACGATGGTGAGGGACTGGGGGGGGGGGTTCCTGTCATGGAGGGGAAAGCAAAAAATGACAATAATTTTGGTAGGTTTTTGGCGGGGCTCTTGGTGGAGGTGGGCACTCACGTCCGGTGGCCTGTCTGTCTGTCCGCCCACACGCTCTCACTCATGGGCAAAGGAGGGCACTTTCTTTGCTGCTGCTGTATCCGTACTGCCCCATGGTATCAAGGTAGGTATCTACCTTGGGTAGGTGGTACTGTACATTCATTACCTACCTAGGTAGTTGAGCAGTCCGTGTAGGGGTCTGAAATTGTTAGTGTATTGGAATTTTGACTGGCCATGATTGCATGTGAACATAACATTCATCTCCACCCATAGTTCAAATGTGTGTGGTTATGGTAGGTATCAGCCAAACTACCTAGGTAGGTGCCTGCTTTGCTTGCCTCAGCTGCCTTGAGATAAGGCACCGCCATCCTGACACGTTCATTTCGGCGCCTCGGTCTTGATGCAATGCGAGTAGTCTGCGTCTCCTCTGTTGCTAAGCCCACAGGTTGCTGTGTTGAATGGCAGGCGGCTACGACATGTCAAACTTGTTCAGGACCATACCGTAGCAACACAGATGCCACCACGAAGAGGTAGTTGACACCAGTTTCAAATTAGATCATTCCGTCTGTCAAAGGACAGATGGGCCAGTAACGCAGGGGAGGGGAGGGAAAGGGGGACGAAGAGCTGAGGAAACACACAAAGAATGAAACCAAAGCGAGAGGGAGAGAGAGGGAAAAAGAAAATTTCAACGGCAAGCTGCACCCTGCAACGATCCTAATGCAAGAAGCGGAAAGGCTCATATTGGATAAGGAACTGCCCATCAGAGAGATCCCTTGCAGTCTCGCCAAAGCTCCCAGCCCTAGGGGCGACACTGGCCATGCCCAAGTGTCCATGCAGCCAAATCCACGGACAAAGCCTTTTATTGTTTCTCTCATAAAATTGAGGCGAAGCATACAATAATGTCTGCTTCGGGTCGGGTCCAGCGAATCAGTACTGTTTAATAGGTAGGTAGATAGATAGCTTCAAAGCCTCGCGTCCAGGTGCCTGGCATGACACGCAGCGTTCACAACAAAGCAACGAGACAGCAGCATCATTTGTGTATGAAGGTAGGTAGGCTCCGGTGATACGTAGGGTAATCAAAAGCGTGCATACAGGTTGTTGCTGTCAGTTTACAGCAAGGGTCAATCAGGCTGAAATTCTTCACCAGTACTAGATCTACCTAGGTAAGTTAGTACCTACTAAGCACTTGCTACCTGCCTCAATATCCCACGTATTATTGATTTATACTGTTTATTCAATAATACGGATATTTGTAATAAGTGGAGAGGGTGGGGCACCGGACCGTTGGTGCACCACCGCTCGGGAATAGTGGGGATAAAGGAGGAAAGGAAGCCAATCACGGCTTTGGACTACCCACTGAGGGGTAGCATAAGGCAAAAGACGTGCCGGCATATCCCTGAGCATCTACTGTGTAAGGTAGGTAGGTACCTACCTTATAGGTACACCGAGGTAAGGACCTGTCTGTCCGGTGCAGTGTCTCCAGAGCGTACAACACTGGCAAACTAGTCCCCCAGCCATGTTCGATGCCGTTTGAAGCGCTCGCTTTCTACATATGACAAACTTATTCAACCCTCCATCCCTCTGTTCCTTCATCCGAGCATCGAGGCATGCGGTCGTTGTAGCTCTTTTTGCTTTTTCTTTTTCCTTCCACACGAATCGAGACAGCAACAAGCAAGCCAATTACAACATTACCTCGTGGTACACTGGACTGTTCAAAGCGCATGCATTCCCCGGCCCTGTCACTTATCGGAACCCATCAGATCATCGGAGCCCCTCCATTGCGATTCATAGCTATTCCGCCTACGTAAGGCGCTGCGGCAGCTTTGGTCTGGGCAGCCGTGGCTCTGGGGCGCAATCAACCGACTGTCGGCCTCCTCTCTCTCAACGCCTCGCCCAATATCTAACCCACTCAGCCATCAATACACAGACGACGGGGGCAATCTGACAAAGCAATTGCAAAATCCAAAAAAAACCAAGTAGGATTGAACGACCGTAGAAACTGCCATTATAACCTATTCAGCAAAAAAATCACAGGCGCAGGAGTAACGCACCAAACGTCATCACCGCCACGCAAAAAAGGCCCCGCCTCAACCTATCCTTATCCTACCTACCTTGCCAGACCGCTCCGGAAGACAACAATCTTGGAACGAACGGAGAGATCTTGTTTGAAAAGAGCAATGGACGCAACAGCGGCGTCCGGGTCACATAATGACGAGGCTATCGCCACTTCGCCTCCTGCACTCCCCCAGCGAACCCCGTCTCAGACAAGCCTGCACAAGGCAACCCATGTCCACGCCCATCGCCAGAGCTTCGCCGAGAACCTGAGGAACGCTCCTGGCTCGCCTCGCGCCCAGCGTCACCCTTCCTTCACTCAGGCTGCCGTGCAAGAGCTACTCAACCATCCACCCGCTGCCAACAAGCACGCGGATCCGCGCTTCGCCGGCCGCGACTGGCGCGATATCTCTGTCAACGAGCTTGTCGCCCAGGATGACTTCAAGTGGGCCACCCTCGACACTAGCGTCGAGGAAGCATCCATGGTATGTGGCTCAACATCTGTGTCTTTTCCTAGAGGCTGTTTCTGACATCTCGCCAGACCCTGGTCAAGCACAGCCCGTCCAACGTTGTCCTCATCCGACAAGATGACTCGGCGAAAACCGCCATTTCGACCTTCGACTATAACGACCTCAACACGTACCTCCTTATCGTCGTTGGCCTGGCGAAGCCCGACGAGGAGCAAGTCCCGCTCTACGACGAGATAGTGAACAAGGCCCGGAATGGCGCCCGCATAGCCCTGCGCGATATTCAGCCCCTATGTCGCAAGGAGTCGCTCATTGCTCTGCCGTTCGACGAGACACTAGAACGGGCTATCGAAGTGTTTGGCAGCGGCATCCATCGCGTCCTGGTCACCAACCCCACGGGCGATGTGATCGGTATTCTTAGTCAGCTCAAGGCTATTGAGTTCTTCTGGAACGAAGGCATCAATTTCCCTGCCATAGACAGACTGTATCCCGTAACCTTGAGAGACCTCGGTATCGGAACCCAGCAAATCGTTGCTGTCAAGTGAGATACCACTCCATACTTTGCGCGATCACCACTAACGTTTCGCAGCTCCGATAGCCCGTTGGGAGACGCGTTGGCATTGATGAACGCCGAGGGCCTCACAAGCGTCGCCGTTATCGACAACGGCCATAATGTCGTAGGAAATATATCTACCGTGGATGTCAAGCACCTCGTCAACGCCGCCGACGCGCCTCTGCTCAAGTCATCCTGCATGCACTTCATCTCCGTCATTCTCAGCGAGCGTGGTGTCGAGCATGGCCGCGACTCTTTCCCTGTTTTTTATGTCAACCCCTACTCGACATTGGCGCACACCGTCGCGAAGCTAGTGGCTACCCAGTCTCACCGCATGTGGGTGGTTGAATCGGCATCCCCATCCCCATCCGCACCTGCGACCCCTTTGCTCGCCCCGACGACGTCGAATGTGCTGGTGCCGGGGCCGGGCTCGGCACCGCAGTCACCGCTTCCTACACAAACCCACACCGCGGTGCCTGCGGCAGCCATGCCCGGCGCTCATCTCTCTGGTCGTTTGACTGCTGTGGTTTCGCTGACTGATATCCTCAACATGTTTGCAAAGTCGTCGGGACTGCGGCCCACAGACCCGGGCGAGCAGCGAGCGCGTCGTCGCAGGAGCTCGAGCAGCTCCGTGCGTCCGAGTCTCGATTCATCCCGGCCAAGCATCGACCTGCGTCGGTAAATGAAAGTTTGGTGTTGCTGCCGAAGCGTCCCAGGGGCTAGGTATGACTGGCGTCTGTGGATTCGTCGCATGGAGTTTTGACGTTGACAGGGACAGGAGCATGATTTTATGCTTTTTTTTTCTATCTCGATAGACAGATGGCCGGGACTTCAGACTAAGGTCCAGAACAGGGAGGCCTTCGATCAATGCCATCCTCTCCATACGCGTGGTCCGCATGCGCGGAGCATCGCGCCGTTCATCCGTGATACATGGGATGAAACTTCGTGACGTGCTCATTGTACCCCTCGGGAAATGGCCAATTCGAATCACCATGTTCGACCAGGCTCTTTTTTCCTTCCTTCTTTTTTCTTTTCTTTTTCCTTTTTGCCATCCCGCCCCCCCAAAAAAGGATAGCAGGGATGGCTCTTGTTCAGCCTGTGTCCCATGTTTATTTTTCTGTTATCTATGGCGGTAATCCCAGATGGCAGTTGCTGACTGTGTATTGAGATACGCTTCGCTCTTACTATATGGCTGAATGCTCATGTACGAATGGCAAACAGACCAAGGCAACCAACGACGTACAGACCGTCTCTCGAATTAGACACAGCCAAAGCCACGTCCCCATATCACCTTGTTTCTTTCGGTGTACGTCCGGGGTTATGTGCAACGTTGAGGCTGTGCCGATCCGTAAAGTGCACCTGCACAATTCGCTCCTGCTCAGAAACCCTGGCTCCACGGATGACACAAGATCCATAGATGCTTATACAATCGACGAATTGTCAACGTATCCTTGGCATGGGCGAGGATGCGGGTTGTGAGTTGTGATGGTCCGTTAGGGAACGTGTCAATGGAACCAGACGGGTACAGCTTTCACCAACCTGCCGGGCTTTTGATGTAATTAGAGGTAAATGTTGCTGAATCTGGGGTTTTGCGGACAAAGCTAAGCCGCCTCAGATGTAGGTGATGTCAAGTATCGGACTCTTCCCAGATGACTCTCGGGTATGTCAGTCCACGGCACACATCCTCCTCGAATTATATGAGGCAACCATTCAATAAATTACCGCCACACATTTGATTCAAAGTATGTACTTGATTCCCGGTCATCTTAGACATATGTACATGCAACGGACTCAGCTCTCACCCGTCACATACGCATAACCAGCTTGGACCCGACATTCTGGATTAGTGATTCGTAGCACTCACTGTTCTAGATGGGAACGCCAGCGTTGCTGCAGGTCTTGGTGGCCCAGTCCTGAGCGGCCAGACTACGAATCAAAGGGTTAGTCGCCGAACGCTTCTCTAGAAGTCGCCATATCTGTAGTATTTGCTTACGCGTCAAGAAACTGGCAGGCACCCAGGACGCAAGTGGTCACGGCGTTGTTGTACGCGCTCGAACTATGTATGCCACCCCGGCTGTCAGTATGAAGGTCTTGGTTCAAATTTTTCTTGGAAAGACGGGGAAACTCACGCGCAGATGCAGGCAAAGTCGGTCTGCGAAGCGCAGCCAGAAAGGGAAAAGCTGTTGACGAAGCAGGGACGCTAGTAATACATAGTCTCTTATTAGATAAATGTGTCGTTCATTCCATCTTCAACAGGAACCGGGGGCGAGTTTAGAGAGAGAATAGAGATGGTCGTACCGCGCAGTCGGGGAGTAGGGAGAGGTCCTGGGCAGCGGTGAAGCTGGCAAAGAGGGCAACCGCGGCGATCTTGAACTGCATGTTGGCCAGTGGACAGACAAGGTATTGTTGATATGATAGCGGCGATGTATAATATGTTTTGATCTTGATTTGGATGTGTGAGCTGGTGTTGTGCAATCAAGGGAAATGATCACGACATCTAGAGAGATTGGCAGCTTTATATAGACGCCCAGTCCACTCCGGCTTCACTACTCCCTCTACATGATCCGTCAGAAATCTACGACATGCACTACTACGTGCAAAGTCCGCAATCTTACGAGAGGCTACATGGACGGGGAGGTATGTCTTCCTTTACCCCACAACGAATGCGTGCCTCCAACACCACAATATATTTTATTGTTCTCGATTCAAACCGTTACACCTACCTATCTGAGCGTGGAGCAACCATGGTAACCTCCTTTCACATGAAGCCGAACAAAGTACAAAGAGAGCAGAGAGGGGCGGGGTCGAGGAGGAGGCCTTGTTCCGAGACGGTCCATCGCGGGATTCGAAAGCTACCCCAGACGGATGTGACATCCCCTCAAGAACCCGGTTGCTGTCGGTGACATTGCCGGATGGGGAATCGCAAAAGGTCAGGAGATTGGTTTCTACGGGTGTATAGCTTTATATAGCGTGATGTCCCTACTTTTGTGATGGGAGTAGAAGAGAGAAGAGGCTAACTGGTACGTATCCAGGCCGGGCACGCAAGGCATGATTCTGATCTCCCACCGCAAGATGATGGCACCTTACTTATGAGATATCGAAACAAACAGCCGAATGAAGGCCTACAGCCTTCATTTTGTCTGATTCTGCCGTTGACTTACAACCCTTATCAAACCTGGCTCGAAAAGGCAAGGCACCTACCTGCCTGCCCCCGAGGAGACGACAAAGCTGACCGGTCAGGGAACAGCACAGTGTGGTAGCCTTCCGGCTCTGGCGGGGCATTGGTCGATCATGAGGACAACTCGGGCCTCGACCTCGTCTTTTCCGATGTGACATTGACAGGCAATCGGTGACCTGCGGACAAATTCTGAAGAGGAGAAGAGCTTGGAGAGGCGCTAAAAACGGAGTATCTCGTACAGAATCCAACCATAACAAGCCACAAGCACATCACTTTTCGCACTATTAATCGCCAACGGCTTTCAGATACTGCGTGCTCGTCCTCCTGTGAACCTTGGTGAGAAGGTGGTCTCAATATACAATACCCCGCCTGGGGAAGGCTCAAAATCCGGGGAATGCGGGGGAGGGTGTAACAGTCCAGAGGCGTGAGGTTGCAGTGCAGGAAGAGGAGTTCCTACATCGGGGGAAGCACCGGAGAATCAATGGGGTGGCATTTCTTAGAAGCCGGACTTGCCGAGGCGATGCGTATCGTTGGGAGAGAAGCACCTGACAAAGACATTCTGTTTGTCCGCACGTCTCGTGAACGTCGCAATTTGGCTTGCTCCATATGGAAGATGTAAGCGAGCGATTCACTCGGTCAACGAACGGGATTCCCTCCCCTCTTGGGGCACTGTGCAATATTTGGTCAGCTAAAGTACCTAGGCTGCTCCGCACCGGCAGTTGAGTATCGCTTTAAACACCCAGGGCCGTTGCTGAGGCCTGTAGTCTTATGAAGGGGTGTGACGTTGGACCGAATTTTGAGGAATATGATATATATACCAGTAGCAAGCAATAAGTACCATATGTCCTGCATGTTCCTAGTTCAGGTGGCGCAGCAATCAATGTGTATGTATGTATGTATTGTATGTATTATGATGTATGTATGTATGTAGTATGGGTTTCAGCAAACCGTGTCTGTTTGCCTCTTCTACGACTTGGGTGGAGAGTTGCAGTCAGTGACAAGAGTTAACAAAAGCAAGGAGAGCCAAAAGTTCCGAAACCGAGAATCGAACTCGGGGCTATGCCTAACCTCTCAAGTTGCTGAGAGGGCATCATGTTGGCCACTACACCATATCGGATGTGGACACAAGTTTTTCAATCACGAGCTTGCTACAGACTTAGCATTCCAGTTTGGGGATCGTAGGCGAATCCTGTCGGGATTCAACAGTACTTTGATAGCATGTAGTTCAATTAAGAAGGAGAAGTAGAAAAAAGGAAGTTTAGAAAAAAAAAGGATTAGAAAATAATATTGCCTGATACAGGTGCCTGCAACAGCGGCCATACAGGTAGGTACGTGGTACGGGTCGGGTCGCACACTGTACCCTGGCACTGTACTTCAAAACTTTCTCTCAGCAAGGTCACATTGGGGGTCATCTCAATTGCAGAAATCCCTTCTCATCACTCATGCTCATCGGCCATCTACATGACAAACGAAGCACGGCTTCCATCCGTGATCAAAGAATATACCCCGACGCTCTGTTTGAGTCAAAGCTGAATTCGAAGACGAGAGCAAAGGGAAGGACCCAAAGGAGGGAAAAACTCGGTCACAATGGCCGCCACCACCGCCGCATCCCAAGAGTTCGCCGCCTTCTACCTTCAGCGGACGACCCAGGAGTTCGCCGAGGACCTCGACAAGGTCCGCGAGGCCGACGATTTCAAGGCCGACTCGGTGCCTTTCCTTGTGCACGCCCTGCAGCAGGGCACTGCGCTGTACTCGGCCCTGGACCAGGAGCGCGTCGTCAAGCCTCCCGCTGCTACCGCAGCCGCAACAGAGAATGAGGACGTGGACATGACGGAGACAGTGGCAGCAGAGGTTGAAGAGAAGGAGGAAAAGAGCGGGAAGAAGGAGAAGAAGGACAAGAGCAAGAAGAAGAGGAAGTCCTCCGGCTGAGCTTCACCATGGCTTCGCTATTGGGGCTCGCGGATCGAGAACGACCTCCGGGCGAAGGGTCTAATGCTGTATTTATCGACAAGGATGGGCCTATACCGCGGACGCGGGGAATCGGGAAATGCTGCACCACAGGAGAAACTATGGGTCAGTCTTTGGAGACGATGCGGCAGGCTCCCGAAGGAGACACGGACCATGACTACATTCCCACAACGGTCAAGACGAGGAACAACAGTCTACGAGTTTTGCATCCCAAGTCGTCGGAATCTATACAGACGACAAGATGCTTAGAGAAGCCACTTGAAGTTGAGACTGTCCTCTACGAACAGGCCCCAGTCACCTTCAGTCGCCAGCAACGATGGCAACGATGGCAACGAGATTAGACGGGCAGCTTGCCAGGGTTGCACGATCCAACAAAGGTAGCTTCAGGGCCGCGAAGGGCCGTGGGTGAGAGCTGGGAAACTACCGGTGGATTTGCCGGGGCAGTAAACAGGTATTGATGGAATAGAAACAACATCGTCAAAATGCACATTCGTTGGTACAAGACTCCGCGCCAAATCTTGCAACTTTACGCTCAATTTCGTCAAGTCGGGCATTAAGGGTGATCCAATTTCATTAAAACAACCTTGTATCGGTCGCTTGACAGTGTCATGAGGGTATCTCTAAGGGTAGGTAATGTAAACAGCGTCCTTGATATGCGCTGGTAAATGCGCCCGCTCCCCAAGCTTCCATGACTGCGCCGTTGCCATGCCTTTCCGTACAAACAAACATACGCACATCACATCATATTACCATTGCCCGTGGTGCCTACTAATTCGGGCATCTCTCCAGCGTTCTTGTTCAGACACGCGGGTACGACAACCGTCCAGTCTCTTTGCGCACCGCCCAGCCCTTGATGGCCAGGACGATGATCTCCCAAGCCATCAAAAGTCCCACGAGACCCATGGTCACCGTGTACATGAACATGGCATCCAGGTTGTAGTGCTCCATGCCCTCAATGGTGTCGCTGGCCTTTACAAACGTTAGTCCTGTTCGAACAGAGCCCAGGATTTCATCGGAATACCACTCACACTGGCCATGAAGATGATGCCTCCGGATATTAGCCCGAAAGCAGCGAGGAGCTCAGTGGGGGGTCGGGAGGGCAGCACCGACTGGGGAGGCTTCAGGTACATGATGACATAGGTCAAGCCGCGCGAGAAGGAAGCACCCGTCAAGAGGTTGCCCCATTGCTTGTGGACCATGCTCGAAACCATCGAATGCTGCGTATGCGAGCTCATCATAATTCCCAAGAGAAGGATAACTAGCGCCGGGATGGGGTTGATGGAGAACTCGTACTGCTTTGGCGGCTGGAGCGTCTCTCGTTCTTCCTCGTCGTAGGTTCGCTCGGGTGTGATCGCAGCGGCGTTGATGACGGTTGTGTTGAGGAAATCTCGGATGCGGCTCGACTCAATGAGCATACCGACCTGGTCTTCTTGTTAGTCCGCCCCTTGATGTGCAGCACCACCACGAACAAAAACGTACCAATCCACCGCCAATGAACAGCACAGTGATAGAGATGTGCTCCAGGTCCTGCGCGCTATATTCTCCCCCCCAGTTCCCGAGGTGCTCCAGAAAGATGTTGGTCGAGCCGTAGACGAAGATGAGGGCACTCTCGACAAACTCAGCCGAGGGTCGCCATTTGCCGTCGGCGCGCTTCGGCCGAACATTCCACGCCTGCCGGAGCAACAGTCAGCAAACCTGGTCCGAGCACGGTCGGCAAAGAAACAACGACTTACCCATCCTACTTCGCCGAAACTACCTGTCCATCGGCCGAGAGTCAACAAGCCAAGCCAGAAGAAGATGCCGCCCTTGATCCAATGCGCCAGGCCGCTAAAGATGCCGTTGCCCTCCTGTGCCAGGTTAGCCCTTAGGCTTCAACAACGGAATCATGGGGTGGTTTGTCGCTTACGAAAAAACGCCCGTACGTCACAATGCCGAGGCACAGAAGGACGGACCCCAGGGGCAGAATGATCCTATCGACAAAGCTGTAGACAAACATCATACCTCTCCATACACGCGACGAAACCTTGCCCGCGATCTTGGCAAGGACCGAGTTCACCTTCTTCTCGTTATTGCTTCTCGGCGAGAGCATGGAAAGACTGTCTTCGTGATCATCATCATCCTCGACGTACTCTTTTTGGTGATCATCCGAAATACGCGGGGACATTTGGCTGGAAGACGAGGAACGGGAATGGCTCCGGAGCGATTCGGTACAAGGCTCAGTACCCTGGCCACTGTCGTTAGAGAGGCGGCACTCGCTGGCGAACCGAGGGCTATTGACGCGGTGATGTTCGGCCATGGCGGTGGTAGATACGGGGATGAAGTACTGATAGTCGTCCTCGTCGGACGTCTGGCGCTCCTCCCTGCTCAATGCGCTGGCAACTCTTCCCAGGAGGCCGACCAGGACCTGCGCCGACACAACAAAGGTCACAAGCCAGCCTAACTTGTGGTGCGCGTTATTGGGGTAGAGATCAGGAGTATTAGTGTTGTAGATTGTTCCCAGGAGCACGCCAAGCGCATTCACGGCGAGGAATATGAACTGGAGCGCAAGTGTATACCTCGAACGTGCAATTGAGAGCATGACAGCTGCCGAGTCGCGTGTAAGCCAGCGCAGTAATGCGGGCATCTTGGCAGACTTACCAACTGGCAGCACAAGGACCCAGGCGAACACCATGGCGCCAATGTGCGCGTACATTATGCCCGCATGATCTGCGAGCCCAAAATATGTGGGCGGATAGCTATTGGGATCAGGCTTGGGTTCATTGGTGGCGTGGGACATGTCCATGTTCCTTCCCGCGACGTCGTCTTGGTGAGCGTCGTGGGCAAGAACCAGTGGCACAAGGCCCAGGACCCAGGCGGCAGTAAGCTGTTTGCTTATTGAGTTCATCGAGGGCCGGTTCTCGACCAAAAGCTGGTAGAGAAATACCAGACCACAACGTCGCTATTCAACAAACCAACAAAAAGGGTAACGCCGAGTTCGACGAGACCTGGATGAGGATCTCGAGCTTGCCTAAAAGCCAGGTGGGTGTTGAGATCGAGGAGGCGGTAGGGAAGATATTCTATTATAGTTATGTGCAGGAAGAGAAGCAGGAGGGTAGCTACATTTCATTCTGGGTTGGGCGAGGACGGGTTACATATGGCCACCGGGAAGGGGAGAGTCGGCAGAGAAAAGACTCCAAGCTGGGCTGGTCCCGTCGACGAGCGAAACCGAAGCCGAGAGAAGTATTTGCGACAAGACTCTTGGTGAGGTACGATGTACAAAGCGACAGCGAGAGGGTACGTCAAGGATGGCGTCTCGTGGGGGGGGGGGGGAGGGTAAAGGTCGGTGGGTAGATGAGACGCGAAATGGCCGGCCCTCTGGGGCAGCGAGAGGATGTCAAGCAGCAAGTCAGCTACCTAGACTTGAGGGGTGACCCATGGCGTGTACCTCGAGGTAGATTTCTGGAAGAAAAAAACAGCATGTCACTGCTCGCAAGGCAAGGTCGCGAGGACAGAGTTGCCGTGATGAAGGGCAAGGCGAGAGCGGCCAGGCGAGAAAGGCTCTGGGCTGGTGGTGGGTAGGTAGGTACACTAGGTACGTTGGGTTGCGTGTTAGTGGAAGGAAGAGACTCCGAGGCTTCCGGGAGCATCCACCGGTGAAATTTTAAAGAGAAGCCGTCCAGGAAGGCAGTCAAAAAAACGTGGCGGCCATTGGACGACGGCGAGGGCGAGATACTCGGAGGATACTTGTATACCAGCCTACTTGACCATACCCAGATAGGTACCTACCTTGTCTCAAGAGGTATAAGTCTACTGCGACGGCAAAGAAAAAAAATTGCAAGAAGAGAGGGCATTCGCGGTGCTGGTGCGGCGCAAACAGAGTTGGCACTGTACAGAGCACCTAGTACCTAGCTACTCGCCCGCACCTGCTTGCTTCTCTCGGGACGAACGGGACTTGCTCCATTTACGCCGATGGGTATCGCGACAAGATTTTTGGTGAGCAGCACGCCATGACCCTTCACGTCAGCCTCCCTTCGAGGTCCGTTCACCATGGGAACGTGGACAACTGCCGGATGCATGTTTCAATGGATTTCTAAGCCAACGTGGGCGGAGGTGCTCTCCGTCAAACATGCCTACCGCACGCAGTTCCTACCTAGTCTACGTGGATCCCTCATACCGACCCTACATGTGTTGTTTCTCGTGCTTGCATATGGCTCGTGCATTTTTGAGTCACACGGAGATGCGCAAGCTAGGGATTGGCCATGGTGTCATCCCTTGACTGCCGGGGCTTGAGGAGCCCAACGATATGTGGTGTGCATCCTCCACACCCACACTGCCTAGTTTGGTAGGGCAGAGGTCGTTAGTAATGGAAATGAAAGCTCAGTGCCGCCGGGAAGCGCAAAGTACCGAGGCAGGAGGGCGCTAGGAAGTGCCGTGAGCCGCTGTTCCGAGGCTCCGCCCGCGGGCTTTTTTGACGTGCCTCGTACTTCAAAAAAGTAGAAAATAAAAGAAAATAAAAAAGAAAATAAGAGACATGTCGCGGCGGTTGGAGAGGTCTCTCTCACCAGGTGAGGGATTCTCGCAACTTTAGAACCTCCTTTCGTAACGGGTCTGTACACCTCGCTGATTCCGACACATCATGAACCGGCGATGATAGCTGCAGTATCGCCAGCTTCGCCCCCTCCATTCGATGCAAGCAGGTCAGATGGCTTTGGGAGAAGTGGCCTAAGCCTCTCCCAAGAAAGGGCCAAGAGAATACCGAGCAGCGAAGCTACCCTGCACCTAGTCATATGTAAGCCGGTGAGGGCCCTGGCAACCATTCGCACCTAACCAACACCACCAATCGACGAGTGGAATTGAATTAATAATACATGGGATCAGTAGGCCGAATTTGATCATTGGTGACGCCCTGTCCTTACAGTCACCGCAAACCATGGAGAAAGAAAGGAACTTTTTTTTTCTTCTAAAATAAACCCCCCAGAAAGGAACGAAAAGAAAGAATAAGAACAAACTAAAAACTAAAAACTGGTTGGAGCCTCATGGTTTCCAAACGCTTAAACTACATGGGTGTCGATAGAACCCACACCTTCAAATGGGGAGGCAACACCCTTGCCTCCGATCCGCCCATCAAGATCACGATCCCGCCATCCTCTTCCTTGACCCGCTTCGTGACAAGTACCTCAAAGTATCTCTCTATATTATGTATCTGTACCTACAGTCAAAAGCCTCGCTGTGTTAGCAAGCCATCCTTTCCCGCGGCCTGCTGTCGGCGGCCCCCGGAGTCATATCGGAGTCAGACCCACCGTTGAAGCGAGGGTGATGCCGTTCAGCCAGGCGGCACGTTGGAAACGAGAGATGCCCAGGTTTCGCACAGAAGATGGGGGATACATTACAAAACAGGGCTTCACTACCTACCCAGAAAAGATACAACTAGCCAAGCCCCTCGATGTGCTCTTCCTACACTACACGTTGTGTGCGTGTATACTCCGTAGAATCCAGACGCATTCCCAATATATTGCTGCTAGAGTTCTTGAGACTACCAAGTTAGCTTCGGTGGGTGGACCTGCTTGTGACTGGTCCATCATCTTCCATCTCCGGTCTGCAAGCCTCGACGGGATTCCCGGACATAACGGCGTCTCGGACGTTCCTAGTGTAGAAACCCTGCGTTGGTGCCTGAGTAAAGCAGTGCCTGTTTGGTCCCGACCGCTCTTTTCATCTTTCATTTGGGAGCCTGACGTTACCGCCCTTGGCTGCAGAGCCCGCCGCCCATAATCCTTTAGAATCTACATTGGTGGTGGATGTTCCAGGTGTTCGTACCACCGCTACCAAGCTCGGGTGGTACAGTTGCGCGCCTTTCCATCATGTCGGACATAAATACAGAGTCAACCCCCAGTTCAATAACCTTAAGATAGACGCCCCACTGTTATCCTCTGTGGTACGATGTTGAACCAAAGCATGTGGAGCATCACATCGTTTATTGAACGTCATCCCGTACTTCGCTTGCCTTGTCACAAGATACTCATCCGAACCTTCCGGATGTCTGGTAGTCCTATGCCGCCGCCCCCACCCAGCCTTTGTCAGCCCGGACCTTACCAGGCAATAGTCAGTCCATTTACGCACGATCCCGCTTGGTGGCTTACTAAAACTAACTTGTGCGTCGCGACTACACGCTCCTGGACGCGCGGGCGCGCCCGGGTTCTGGGATGCGACCTATCCCTCCTGACCCTCCTTGCAGTTGTGTACGGTCGGCCCATCGCTGGCCATACATCAGCCCATATTACTCATCCCCGGACCCGAGCCCGGCCAAACACCGCCGTGGCTGCTCAAACCCATCGGCCATACACGCTACAACGCCGGTCGATCTTTCAGAGACCATCTGCCGTTGCTCTCGACTACTCTGTCCTCCTTCTTGAGTTTGGCCAGAATCTGAACGACTCCGCCGCAGGCCGGAACATGGAGCTCCTCTGGGACGTCATGGTATATGACCTTGACAAGTTCCATGGGCGTCCACGCATTGGCAGGTCCTTCGATGTCTTCGCCCTGTCTCTTCATCCCTAGCGTGCGTATGACCTGCTCTTCGCGCGCTTTCCGATGGTTGATGTACTCGAGGATCTTGGACGGGCCGTCGTCAATCGCCGGTCCGTGGCCTGGATAAGCCCTGCCCCTGAACAGGTGCCGCATCTTCTCAAGGCTGTCGAGGTAGGTGGCCAGGTCCTCAAACACGGCCGTCCCCTGGCCTAAGACGTTGTCCGCCGTGAACATGGCGTCCTCCTCTTCCAGGATGAAGGCCATGTGGTCTACGGTGTGGCCTGGGGTGAATACAGCCGTAAGGCTGGCTCCGTCGACGGTAAACTTTTGGCCGTCTGAGATGTCTGACTGGCCCTCCTCGGGTTTGTTCTTGAAGACCTTGGAATTTGGTGACAGCTCCAGTAGCTGCTGGATGCCGCCCTGGTGGTCTCTGTGCCAGTGGGTGATTAGAACCGTCTCGACTCTCGCCTGCTCCTGCTCTAGGACGGATTTGATGGCCTTGATCCACGACGGTACGCCCTCGCCGGTGTCAATCAGGATGCGGCGGCTGCCTCTTCCGAGCAAGTACGTGTTGGTGCCCTGTAGTGTGAACTTTCCTGGGTTGCCTGCCAGAACCCGAATGCAGACTGGGCTGAGGCGCTCAACTTCGGGTAGTGATACTAGTTGAGAGGCCATTTTGCCGTTTTTGGCGCAAGTTGAATTGGTGACGAGTCTGGTTTCACGGGTGGCTGAGCAATGAAGTTTTCTTAGTCACAAACCAATGTGAGAAGAAAAGTCTTTGGGAAGAGGACCTTGAAAAGCACCTCGCATCATCCTTGTGTGACCGTGGAACAGCTGTAATCTGCGGGCGGGTTCCAGAGCAATGGGTTGAGCAGATGGGGATTAGATGAAGACGCAATCGATAGGATGCAATCAAGACGCCGAGGTTTAAGGACGAGCGAGCTGCACACCCACGAGCCAGCTCTTGAGACGGCTTACCTCAGCAACTCGACGTTAGATCCCGCAACTGAGGTAATTAGAGGTGACTGGAAGACGTTCGGTGAATGAATCGAAGGTGAGGAAGGGCCAGCGGGCTCAGTCGCAGTGACAGTGACCTCACCCTCTGGGGTGGGTGATCCTCAACCCCACTAAAAATGACATTGGGCCACTGAGCCACGTTACTTGTATCCGTATATTTCAGGGGCGTAGGGGGGCTGAAGGGGGGGGGGTCTCAGCAGTTGGATTAAGCAACCCAGCAACCCCCCCTTTGTTATCGATAAACGTCGGACCCCGATCAGGTACGATAAGCCTGGAATTATTGCATGTTGGCCGTAGGTACAACCAAACTCGTCTGTGCACGCGGCGCCAGCTCCAACATTTGCATCCTCCAGGGATCGACCGTAGGTGCTTGGAGTTTCGTGGACTGTGCCTAACTTCCCACCGATCACGAAGTGCAAGTTGATTTGCGAACTGCAACAGAGCAAGACGTCTCCCTCTTTCTCTTGCCTTACCTTGCTCCGATCCTCTCGGCTTTGGCTTCTCTGGCTTTGTGCGTACGAAACGACGACATCTTGTCGATCCCCAGTTTGCGCCATCTGAAGCCCGCTTGGAGGAGCTTCAACACTACCAACGCGAAATCGCTCGTCTTTCCATAGGACACAGGATTACCTACCGACCTCGGTCTAGGTACTGCGATTGAACTCAGTGTTTCTCCTGTTCCGATTCGTGCGTTTCTTTTCTGAAATGCCGAAAACCTTCTGGGATTGAGCGGCTGACAATTGGACGTTGGAATGGTAGTTGCCTACTGTGCTGTCTCAACTGCAGCCGTTGCCGACCATCATCGATCCTTCCCTTTTATCTATCATCGAACATCGCAAAAGTACCGATTTCAATTTCCGATTCCCGTTCGCCCATTCTTCAAACGACCGGCATATAAGAAGTCAATTCGCTGGTTCGAGGATTCCGAGGCAGAAGGAAGGCAGGGGGAATAAAGGGCAGCTTCACACCCATTTGAATACCGCCACCGGAACCAGTTCGAGATGGCTGCTCGACCGACAACACCAATGTCCCCCAAGACCGCCAAGGTCAAGTCGCCGGTCCCTGGAACACCCGTTTTCGGATGCGGTCAGTAAGATTCAACGCAAATCAGCTTTTGACGAGCGATACTAGGTTCGGGGCTGATAAGATACAAGAGCACATCCAGCGACTCTTCACACAGTCCCAAGAGGGCATTACCCAGTCTGTTCACCACTACAAGATGATCCTGAAAAACATCTTTGAACATACTCCTATTGTGCCACAGACGTCCAAGAACTCGGATGGTCAGGTCATGACCTCTCTCACGTCCAACTACCTCTGTCTGCAGTGCTCGACCATCGTCAACGACGAGGACCGCCTAAAGCATGGCACAAAGAAGCAGCACCGCTTCTGTATGTTACCACCCTTAACTAAATACAGAATGCACCCATTAACATCATCAGACGTTGATTCGCGAAGCGGCGCCCTCTACTGCCAGATCTGTGACGATCTGGTCTGGGACCCCACACTGGAAGAGCTTCGAGTGCGCAAGATGGGAACCGGAACATTCTCAAGTAAGTCACCAGTGGCCAGGAAGCGTCGGCCCAGCTCCCGAATCCTTTCATGTATCATGCACCGAGTGCTCCTTCTACCCTGGCACATACTTATACCTCTTACAGGTCGCAAGAGAAAACATGACGAGATGTTCTCTGATGGCGTCAAGGACAGCGCTGCGAACAACCCGGGCTTCATCTCAAACAACACCACCACCGCCTCTTGCAAAGCAAACGGTCTGCGTGGAATCTACAATGCTGGAGCAACTTGCTACCAGAACGTGGTTTTGCAGAGCTTTCTCCACAACCCCTTGCTACGCAACTTCTACCTCAGCGATGGCCACCAGAGCACCGACTGTTCGCTGACCAATTGTCTGAGCTGCGCCATGGATGACATGTTCCAGGACTTTTACGCCGTTGAGAATACTAACGGATTCACGGCTGCGAGTATTCTCTCCGGGTTCTGGATATCGGAGAAGAAGGCATTTGAGAACCTCGTCACTACCAAGGAGCAGGATGCTCATGAGTTCTTCCAGTTTCTCGCAGAGGAACTCCACGAACGCAACGGGGACGGCAAGAGACCAGAAACTGGTAGCGAGCATACGTGCAATTGCATCATTCACCAGACGTTCTACGGCAAGCTGCAGAGCTCTACGACCTGCCAGAATTGTGGAGGCGTCACCAATGCGGTGCAGTCGTTTTTAGACCTTAGCCTTGGACTGGAGAATTTGTCTCACAAGAGGAAGAAGGGAGGGCCCAAGGTGCCCAGCTTGACCCTTCAGGAGTGCCTGGACGAGGAGTATGTCAAATCAGACAAGTGCGAGTATCGATGCCACAACTGCAGCTCGATGCAGCAGGCGAAACGAGCCACCAGCATTAAGAGGCTGCCCAATGTGCTTGCTATTCAACTGAAGGCAAGCTTCATCCAAACCCAAACGCATGCTGCAGTTTCGCTGACATAGAAAACCAGCGTTTCGAGTACAAGCAGGGCCGCCATGATCGTGCGCCCTCGAAGATCGACACGATTGTCAATTTTCCCTTACAGCTCAACATGCTTCCATATACAACGAGAGGCAGAGGCGCGGACTCCAAGGACGCGTTCGAGCTGGGACGATCTTGCACGTACGACCTTCTTAGTGTAGTGGTCCACGTCGGCGAAATCGACACAGGTAAGTGAGGCGGTTCTATGAAGAAGACAAGACTAACTGTGCTACTAGGTCACTATGTCTCATACTGCCGAGTTGGTGACCAGTGGTTCAAGTTCAACGACCATAAGGTCGAGATGGCGTCCAAGTCGGAGGTGCTGAGCGCCCAGCCATACCTACTCTTCTACATCATCCGCTCCCTTTCGTAGAGTAGCACCGCAAAAAAGGGAAGACCGGGGGGCAAATATCTCACGTCAAGCTATATCAGTTAATATTACTCGTGAAGAGCGTCAGTAACCAACCGCCGGAAATATTTGAAGGGGGCAGAAAGGGTATAGAGGAGTGCCAGGAATAGCATCGTCTTGGCGTTGGAAAGAAACGTTGGGCTTGCACCTACTTTAGGGAGGCCTTTTTGGCAAGTAAAAGAACAAGAACGCCGCATTGGATGGTAGGCGGGCAGGCAGGCAGACATGCACCCACGCAGTGCACCATCGTCATCATCACTGGTGAAACCAACGAAAGCCATCATTGTATAGAACAGCGAGGAAACAGCGTATGTACGTTTTTATGTTAAGATATTTCTACTGATATAAGCCAAAAAGCCTCCGATTGTCTGTCTAATCTATCGAGTGAGAACATGATTCTTCTTATGCTATGCGTAGCCATCGGGAAACTTTGCTTTGGTCAACTCGCCGTCCCTTCCCGCCAGGTCCAGTCTTTGCACTCAAAGTTGGCGTAGCAGCAAAACTCATTGCTCAGGCCGTGCGCATGTGTCGGCTCGTAGGTGACGGTGCGGACACCGAGGGCCTTGTATACCTTGTTCACAATGGTTGCCGTCCTTTCGCCGGTAGAGACGATGACGCGGCTCTTGGAGTTGATGGCGTCGGGCTTCATCAACCACCGAACCGTCATGGCGGCTGCGTGTCGCTTTGAGTCAGAAATAATGGGACTTCTTTATTGGTATAATTTGATGTTTGCTTACATTTGGTCTGGCAGTCGTCGCTGAGGAATGGCGGGTCGCAGATGACACGGTCGACGTTGCCCTTGAGTTCGGCTGGATTGGATACAAGTTAGCGACCTCTTTCATGTCCGAAGGAGTCCATCTGCGTCAATGTCGCGATGTCATACCTGGGAGCTTGAATGGACTCTGGAAGTTGTAAAAGACGAATTCGGGGAAGACATTGAAGCGCGTGTCGTACTCCAGCAGGACGACCTTAGGCCGCCCCAGGCTTGGGTCTCGTTCATTCTACCCATCGGGTCAGCGTCCCCGCATCCGCGAACCAAGAAAAAGCCAGGGGAAACAAATTTCTCACCATAAGGTTTCGCAGAGCGATAAAGACGCTAGGCGTGGACACGATGCCAATAGTTGTATCTTCATCGGCGCCCTCGAGGAGGTGCCCAGCCAACAGCCTTGCAGTCTCATCGTTATACTAAACAGGAAAATACCCGGACACTAATCAGTACCTTCTCGACGATCAACATACTCCAGTTGTCCGAGGGGTTTGTGATGCTGCAAGGTGGGGTTTCATTTAAGGTCGTACCCAAAACTGCGACGCGTTCCAGTCTTCTGTGAATGCCTCCATGGACAGCGGCAACCCCCCGGCGGCGTTGGCCTCGCATTGTGCCTTGAGCTTCTCAAACTTTGCCTGGCGCTCGTCCCTCTCAGCGTTGAAATCGGCCAGCGCCGCGAGGGCATGAGAAGATAGCGTGCTGTGCGAGAGGTGTCAGTTCTTTGTGTGACTCGTGGTGCACCACCTGGTGGAGATGTGATTTTTTTTTTGTAGCATTGACAGAACATACATAGGCTCGTCGTCGCTGTCTGAGTTCGACATCTTGGTAAATTGGTCAGCACTGGACTTTACTAGTATTCAAAAGACTTGGATCTAACTTACCGTGTTGACAGAATGGCGGGTCTGGGTGAGTCGAGTTGGCAAGAGGTGAGATGAGAGGAAGCATTAATTAATCCGGTCAAGGACCCAGTTTGAGTCGGCGTCAATGACCAAAGTGCCACCAACGAATCAGGTACAGCACAGCAAAAGCTTTGACTAACAAGAACACAACATAGTTCATCAGTCATAGGATAACACATCGCTCGCCAAGGTTGTATTCAAAACTGTACATGAATTGCTCGACTTTTGCAGCATTGTCTAGTCACTACTTATATACACTCTAAACGAATTTGCTTGCCCAGAATCAACCCCGTCTTACAAATGAAACCCAGGCTTACTGGTCGTCGAGAACGTGCAAGTACTTGCGCTCTTCCTTCTTCTCCTTCTCTGTTGCAGGAGGCAGGTCGTAGAAGTTGGCGCTGCGGTAACCTTGCTGTATAGTAGTTAGCGGCGGGTGCCCAACTAAAATAAGCACGCAAGTTGCAGGCAAATCTTACCAAGTAGTGGTACGTAAACTTGCTAATGTCACCGGGCTCGATACCGAGATCCTTGAAAGTCTTGGCCGTCTCGTCGATCTCTTGGTCGATGAACTCACGTTCAACCTCGTCAGCAGACATGGTAGGCCACCATAGGTACTTGTTCAAGAGTCCAGCAACGGGCTTGAGGATGGACTTGGGAACATTGATATGGCGGCGCTTCTTGAAGATTTCACGGTCGGCGAACTGCGCGATCTCGGCCATGGAGTACTCCTTGGGGCCGTAAAGTTCGTATGTTTGCCCAGCCGTGCTGTCGTCGTAGAGCATCAGCTCCAAAGCCTGGCCGACATCGATGGACTAAACTGATCAGCAATTGAACGGGGCATTATTCGATGCGATTAGCCTACGTGAACGGGTCTGAATCTTTCCTGCATATTGTTGGCAGTGAAGAGGTTCATAACGCTAGCAAGCTTCAGAAGGAGGTTGTCCTCGAAACCGAAGATCGGCGCCGGTCTGACGATGGTGGTCTCGGGGTAGATGCTACGAGCGACCTGCTCGCCGCGGGCCTACAGAACGGTTAACTTTGATGACAACAATGCAAAACTTCCTTCGGCCGACCTTGGTGCGGTAAAACTCGGAAGGAGAGTCCAAGTTGGCATTGTAACTGGACATGTGGATGAAGCGGTCCACATCGTACTTGGCAACAGCCTCCGCTATCCGCTCAGTTCCCTCGACGTGGACGTCTTCTAGAGAGAAGTTCCTGTGCACGCTTAGCCTCGTTTCCATCAGATCATCTCTCGCTTCGTAAACCTACTTGGTGGGGTAGTTGCGGCCAACAAGGTTGTATACAACGTCTGAGTGCCTGACGCTTTCCTCGATTGATTGGGTGTTACGGAGGTCGTACTCCTGAAGTATCGTAGTCAGTTCCTGCTCGTCATGTAGCTCGAAATTAAGAAGGAGACCCGTACCATGAAGACAACACGTCCGAGATCACCAGCAACCTTCAAGTGACGCTTGGCCATCTCCTCACGGAAGGGAATGACGACGGTGCATCCCTGACGAGCTATCAATAGGGTCAGAAACGGGTCGGCGAATTCGCTGGTCGTCCATTCGTACCGAGTCTGTTCACAATGTATCGTCCAACCTGTCCCGTTGCGCCAAAAACCGTCGCAGTGTGCCCTGTGGATCGTTCTTAGACAAGGCTTCACCATTGATTGGAAGTTGATTTCGCATACCACCAAGAGATGATCTAAATATGACACGAGGTCAGAAACGGTGCCATGAGATGCAATTGATCGGTTTGCTTACCTTCCGCCCTGGGTTCGCAAGATGGGCTTGCCGGTGCGGGTGATGGCAATGTCGTGGAGGGGCTGCCTTCTCAGGACATTGTGCGCAGCCTTCTGGGTTGACCGCACGGCGGTAGGAAAGAAGGCCATTGTCAGGTGTCGAGGCGGCAGCGAATACGTGCGGTGGCCTCCCAATTGACTGACAATTGATTGCTTCAGTACTGGCCGAAAGCTCCAAAGTCACGAGCTTGATCCAGAATCCCGGACGGAAGGCGAGCGGGTCACGTGAGATATGAAAGCACGGTCCAGGTTATGGTTATTGGATCGGAAAAACAACCATTGGTCAACCGATCCGAAGCGGGTCCCTGGCAACTGCCAGGTCCGAATTGGTGCTGTGCGCTACGTACCTACTCTACCTAGCTGACTGACCAGGCTGCTAGCTAGCCGCGTTATGTGCATCACCCCTCTGAAGAGCTGCTGCTTGCATTCATCAATACACCCACATATCTCTCGACGAACTTCCCGACGCTTCTCACGACGGAATCCAATTCCACACAGCTGAACCGTTCTCCGTGCAGCTACATAACGAGGAAAAAATAGCGATCAGTCCATACGCCTGTGAACCTGTCGTCATCCCGGGCACCTCGAAGCTCCCCCACATACATTTCGAGCCTCAACCTAACACTCTGCCAAGATGAACGCCGACGCGATTCCCGACTTCCTGGCGGAGCAGCGTGACGAGGCACCCGAGGAACTCCAGCACCTTGTTCTGGAGTTCGAGAACTACTGGGAGCGGAAACTCTGGCACCAACTTACCGATGCGCTTGGCCAGTTCTTCAGTCACCCTGGCAGCAAGCCTCAGCGGCTTTTGCTCTACAAGGTCTTCATTCTCAAGTTCGCGGATAAGATCAATCAGCTCAAGCTTGTCGACCTGGCTTTGAAGGCTGCTACAGAATGCAAGGGTATGGCACTAGGGCAAAGAGCTGTCAAGCAATAGGAGCGCTGATATTGACTTCAATAGATGACGAGGAGCGACTGGCATTCCTTCAGGGTGTTGCGAAGAAGGTGGACAACGAGAATTCACAAGATGCTCTTGTTTACGCTTCCGTTGCTGTAGCCAGGGTAAAACTGGATCTGGAAGATATGGATGGGGCCCGCAAGGACCTCGACACGGCCGAGAGAATATTGGACAATTTCGACTCAGTCGAAACCATCGTTCATGCAGCGTTCTACGATGCGAACGCTAATTACTATCAGGTAGGCTTTATACCCTCTATTACATCTTTCTCGCGGGAATTTGACTGACTCGGAGCCCAATTCTAGCGTAAGATGGACTTCGCAGCCTACTACCGCAACGCCCTACTCTACCTCGCCTGCATCGACATCAATTCTCTCACACCGCAGGAGCGCCACAGACGAGCATTGCACCTCAGCATTGCCGCGCTGGTCTCCGACACCATCTACAACTTTGGCGAGCTGCTTCTGCACCCGATCCTCGACGCGCTCAAGGGCACCCAGGACGAATGGTTCCGAGACCTGCTTTTCGCCTTTAACCGCGGTGACCTCCAGGGCTTCGAGGCCCTCTCGGCCCGCATGCGTTCCAAGCCCCTGCTCAGCGAGAACGCTGGTCATTTACGTCAGAAGATTTACCTTGCGGCGCTCACAGAGGCTGTCTTCCGCCGGCCGCCCCACGACCGTGCCATGTCCTTTACCGACATCGCCCAGGAGACCAAGGTGCGCCCCAACGAGATCGAGCACCTTATCATGAAGGCGCTGAGCTTGGGTCTCTTGCGTGGAAATATCGATCAGGTGGACGAGGTTGCACACATTACCTGGGTTCAGCCCAAGGTGCTCGACATGAAGCAGATTGGTAATATGCGTCAGCGGCTGCTCGACTGGGATTCGCAGGTCAATCAGCTCGGCAATTGGATCGAGAACGCAGGAGGAGATGTATGGGCTGCTTGATGGAAATGGGCGAAAGGGAATAACAAGGTCTGTAATATTGGTCTGCATGACGAGGACCAGTGTACACCATTAGACTTAGAGAGAGGAATGGAAACTCGGCCTCGATCTTGGGCCGCGATGATAATGATGACAATGTCGTTGCCCCTATTCTTTGATGCGGTAGTCGCAAAGTTCGATTTGAAGACACTATCCCCCTCGAACTCCACCGAGTAATGCATACAATACCACCGGTATGGCCAAGTCTTCTAATCCAGCTGCATGGTCTTCGCCTTGGACACAGGCTGTCCAAGCACTATGACGGACCCCATAAGCCAGGCGGGCCACCACACGCCCCAGATGATGACGGGAGTATACATGCCCCAAACGTCCCAGCCGAACGCAGCCTCCTTGAGGACCCCTCCGATGCTAATGTCGAAATACGACGACACGGAGTATAGCGCCGCCGTCGGAGACGCGAGCTGGAGGAACGCGGCACAGGCCCATCGAACGGCCAAGTGGTGCGGCCAGGGTCGCATGAAGGAGAGCGGACTAGCCATGACGCCAACGAGGAAGGCCAGGGAGAAGTTCAGAGTAGCAAGAGCAGATAGAAACATGCCGAGCAAAAGCAAGGAAAAAGACTTGATGAGCTGGTATTGTTGGACAGTCGGATTGTAAGTAGAGGTCAGCAACGAGGAAATGAGAAAGGGCAGAGCGCAATTGACGAGCGCGAAGGCTGTATATGCCCCTGAAAGCATCTGTAGAATGAGCATGAGTACACAAATTCGTTCCGTGGGTGTGCTGGAAGCTTACATGTGCGGGCATATGGTTGAATATGTACAGGGGTATGACGCCCAGAAACTGGCAGATGGCCACCAAGCCCAAGGGGAGGAATAAATCACGTTCAACCGCCGATACTGACCGCGGTGGTGGGCCTGGCTTCTTCCCAGAACCGTCAGTACACGCTTCAGAGGACGTAGTTTCGCTGTCCGCCCTAGCCGCTATGCTCTTTGCACCTGAACCCTCTTCCTGGTGGCCACTCTTCACCCACAGAGAGATGGCAGTGATTGTAAAACTGGCGGCCAGGATCATGGCACTAGGTAGGTACGTGCCAATACTGACGAATCTCTCCTTGTGCATTAGGAGGTAAAAGAAGAAACTTTGATGAAGGTGTTCGAGGAGGTTGTTCAAGCTGCGGAACGTACCCTCGACCAAGCGCCCCATGCCCATCTCGTCATGCCAACCTTCGCCAAAGGGTTGCAGGGTGATAGCATCAACATGGTATGGGATGAAGCTGCTATGCGGGCCCGAGGCGTGGCCGAGCCCCTGGTTCAGCATGCCGCGAAGCATGGTCCGTAGCCGGTCTTGGTATTTGTCCGAGTGCGACCACATTTCCTGAATAGCGGTCCCCATGCCCATCTGCCCGCCTGCGATGTTGACAACAGAGTTGATAAGGTCGAGATTTGGCAGTTGGCCATTGATGCCATCGTAGATGATGTGGATGGATTCAAAGCGGCGCTCCTGGGAGAAGTCTATTGCGATAGCGCCCTGCAACGCACCGGATTTGAGAGGTAACGAGCTCACACGGGACGAGTCGTGCGAGTCGTGATATGCGTCAACCCAGGCCTGAGCTCCCGTCCTGCTGTCCGGGGGGATGACGAGGATGATGTCCTTGGACCAGAGAGACCACCGCTTGAAGTACCGTGCAAGAGTCAGAGCCAACGGCACGCCGTTGACATTGAATTTCTCGTCGATCGTCTTCCATGCAGCAACCAGCACGATTGCTTCAGTAGCGTCACCACGCGGGGCCTGGAGAATAGCGTATATATTCTCGCCCATATAGATATCGCCAGCCGATTCGTATGTGTAGTTCTGGCGCCCGACCTTCAAGCCTACGTTCTTGAGAATGCCCTCGAGTTTGTCATTGATCCTGCAGTAAACGCAATCATCAGTTTCAGGCCAAGCAAGAACCACCAGTCAAGGATGAAAAAAGTGTTTGCGCGCGTACTCGTAGTTGGACTTGTCCTTCACCAAGTTGACCTCGTTCTTGTAGGCCCGTAGGACGTTCTGGTCGCTTCCCCCGAAGTATGTGTGTACCTGGCCCGGGAGCAGCGCATTCTCGGAGATATATGTTCGGCGGGAGTAGTCATTGAGAGGCAACAGAAATAGCCATGCAATGCCGCCAAGAATACATGCTAACGACAGGTAGGGCGGGAGTTTGAGGATACGTGGATCACGCCGCAACGAGAGGGCTGAGGCTGTGGAGCGACCAGGTTAGTAAAGAATAGATGGGCAACAAAGCTGTCAGTGGGCGTTGAAATCTTACATATTAGCCGTGACATGGCAATGACTGTTCTGCGGCAGCTCCAGGAAGCTGCGCGCTTGAGAAATCAGGTCGTCTTCTTTACGCGGTGACGTACTAGAAGGACGGCCTTCATTTTTATCTTTCAGGGGTCGTGGTTTATCAAAGCAGACCAGAGAGGTAATAGCTAAGACGTGGAAGGGACAGGCAAGGTACCAAATATTCATTTAACCGGGCGCGTCACCTCCCATTCCCAGCTTTAGCACAGCTTACCCCTGTACCCCAGCTTCAACGGATCTGACCGCAGTCTACCTACCTTATAGGACAATTCCCTGGTTATTGTGCCTGATGCAGCTTCGTTCCCAGGGTATTTATCTAATCAACTGGCTGCATTGCTGGTTTCTGAGTTACTAATGGTGTTTATTTCCTCTTGTTATTCCCTCAAGATCATGCGATAACAATCTAGATATTCGCAACTGCAGGACTGCCACCGAGGTGCGATTGACTCACCTGCTTCACCTTTTGATAAAACCGAGCCTTCGTATTGCGATGGCGCTGAGCGCCATCACATGGCCAACAAACAAGCGAAGTGTACTACACGGGCAAATGTTACCAATCCTATGCATGTGCCATTTCCATCTCGCAATCAGAACTCCAAACTCCGATCTAGATGCCCTTCAACCTCGCCGGGCAGTATTATAGTGGTACAAGTTCAAACGCGGATACCTCAGGATCCAAGCCTTTGCGTGGTGCCAACAAGCGCAATAGGGGCGCTGCCGCCGCCGGCATGACTGCTTGAGGGCAAGACACCGAAGCGACCATAGGTCTTTTGATCTACACTCACATAGTGAGGCAGGCGGCCCAGCAGGTTCAGCTTTGATTCAACCCATCGCAGGGCCTTTTCGGGAGGGCTCAGAAATTTGAGGTAACCGAGGCCAACTGGACACTCGATCTTAGCATGGCATCTCTTGGCCGTACAGCCCATGGTTCTTACATAGATATCCAACAAATACGCCGCAAAGGTGGCCCAGTAAGCTTGTACCTGGAACGAGAGCGGTAACCACCAAGATGAGGATCAGGGGCGTTGTCCATGTGGGGATCGAGTACGTCGCAATCGTCAGTTGAGGGTTCGTCTTATAGGTTCGAATCGCCTCCCTGCCGAGGAGCAAGAAGACCCATATACTGCGCAAAGCGTCCCATTAGCCACACGCATGTCATGTGCTCTGCCGATATAGTGGTTACCTAGCCCCCATAACGCCGACATTCCCCTTGAAGAGGAATCTTTCGATCAAAACGTATAGAATAGCCGGAATTGTGGTAAGAGCTATGGAGTATCAATCATAAGGCCTGGAAAGTAACGAGGAAAGGGTAGCATACGTCCGATGAAGAGCGATATTGAGGTCAGAGTACCAAATTCCGCCTCGAAGCGTTCCATCAGAGGGGCCAAAGCTAGGATATTCATAATCGCGTGGATGAAATTTTTGTGGATAAATGGGAATGTGTTCATTCGGTACGCTACAACAGCTCAGTATCAGCACACATGCCGGCAGGACGAGGGAGAGCGAAGAAGGGGGAACGAACAAGACGTGAAGGACAGTTGGTCAGGGATCAAGGCGCCCCATTGCCTCATGTCCCAGGCCGACTGAACGCCCGCAATCGAGGCAACAACGATGATCAGGAGAACGATTCTGGTGAAGAGCGGTAGCCGGAGGACATAGGTGCGAGCCCGAAGGGTGCTAAAGGAAGTCACGCTGGGAGCCATCGCATCAGCCGTCTCCGGGTGTCGCGGAGATCCAGAGTTGCGCGCGCGGTTCGTCGGAAGCTATACTAGCCTAAATTGTTTCGCGCCAGCGTGGGGTGAGGCGATTTCCTGAAAGGCGATTCGACTGTCAACGTTGGGTAATTACGAAGGCCTGCGTTGAGGCCGAGCACGTTGCTGTGATTATTCCACAACTGGGAAATTTGTAGACAGCTTGTCGCATGCACGCCTACGGTCCATTCGAACCTTCTTGGACCCCAAAAAATGGCGATAAGAGTATATGCATAACGGCTTATCACCACGTGACTTTGATGTCTGTTAGGTGGCAGCAAGGGACATTAACACGACCGTCACTTTAAACGAGGAATCCAGCAATGCTGGCTAATGAAAGCGCTTCGTTACAATGCCCAAGCTATGTCAACAGTGTGTCTCATCGGAAAATGGTAGTGTAGGATGCCCGGGAGTCTCCTTTTTGAATATTTCAAATTTGTACAGACTAGGAAATCATGGCCCACATGACATAAAAAATAAGGTCCCAGAGGTATTTGCCCGACCAAAACAAAGGGCATGACACGGCCGTCAACTTCAAGTTATACCGGCCGACACCCCAGAACATGCTAATAAAGATAAGTACGCCTACACCACCAATTCACGCATCAAGCTGACCAGTATTGCTACCGTAACACTCCCCATTTATGACTTGCCAGCCGACTTAGCCATAGTGTTAAGGGCGCTGCCGTTCTTGAACCACTCGATCTGAGGGGCGTTGAAGGTGTGTGACAGCTTGACCTCGAAGGGCTTACCGTCCTTGGGGTGGACAACCATAGTCAAGGGCTTGCCGACCTCAAGCTCGGTAGCAAGGATGTCGACCTTGTCATCAGGCTTGATCTTGTCGTAGTCGGCGGGGTCAGAGAAGGTAAGGGGGAGCATACCCTGCTTCTTCAGGTTCGTCTCGTGGATACGAGCGAAGGAACGGGTGATAATGGCAAGACCACCAAGGTGGCGGGGCTCGAGAGCAGCGTGCTCACGAGAAGAACCCTCGCCGTAGTTCCAGTCACCAATAACGACCCATTTGATGCCCTTCGCCTTGTAGTCACGGGCAACGGCAGGGACAGCATCCCACTCACCAGTGGTGACGTTCTTGACCTTGTTGGCCTCGCCGTTGGCCTCGTTGATGGCACCGATCAACATGTTGTTGGAGATGTTGTCCAAGTGGCCACGGTACTTCAACCAGGGACCGGCCATGGAGATGTGGTCGGTGGTGGTCTTGCCCTTGGCCTTGATGAGGATGGGAATGTCCTTAACGTCCTTGCCATCCCAAGGCTCGAAGGGAGACAGGATCTGGAGACGGTCGGAAGAAGGAGAGACCTGGACGTTGACGGTGCTGCGGTCAGCAGGAGGAGCCTGATAGGTGTTCTGGCCCGCGTCGTATCCGCGGCTAGGGAGACCATCACCGCTGGGGGGCTTGAGCTTGAATTCCTTGCCATCCTTGTCCTTGAGAGTGTCGGTAAGGGGGTTGAAGTGCAGGCTGCCGGCAACGGTCATGGCGACGACCAGATCGGGGGAGGCGACGAAGGAGTGAGTGGCAGGGTTACCGTCGTTGCGGCCGGTAAAGTTACGGTTGTAGGAGGAGATGATGGAGTTGGGCTCGCCCTTCTTAACATCCTGGCGATCCCACTGACCAATGCAGGGACCGCAAGCGTTGGCAAGCACGATACCGCCATACTCCTCAAAGGTCTGGAGCTGGCCATCACGCTCAATGGTGGCGCGAATCTGCTCGGAACCAGGGGTGATGGTGAAGATAGTCTTAGACTTGAGGCCATGGTCAAGAGCATCGCGGGCAATGGAGGCGGCGCGGCTCATGTCCTCGTATGAGGAGTTGGTGCAAGAGCCGATAAGCCCAACCTTGAGCTCCTCGGGCCAGTTGTTGGCCTTGGCGGCCTCGCTGAACTTGGAAATGGGAGTGGCCAGATCGGGGGTGAAGGGACCGTTGATGTGGGGCTCGAGCTCAGACAGGTTGATCTCGATAAGCTCGTCGTACTCAACACCCTCGTCCTCGCGGAGCTCCTTGGCGTAGGTGCGAGCGAAGTCACCAATGTCCTTACGCTTGGTGGCGGAGAGGTACTGGTGCATGCGGTCGTTGAAGGGGAAAAGAGAGGTGGTGGCGCCGATCTCGGCACCCATGTTGCAGATGGTACCCATACCAGTGGCAGAGATACCCTCAACACCAGGGCCGTGGTATTCGACGATGGCACCAGTGCCACCCTTGACGGTCAAGATGCCGGCGACCTTGAGGATAATGTCTGGAAAATGTCAGTATTGGACACCGCTCGACAGCTTCTTGACTGAGGCGATCCACGTACCCTTAGGCGTAACCCAGCCAGACATCTGGCCAGTGAGCTTGACACCGATAACCTTAGGCGCCTTGAGCTCCCACGGGAGGTTGGCCATGACATCAACAGCGTCAGCACCACCAACACCGATGGCGCACATACCGAGACCACCAGCGTTGGGCGTGTGAGAGTCAGTTCCGATCAGCAGGCCACCGGGGAAAGCATAGTTCTCGAGGAGGATCTGGTGGATGATACCAGAGCCGGGCTTCCAGAAACCGATGTTGTACTTGGCGCAAGCGGAAGCAAGGAAGTCGTAAACCTCCTTGTTGATGCCAACGGCACGCTCCAAATCCTTGGCACCGCCAACCTGAGCCTCGATCAAGTGATCGCAGTGGACAGTGGTGGGGTTGGCGACAGAGGGCATGCCGGCAGACATGAACTGCAGAATAGCCATCTGAGCAGTGGCATCCTGGCAAGCAACGCGATCAGGGCGAAGCTTGAGGTAAGACACACCACGCTCAATCTCTTGCTCGTGGGGGTTGTCGAGATGGGAGTAGAGAATCTTCTCGGCGTAGGCGAGAGGGCGGTTGAGGCGCGAGCGCACAATGGCCAGGTTCTCAGACATCTTCTTGTAGTTGATGAAGTTGCCCTCTTCGTGAATGTTCTGCTTGACCTGTTTGCGGCGAGTCAGCGGCTTGTTTTGAACTCGAGCAACGAGCAGAGGCTGCTGCGGCCTTGTCCCGCCCAGTCACGCTCCAGTAAGAGCTTGACGACAAGAGACAGCCGAAAGGATGGGGGGATACATACCTTACGGTCAAGAGGAGAGTCGGAGACGGTAGCCATCCGGCGCAGTCCCAAACTAGCACTGGCGGCAGTGCGGCTCCGGGCCACAGAGCCCAGGAGCTGTCGTGAGGCCAACATGGTCGGTGTTGACAAGGCGAGCAGTTGTTACACTGTTCAATTGAGATAGAGTGGAGAGTGTCGGAGCTGTGATGAAGCTCAAGACAAGTATCTCAAGTGCCCTGGCCTTTTAAAGGGACTTTGTTTTCTAAGGATGGAGGAGGGGGGAAAAGAATATTAAGAGGAAGAAAACAAGAAGGTGGAGAGGATTTCCGACGAAGATGAGAAGTAGTCGGAGAAAGGCGGCAAAGCGACCAGGTCTTTCCGGATCGGGTGGCAGTAAAAAGCTCGCACCTTGCCCCCGTCGCCCTCAGTTTTACTTTTACACACACCCAAGGGCCAACCACTACGACTACGGGTCTGGGGGAGGGGGTTATGGGTGTGTGCTCGGCTCAAAGCTATCTGGTTGTGGTTGCCGCGCTCCTGTGTGAACTGTGGAGAGCAGACAGGGTCAGCCAGGGTGGGTTCCTCGGCTATGACGAAGGCAACGACGGGCCAACGGACGAATCAGCGGGATTGGATTATTTTCACTCAGCAGCAAAAAGCTGCAAGGAGGCTGGAGTGGGGTACTTTCTTCATCTTGATGCGAGCACATGAGACCAGGTAAACCACCTAATTTTTGATTCCCTGCGTCTTTGTGGAAATTTCTCGTACCGGCCGCTACTAGTTTACGTAGCGTGTACATACATTGTAGATAACCTACCTGAGATGCTTTACAGTACCTACCTCACTCGCAGGGCATTGGCAAATGGCGCGAGTGCAAATTGAGGGGAATCACGGAATAAAAGTCACCGGTGAACGTATGCCACGGCATCTTTTTGCGCTGCATGCCGTCACCTTGAGCTCGTTTCGGCATGCACCCCAAATACTCGGTCGCTCTGGAATGCAGCAGAACTTCCCTTTCATCCGTGGATCTGCCCGCGTCTTCTTTTGCCCCCCGTCATTGCTGCGTGCGGAAGCACCCAAGCATCCCGCGGAGTGACAGACAATATGACAAGACGCATGCCTCACCGGCCGTCCGTCCACCTCGAAACAGACGAGCGAGGAAGAAAAAGAGGACAGACTGGACGGATCCCGGGTCTCTACGCGGGTCTCGAGTCGGAAACAAGGCTAATCCCTAACAATGCGTCGCTTCCCTCTCGACCCCGGGAACACCGGTGCGATTGCAGCAGCTTTGGCTGCGACCGAGACGATATACCTCCTCAACTCCTGCAACTGTAGCAGTGGGCATCCACATGCATGTGAAGACTTGTTGATGTACCTGTACTTGTACGTACCTTGCCTCCCCTACCCCAGCTACCTACATTGTAGGTAGGTAGGTAGGTCCTCCAACCACGCCAGCCACAGCCCGTTCGATAATACCTATGTTACTGCTGCGACAAAGGGCCATCACGTATCTCCAGCGTACGTTCTTGTCGCAAGGGCCTTGTCTCAGCTGCAGAAGCCGGAGTCATGTCATGGAAGCCATGGCCACGCAGAGGCGCCTCAGCTGACAACCAGTCTGCGGCGAATGCGCCTGGAGTTCCCATTCAGCCGGCTGGATTCCTGTCGTAGCACGTACGGATAGTGAAGGAAAGATGCCATGGTACCCAGGATTCCCCACTGAGTTACCTAGGTAGTGTAGGTAGGCTGAGATGACCGAACACGACGTCCAACCACGCGTTTTCCGCCAACTCCATAATCCCACCTTCAATCCTGCGACTTTGCTTGGAGTTAGGGACGATGATAGTCCCGCACCCGGGCGAGAAAACAATCGGCTGGAATTCATCTCCGGCATCGAAGATATACACGAGTGTTGAGGCGGCATCTATACACCACTACTTTGTGTTAGCGTGCTTTCGTCGGAAACAGTTGCGGGAGATAATGCAGGTGTTGGTCTTGCACCGACGTCCGCTGCCTTGCATCTGCATCCATGACAGCATCCAATCACCTGGGGCAATTACAATATCAACCAAAATTTTCTGGTCTGGAGACATCGTTTTGGCTTATTCCTCTATTTCTCTCAAGCCTGCAGGACTGGGGCAGTGGGGGGGGGCTCCTCCCAGAGAACCTGGTCAGATGAATTGGAGCCTCCTCTAGGTACGGACCTTGAACCCTTGTACGTTGTGGTGCTTCCTTCCGTGGCTGTGGAGCTCGAATTGCCTCGGATAGCCTTCGGTCGCAAGCTCGCAAACTCGCAGTTCCGGGTTTGCCCTCGGTCGCAGAAGGAATTATGATAGGAGATATCGCCGAAAATCCGAGGCGACGGCCGAGCTCCTTTGTTTGCTCATCCTCACGATGCTGATTGCTCCGTTTACAAAAGGATGCCCGGCCTGCCTTACCTTGAGCTGCCATTTTCTACCCGCTACGGCGACGGCCATCTACCGATACGGCGGCGACTGTTGTCCACAGCATCTACTTCGGCCACTCCGTATAATCAACGGTTCATAGTTTTCCAGTTGTCCAGATGCCTCGTTGATTGAAGTGGCTGTCCCATACATGTGTAGTGCTATTCGCGATATCTGCTCCTGCCACCAATGAAGTATACGCTACCGCTCTTCCCAACAATCTGATTGAGCAAGTGTTCAGTCAATGTCCTCAGTCTGCAACTCTTCTCCAGATCTACGAGCGCTACGTTCCTTGGACTTCCAAATGGAATGATTACCTACCTAGGCAGATTGGGTGAGGCTTGTATCCGTACTCCGTAAACACCGTGCGTATCTTTCTGACTAACGGCTGTGAGGCACTATGATTTGCCGGTCGCTGGTCCAAGCCTCCAGTGCTTCCAGACTTTTTTCTAGCGGGTCCGGGTCCGAGGAGCCGCTAATACTGTTCTGACTGAGCGGTGAAGCAGCTTTTCTGTGGCTCAACACCAAATTTTTGCCCCGCCATTCCCATCTCGAGGCATAATTTGGGATTCTGCCACTGGTTGTATCTATCGACCGCAACACAGCGTCCTACTATTCAGCAAAGCGATACTCTCTCACTCAAGTCAGCTACTTTAAACGGCAGGCAAAATGGGTGTCACAAACAAGAAGACCCTGACCAAGACACGGAGAAAGACGAGGTACGCATCCAGCAGCAGAAGCACATTCACCGAGCCCAAGGCCATCAGTCTAACGCTAGTCGGATAGGGATGTTGATCAAATCAAGGCCGATATGCGCTCGCCGAGGCACCTGCAGCTCTACAAAAACACCAAAGCAAAGGAAGATCTCCCCGGGTTGGGCCAGCACTACTGCGTCGAATGCGCCAAGTGGTTCGAGACCGAGGTCAGCCTCGTCGGCCACCACAGAGGCAAGCCTCACAAGCGCAGGTTCGTCATCTACATACACCCCCAGGAGCACTCAGCTCCGGCATCCCGTGCATCCTCGACTAACCCCCACCTAGAGTCAAGCAGCTGAAGGAGGAACCCTACACCCAAAAGGACGCCGAGGCTGCCGTCGGTCTCCGAACAGACAACAGGGGCGTTAATAAGGACGGCCCAGAGAAGGCACTCGACCAAGAGATTGATATGGAGACTTGACTCTTGTTGTTTTCGCCCAGAAGTCTACCGTGGCTTGGGAGTAGACGCTAGATGATACCCTTTCACGACGGCATAATGAAGGTCTTTTTTACGTCATCCCTTGCTCACCTCGCCCGACGAGAAGGGTGGAACTGGCGCTGTCGCAATGCCGGAGTGTAAGGAAAAGGGCAGCGCCCTGTTCCAAAGAGAATATGGCAGCAGGATCCCTTGAAAAGGAGCTCACCGAATGCCACGGGCGCGGGGTCTGACGATTCCACTGCCCCGGCCTCTTTGAGTCTCGGCGCCCCCGCGACCTCCTGCGCGGCCCCGCGCTGTACCGCGGGTGGCTGGGGCCGGGACTCGGGAACCTCTGGTGGTAGGAGTCTTGTATCTCGGGGTCGGCTTGGAGGAGGCGGGCGGGTTTTCGACAAACGAAACGTCCGTAGTCCTATGCTTGGTTAGAGAACGCTGTCAAGACTACCGACGCGATGAGGAAATGGGCGTAAATACATGAAAGTTGTTTCGCCTTCATTGTCTGGGGCGGTCCTCTCCGGCGCGCGAGGAATTCCTTAGACACTCTGCATTAGTCTCGGACGCTGTCATTGTGCTGTGATGTGTAGAGTGTGTACCTGTCCCCTCGTTTGTACCGGACTCGTCCTGTTGCTTTGCACGCCGGAATGACTCCGCAACAGGGCCCTAGGGAAAGCAAAGGTCAGTATAATAAATTGGGCATTGGGTCGCGGGAAGCCGCTCGCACCTCTTGGAAGTCGACACAGAAAGCGTTCATGTTGAGGCCGTACAGAAAGCTTGCAAACGATTCGCTGAAGCGGGCCAGACTCTCGTGCATTAACTGGAAGTGCATCATGTTGGCCTCGAGGTCTGCGACGGCGTCCGAGAGCTCGGCAAAGGCCGGCTCAAAGGCGTTGAGGGGAAACGACTCGCCGCCGCCGTGCACGCTGCCACGGGCAGACTCACGGAAGGATGAGCGCGACGAGGGGCGTAGGGGTGTCGTTGGGCGCATTGGGGTCGTGGGACGCGAATTGCGTGTGCGTGAGGCGGATCGCTTGTCGATGGGATCGTGGTCGTGGTCGGCCATGGTGACGGCGGAATGTGGGATTCCCGGAGAAGCAAGAATGGAGCGTACTTGCACTTTCAACGCCTTGATAGTGAAGGAGGCGCCGGGGCTTTCGGTGTAAACGTGAGGTGTCGTGATAGGTGGTTGCGGTTGACGATGATGGTTGGACTGTATATTGCTGGGCTACCAAAATCCAATGTGCGAGTCAACATCAACAAACCGCCTCGGTGGCCCACTTCAGTGTCAAAGGCGCACACGGCTCTGTCGCTTCCTTTTTTGGGGCGGGGTCAAATCAACGGTCCCCGCACCCAGCTCCAGGTGCCTTCAGCTACTGGTCACCATGCAGCACCTGGTACACACAGGTACCTACACCTACCCACACATACCTACGGATACCTAGGTACCTACCGGTAGGCAGGTAGGTAGGTACTGTACTGGACAGCTAAGCTCCCCAAGGGTTCCATTGTCAACCCCGAAACTGCAGTTTAGCATGTGTGGACAGGGGGTCAGACGCTGTAAGTGCCACCCGTCATCACTAAAATAAAACCCTGTTTAGCCGGTTAGTCGAGGCGGGATGACGCAAAACTGGGTTTATTCCTCAGTAGCCGTGTGTGCCCAGTCCCTTATCGGAGGAGTAAGTCGCGTGGCTTTTCGTGATGGGTATTGATACTGCATCTGCCATTTCGGATTGCAAGTTCGATGCATTAGGCCACAGACAGTGCCTGACAGCACTCGTAAACTTTTCCATAGGTACGCATCGCAAAGCTACTGTACCATCCATATCTCCCCTCCTCACTCACTCATCCCTTGCGCCACCAATTGACTCCTTTCCTGTCTCTCGCGACATCCCACCTTCGCCAAACTTCGACATCACCGGCTGATCGCATGGGTAGTAGCCACCTCCCCGCACCAAGAGTGGGAGCTAACACAGCTAGCCATCCACAGCTGACACCCAACAACAGCAACGAATCCTCAATCACTTACTGGAATCTGTAGCGCGCCTTCGGATCGCTCGGACATTTCTACAACTGTCGCAGTCCACGGGACGCCTCTCTCACAGCGCTAGTTCCTTGCAATTATCGCTGCCATAGTCGGCTGTCTGGGCCTCCCTTCCCTTTCTCTACAACCCTCCCCCCCCCCCGTTGCAGCCCGTCATTCCGCCCATACATACCTGCACATCCGTCTGTGGTTGTACTATTCCCCAACCAGCCGGAGGCTCGACCCCCTCCAGTCTCACCCACTCACTACCTCAACTCTTTGCGCCATCCGTCATCCGTTAGTAAAGGCCAGTTACCATAGTGTTCTGCCTTGCTTGAATCGATAGGCCTATTGCCCTCAAACCAAGTCTACCCCTAACCACGAGTATCGTTCTCTTCCTTGAAGTGGCATTCCTTGGCAGTCACCAGCCATCTCGCAGAACTCCAGCCCTGCCCTTGAGTCCGCGTAAGTCATAGTCTTCTCTAACTTTTGTACCCCTCCAAACCTCTCTCTCGCACCAAGACCATGAATCGCCTCTCGGTCCTGTCCATCTCTACCTAGACTGTCAACGTAAGGAAGGTATCTTCCTGCCCTACGCGCTCCGCCTGCTTGGTCATATTGATTTTGCGCCACCTTTTATTCCCTCCTACAACCCGCCTGTCAACGCTTTGCAAATTGGGATGGCCCTGCTGACCTTGACAGGACCCCGTGTCAGCACCACCACATCAGTTCCCAGGCATTGACTGACGTCTTCGACTGATGCCGGTCAGTTTGAAACCACAAACCTCGGCCTTGCCAAGCATTTTCACATTCCCACAAAGGTTCCTCCTATCCACGGCGAGGAGCCGCCTTGCGCAACTACCATTGATCTCTCAACTCAGACGGCAATCCCTGGTTTCACCGAGCGTACAGAGAATTAACCGCCCCTCCGCATCGTCAGATTACGGGCGATTCTATTCAGTCGGATCAAGGCAATCATCGGACCTCTACAGCCGCAGGCCACCGCGTGTCTTGCTTCAATCTCGCATCGACTTCGTTGTCTACTCCCTCGCCATCGTCTCCGTGTGTCTTTACGGCGTGTTGTGTCAACACCTCTCCGATCCCAACGCTACTGCCGAGACAGAGCCTGAAGCCCACCATCTAGTTTCTCACCTCTCAGGCACCATGGCAACGGAAATGCCTCCCGGAAGACCGGGGAATCTCACCCCGGAGCAGGAAGAGAAGCTACGCCAGCTATGGAACCTGATTCTTTCCCTGGGGGGGGATGCTAGCACCACCGCTGCAGACAGCACATCTGCCAGCATAGCCCCGACAGAGACGTCGACTGCTGGGAAGGACGAGAAGCCCAAGAAGAAGCGCGTCTCACTTTTCAGTCGCAAGGACAAGAAAGAGGTTGGCTCAACAAACTCTTCGGCTACCGTTCATACTACCATCAAGGAGGATGGCGAAGACAAATATGGTCAAACCAAGCAGTTTCAAGAAGCTCTGGCCAGCCAAAGCCCCGAGGCTCTACGCGCCGCAATTTGGGCCATGGTCAAGCACGACCACCCGGATGCCTTGGCGCTGCGTTTCCTGAGGGCGCGCAAATGGGATGTGGAGAAGGCATATGTCATGATGATCTCCACTATGAACTGGAGGTTAACGGAGATGAAAGTCGACGAGGAAATCATGAGAACCGGCGAGGCTGGTGCTCTAGAAGCCTCAAAGAGTTCTGATGCCAACACAAAGAAACTTGGAGAGGATTTCATGGCCCAGGCTCGGTCAGGCAAAACCTTCATTCATGGCCTCGACAAGGCAGGACGTCCTATTTGTCAGGTCAGAGTGCGTATGCACAGGCAGGGTGAACAGTGCGAGGAGAGTCTCGAGAAGTACACTGTCTTCTTGATTGAGACAGCACGCATGGTTCTGGCCCCTCCTGTGGACACTGCTGTAAGGGTTTTCTCTGCATTGTTAGTTGGGTGGATGCTGACCAGCTATAGACCATTGTGTTCGACATGACCGGCTTCTCCATGGCCAACATGGTAAGTAATTACAGTCTAACATAGGTCGGTAAATGATGCTAACCATCATTTCAGGACTACACCCCTGTCAAGTTCATGATTAAGTGCTTCGAGGCCAACTACCCTGAATCTCTCGGGACTGTTCTGGTTCACCGTGCCCCCTGGGTCTTTCAAGGTTCGTTTATACTTGACAAAAGACAGGCAAAGTCGCAACTAACACTGCGAAGGGATCTGGAAGATTATCAAGGGCTGGCTTGATCCGGTTGTTGCCGCCAAGGTTCACTTCACCAACAATGTCAAGGAAATGTCTGAGTTCATTGAGCCTAGCCGCATCCTCAAGGAGCTCGACGGTCAGGAGGAATGGAACTACAAGTATGTGGAACCGATCGACGGAGAGAATGACAAGATGAAAGATATAGCGACACGGGATGCTCTGGTGTCTGGCCGAGAGGATCTCATCCACGAGTACGAGGAGGCAACCTTACAGTGGATCAAAGAGGCCGGAACGGACAAGGAGCCTGCCATCAAAGCACGGCGCAACGAACTTGCCCGTAAGCTGAGAGACGACTACTGGAAGCTAGACCCGTACATCCGCGCCAAGTGCTTCCTGGACCGGACTGGCGTTATCCAGGAGGGCGGAGAAATCAACATGTACTCCAAGGGAGCTGTCGCTTCTCAAGCCACCAACGGCACGCCCGCCGTCAATACCTCGGCCGACGATGTAGACTAGAATCCGCCTTCGTAGGGGGCATTAGAATCACGAGGGGCGTAAGCGCACGTCATGAGGGTAGAGCGGGTTACGGGGACCATGGGTTGTTGAATTATAGGATCCGATACCCAAACTACGGGGTTGGGAGCGGGTTGTTGAATATACCATGATTTACCCTATTTACATCTTGGACTTGATATCCTCGAAGAGAGCCTTGAGCTTGTCCATATCAGTCTGCTGCTGTGGCCAGCCGACGCCAAGGCCCTCAGTCTCGTTGGGCTTAGGAATCTGTAATGGAGGTTAGCTTGAGGATGTAAAATACCGGAGAAGAGGGCTGGTTACCATGTGGAAATGAACCTGTGATTTGTTAGCATTCGGAACAGTGACTGGGTAATTGGGCCGATGACTTACGTGATCAACAAGCTGGTGGGCGATGCGGCCGTTGTTCTGGAGGATGTTGTAATCCGTGGCGCCAGTCGCGGCAATGAGCTTCTTCACCACGGGCTTGAGACGTGTTAGGAGAACGAGTTTAAAGAACTCCAGGCAGGACTTACGAGAATCTCGCCGAGATGGTCGTCTGGAATGTCAGACAGCTTTGCGCCGTGGTACTTAGGGATGACGAGCTGCGGGGATAATGTAAGCCAACGGTGAACAAATGTGGACGTCGCAGGGATAGGAGTTGGGAACGGCTTACAGCATGGCCACGGCTGAGGGGGTTGATGTCGAGGAAGGCTAGCGTCTTGTCGCTCTCGAAGAGCTTGAAGCAAGGGATTTCACCTGCGAATAACTCCCTTTCAGCGACATTCTGTTTGGTTACGGGGTACATAGAAGTCTTGGGATCATGTTGGAATGAGGGAGAAATAGGAGTGTGACGAACCCTTGATGATCTTGCAAAAGATGCATGATGTCAGGCTGGAAGTCATGATGATTGTTATGTAACTCTGAATTCAAAAATTTGGTACAAAGTAGTTCAAAGTGTTCCGCAATTGAGGGAAGAGAAATGAGAACACAGATTAATCAAGTTGTGTAAGAGAGTAATTGATGGAGATGCGAAAGACATACGCAGTGGGCGGGGATATGGAAGTTGAGGACGCTTGTGTGGGTCCCCGGTGCACACTAATCATGGTACTTAAGGGGCAAAATCTAGCTGAACGTTCGGAGTGGGACCTCCTATCGAACTCACCTCTTGCCTTTTACCAGATGTGACCGTTGGATGGCCCAACAGACTCCATTCCATCAATCTTTGGCATCTTTTCATCTGGAGCTTCCAGGTTCGAACTGTTCATTTCTCTATTTTTGGAGGTTGCAAATGATGAGGACGAGCTAGATGTCAAGTCCTTTAAGGGTTTTAAGGTGCGCTCCGTTCGCATTACATTGTAAAGTGCGAAGGGAAAGAAACCCCCCCCGTAACCATCTTGTTATGGTCACGGGAAACACCACAGCGCAGCGCGGTAATCGGGTCCTGACCCCTGTCACAATTGTCGTCATACCCCTCCATCCATTCTCCTCTCCCCTCACCCCGCCCTCTCCTCTCCTTACCTATTCCTGCCTTTTGTGTGCCGCCATTCAGGTTCCTTCTCTTAAGCAACCCCACCCCCACCACCTTACTAGTAGGATGACTACCTACTGAAGGCGACTTGTAGTAAACCCCAGGCGCGGCTTTCGGCACCTGCAAATAAGGCAGCCAGCCGATCCATTTTAGACCAAGTTGCGCGCCATCTCTCTTTTGAGTGACATTCCGTCTTCTTACCGTAACATCTCTGTGATACCCAAACGCGCGCCTGATCTAATCGCCTCCTTCGGGTTCTTACAAGCTCTACAACTTACCGCCGCCGCTTGTCAGCCTCGGGCCTCGAGACTTGACTACGACATCTACCGAGACCTCGCTTTACGACCAGAGAGAGGACCTTACCCACGACACGAGTCTTCAAATCTCCATTTCTATTGCCTGCCAGTGTCATGACCCGATACAAGGGAACTCCCCTCTACGGCGGGGCCCTAGTCGCAGACCTTCCTGAGAAGTTCGCCGACGTCAGGTTTGTTTTCCAAAGCCTTGCCCCGGACCCAAGCACAGCATTCGCTGACAGTTGACTCCCTCACTAAACAGCAAACTCCGGGAGGTCCCCGACAACCAGGAGGTCTGGATCGACTCGGACGGCTTCACTAGCATCATCTTTGACATAACAGAGCGCGTCGGCCCCGCAGGGAGCAGCCCCGAGATCGACGGCCGCGCCATGACGACGCACCTCGAGGAGCTCGTTGGCGAAGACATTGACACCGTAAAAGTGTGGAACACGACCGAGACATCCTTTTCAAGGCTCAGGTACGTGGCTCTTCATACCTGCGTGCTCCCCCCTCGGGCGTAAATCTCGAAGCGCACGCTAGGGTACAATTGAAAAGACCAAGAAGATATAGAAAAGAAAACACGACCAAGGCACAAGAGACTGACAGCCACGAAAAATTATAGCCCCGACTTCCCCGCCTATACCCTCATCGCGACTCAGACACCCCACACCAAGCCTGGCTCCAAATCCGGCTCGTCAGCTCCCGACTTCACGGCCATCATCCTGACGCTACTCCGCCTCGAGAAAGAGTCGACCGACATCCTCGTTACCATCAACGTGCCGCACATCAAAGGCGAGTACGATGAGGCCGACGTTGACCTCGAGCTCGGGAAGCAGGGCAAGCTCATCGGCGACGCCGTCGAGTATGCTGCCCGCATCTGGGAGACGTTCAAGGTCAAGGACTGGACGCTGTTCCAGGAGGTTTGAGAAGAATGGGTCGCAGAGTGCCCGCTTGAGTTGCCATGTGTACGGGGCTATAGAAGGAAGGGCTGAACATGAAGACACTGCACGGGAGCTGCGAGCGGACGAATGGGCGGAATACCTTTCCGTCAGGCGTTGGGTGTGGCCGGGACACTTTTGTGCGAGGAAGACAGCTTAGATTGGATATTATGAAGAAGAAAAGCTACGCCGCCTCACAAAGTATACCGAGTACGTCCGGGATAACTCGTACATTGACAACGACTCAAGCCAGTACAGTGATGGAGACTATCCCGCGCTCGACTCTCGATTCCTCCAACGTCTCTTCACAAGTCTTTAAGGATCACAACGTTAGGTCGACAAGACAGGAACCAACCTTGCGGATGCTAATCTCGGAAATCGACGCTGACTGATCCTCGGAGTCGGGAGTCGCCCGGTTACTCCCGTCCCGTTTCGCCCATTTTTCCCCTATGATCCTCATCACCTCCTTCTGCGGGCTCTTGGGGTGCTCCTGCTTCACTATTTTCATCTGTTCCTTGAAAAATCGCTGGTATTCGGACGTCTTGCCTGTCGCCCTCGGTGTCGGCTTTGTCTGCTTCAGAAGGGCCTTGCAGGAGCCACAGCGGTGGCGCTCCGGGTTGATACTCTTGGAGTGGCGCTTGTATTCGAGCCCGCACTCGGTGCACTCCCAGACATACTTGTAGTCGATCTCATACGTGTGCTTCGTCGTAACCTCAATGCCGCGGTCGCCGAAGCGCTGTGAGCACTTGGCCGCCCAGGCCTTGAACTCTTTGCCGTGCGGGTTGCCCGTGATGCCACTGACCATGAAGTTGGCCAAGTGGCAGAACTCGTGTGCGACGACGTTGAGGAGACGGTGCTCGTCATCAATGACTTTTTCTGCGAGCTCAATGGAGGCGTGGTGGCGGTCCGTGATGGACTTTTCTGTCGCGTCAGGCAGCTTGCTGCGTATCTTCTCCCGTCTCCAGTTGGCCCTGCCCGCCGTGGTGTTGAGCTTGGCGGACCAGTTGATCTTGATGCCTCCAGTAGACTCGGCCAGGGCCTGGAGCTTGCCTTGCGTGATAGTGTTGTCGAGCTCACGAAGGAAGTCCTGGGCCAGTTCGTGTTTTCTCTGCTCGAAAGCTTTCTTGATCTCCTTTTGTTTGGCACCCTCGGTCCTGCGCGCCTTGGGCTTGGCCGTACTCTTTGCTGGACTCTTTTGTGTTGGGGGCAGGATCAGCTTCTTAGGGGAGTGCTCCTCGTTCCACTCGTCCACAAACTCCTGGCTCCAAAACATGTCCATACTAGGCCTGTGTGGTGTTTTGGGGATGCCAGGGAGCTTCGTGGGAGATACCAAAGATTTGATGGATGGCCTGGGTGGTGTTAATGGTGGTGATGTTGGGGGAGCATCATCGTCATCTTCAGCACTCGCGGCGTGTTTCTGGGAATCTTCGCTTTTGCTGCAGTGCAATCGTCAATAGTATTCAGGAGACAGTGAACAGGTATATCTTACATGTTCAGCTGGCGAAGGGCGTTGGTCATATCATCAGTCAAATCGACAACGAGAGTCTTGGGCCCCGCGACAATTTGCCCAGGTGCCCTTCTGGTGTTCTTCTGTTTCTTAGTAGACTGGTTTCGAGTCTTGCTGTTCTTTGATGGGTTAGGTGCTGGTAGGGCATTGCTTGGTGAAGGCCTCAGTGCTCTGGGGGGGTCCTCCAGCATCGGACCTATCTCCTGTTGGCGGCTGCGACCTGTAATCGATCGATGGTTGATCAACGCTGGCTCTTTACGCCTAGAGAGAATCGGAATGTCTTCTTCCTCGAACTCCGATTGCGAATCGCCAGAGAATTCGGAAACTTCGGCCTCGGAGATCTCTGTCTGCTCATTTGCGCTGTCTGCTGATTCGTCTTCCACCTCCTGCGGGGGAATGTCTGTCGGCGTCGTATCTCGGCTTCTAGAGGAGCGCGGCTCGCGAACTCTTACATTAGAGACTTCCCTGGTCTTGACCTTAACATCATATAGATTCTGTCCTTCATTCTGCTTCCCAAAAGCCCCGAAAGGCTTCAGTAAGGGATTATCCGTTTTTACGCCGAGCTTACGGCGTCGTACCACCGTCGACGGCGCAGCACCAGAGTCCCCACGCGCCGACAGATTCCAGCGAATGGCCTCTTCCTCGAGCTGTCTTGATGGTGAGGCATCATCATCATCCCAGCTCGTCGAATCCTGTGCTGGTGGCGGTGGTTTGGCGGGCTGGCGGATTTGTTGACTTCTCTGGAAGACAACGTCCAGGTCAGGAAACTCGTCTTCACTGGACGAGGCAAAGTCGACATGTCCGGTCATGGTGATGCTGCTCGTGGCGGTTACCGTTGTAGGTAGGTACCGGTATGTTCGTCAAGCTCGAAAGTGACTCGCATTCTTACGAATGTTTGGGCAGAGTTCACGTAGTACGGTGCATATCCATCTGCGTTGCGAGGGGCAACCGCGGTGGGTGAACCTAGTTTTCTGGAACATTGCCCAATTGGGCCGACTATTGTGAGACACGCAATTGGACCAGCTCTGTGATAGTCTGCACCTAGGGGCAAGTCAAGTGTGTGTATCATAGATGTATTCCGCTAGGCTAGTGTGGATCTACGACATCCCATGTACCCTTCAGATACATGCCTGCCTAAGGCATCCCTTACAGTTACTAGCCTGGTTTTAGAAAAAAGATATCCCTATCTTCTTTTTTTAGATCTATAATACCCTAAATCTTTTTCCTTTATTTACTATTCCTCCTTAAATTATACTTACTTATAATATATATATTATAGTATAATATATATTATATGTTTTTAAATATTATACTAACGTTTAGTAGAGGTACTTACTTTATTACTAGTCCTTAATAACTAGTTTAACTAAAGCTATAACCTTTAGGAGCTAATAAAAATTAATATAAATATAAATACTTATTTATATAACGTTATATATATTCTCTTTTTATAAAGTAGAAAATATAAATATTATTAGTAACTTATATTACTTACTAATAATATATATTTATTATTATAATATAAGTAATTCTTTATAAGCTAATATTTATATAAATAATATAATATAAAGAAAATAGAATTTTATATATATATATATATATATATTAGTATATTAGTATAATAGCTTTTACTATTTTATACTACTATAATAATTAAAAATAGTAATAATTAAACTAAGATATAAATATAATATAAAAAAAAGTATAAAATTATAATTATAATCTAATTACTACTAAATAAAGTTAAGGTATTTATTAATTAAGATAAGTAGGAATACTATACTATATATAAAAAAGAAGTCTATTAAGTAGTAGTATTTTTTATTTATAAGTATAGCCTAAGTAATCCTTTAGAGTATATAGTCTGCCTTATATTAAGTAGTATTAATATATATTACTATTAGTAGTCCTACTTAATTAAAGAAGAATAGTAAAGAGGCTAAGGTCTATATATAATATATAGGCTAGCGTAAGTAGATATTACTTAAGTTCTAAGATCTTTTAGATAAAGTAGACCTAAATAGATTTTAAAAATTCTAATTATTAGGCTTAATATACTTTAAAGTTAGTTCTCTTATATTATTTAATATAAGTAATAATATAAATAAGTTAAGATTAATATTATTAGTATCTAATAGTAAGTGTTAGGTAGTTAGTTATTAGATTTAATACTTTTAAGGGGTAATTAGTATATTTACACTTTATATTTAATTCTAATTATTAGTCTAGTTAGTTACCTTACTATTTAATAAGTATAACTGGTTTAAGAGATATTAACTTAATATTATTCTAGCTAGTAGTATAAAGAATCTAGCTAACTTTAGTAAGAATAGCGTTTAGTTTAGTAGGATATTACTTACTTTTTAACCTTATTTCTTATTAGGTACTATATTTATATCTATTAAATTATATTATTAAGTTAGATTACTTAAGGTTACTTTTAGTTTAGTAATTAATATAAAAAAAAGTAATAAGCTAGAAGCTACTATAGTATAAGCTAATATAATCTAGGCTATTATATTATATTATAAAATAACTTAAGGTAATTAGGCTAAGTCTATAGTTAATTAAGTAAAAGATAATAAGGTATAGGCTAATACTACTAGATTTATATTAGTATCTATAAGTAGTAAGTAAGGTAGTTTAAAATCTTTAAAGATTCTTATTAACTAGATTAATTTTAAACTTATAGTTAGTAGATCTTAGTTATTAAAGATATTTACTACTACTACTAATATTATATAAATAATATCTCTATTTCTATTATTCTTAAGAAGTAAATACTTATTATAATAAATCTAGAAAACTACTAACTATATATTAGTATATTTAATCTCTTATCTTATTAATAAGGCCTTCTTAAGCTTATAGTAATTTAAGAAGTTAGTAAGATTAAGGGTTATTTTAGTAATATAAGCGTTAAGCTTCTTAATAATTAAGGTCTTAAACTATTTAAGCCTTAATCCCTATATATTAGGTTACTAAATAATATAGTATATAAATTTAATTTATTTTTATTAGAGCTTAGGCTTACCTTTATTACCCTTATTATTAAACGCCTCCTTTTAATTTACTACTTTATTTAGTGCTATTATAAGTTATAGCTAGAGGTGTTAATAATATTAGTAGCGTTAGAGGTGTTTATATTACTATTTATAAAATAAATATATTATTAAGTAGATATATAGAAATAAGTAAATAAATTATATATAATAGCGTATATACTTATAGGTATAAGTAAGGGTATTAGTATAAAGTAAAAAGGGTTAGTAGGTAGTTAAGAAAGAAAAGTATAGAGGTGTATAAAAAAAAGAAAAAAAAAAAGAGGAGGGTAGGTATTTATTCTTTTTAGAAAAAGAAGGTATTACTTCTTTTACTAGAAGTAAGAGGGAAAGAACTATTATAAGTTAGTTACCTTTATAGTAGGTATATTAATATTTAGAAGGTATACCTTTTTATTAGTTAATAAGATATTAATTAATTTCTTAAATACTTTTTTTAACTATTAGCGTTATTACTAATTATTAATAAGGGTTTTAAAGACCTTATCCTTAAGGATTTATACGTTATAATATAAATTAAAGTGCTTATATATAATAAGATACTAGTAGCTATAAGCGTTATATTATACTATCTTAATATAGTTAGGGATTATTACTAATTCTTTAATATACCTTAGGTTAGTAATTTTACGTCTAAAGGGGTCCTATATACCTATAGGTTTAAGGTAGTTAACTAATATTACTAGGTGTATTTTCTATATCTTAGGAATATTAAGTTAGTATACTAATCTACTAATCTAGTTAGTAATATAGAATAGCCTTATATATTTTATACTATATTTACACCTAATAATATTAGCCTATAGGATTAGATATCCTTAGTATATTTATAATATAATATAGTTACTAATATTAAAGAATCTTATAGTATACTAGTAGTTATAGTAGTATTTTATAGTTATTAATATAATTACTAATATGTTATAAATTAAAATATAGCTAGTTAGGGGGCCTCTTAATATCTAGTTATAATAAATAATTATAAGAATATTATGTAGTATAAATCCTCTTACTACCTTATTTAGTACCTATCTTACTAATATAGCCTTTAAGTTATTAATATAAAATTAAATATAAGAAATTAACATTAGCTATCTAGCTAGTAAATTAAGTAAGTTAATATAATATTAAAGGGCTAAGCTAATAGATTAGATTATATATTTAGTCTAGCTATTAGTCTATAAGTAATATACTATTATATATAAGAGTGTTATACCTACTAATTACTATATCTTATTCTATATTACTAATAAGAACTTTAGATCTTTATTACTAATAATTACCTTAAGATATCCCTAGTTAGTAGTTAGGAGTTAGTGTTAAAGTTATTATCCCTATATATTAGCTATATCTAAAGCTTAACTTAAGATAATCTATACCTCCTTTAATAATTTATTAATAGCTACTAACGCTAAATTAAATTAGTTAGTTTTAGAATTTAAGATTACTAAAAATAAATTAATTATAATTATATAGTATAAGTATAAGGGTAGTAAGATAAGTTATAGGTTACTATATACCTTATAACGTCTTATTTAGAAGACCTTACACTTAGGATAATATAGGAGGTATTACTATAATAGCTTCCTAGCGTTATATATATAGTACTAATTAAGGAATTTAGTTATATATATATACTTAATATAATTCCTAGTGTAAATAGATTTAAAAATATCCTTAATATATACATAAGGGATATAAAGCCTCTAGGTAATATTATCTTAGTCTGTTTTCTATATAAGTCTATTATTAATATAAAATAAGAGATTAGCTATATTATCTTATAACTATTTATTATTTTAAATAGTATAGTATATATAGTTTTAGATTAAGTTACTATTATATCCCCCTTATAAGTATTATTTAAATTCTGAAGATATATAGTATATTATAGTAATTAGCGCTTATATTAGTTATAGTAAAATACTAGTAATAGTTATTAGTATTATAAGTAAATTATTTATTAGTTTAGGGGTAATATTAAATACCTTTAGGTAAGCTAGAAATATATATTCTTATTTATTATTTAGTATTATGTCTAATCCTCTTAACTTATTATTATAGGGTTTATTATAATTAGACTTAAGTTAACTAAGGGCGTCTAAGACTAAATAGTCCTTACCTAGTTTATAGCAGATTATAATATTAAATTAGCTAAGATACTTAAGTGCCTAAAGAAGCTTCTTATTTACTATTATTTAGGCTGTTAAATTTATAATATTAAATATATAGTAAGATATTAGATCTATAATAGCTTTATAGTCTATATATATAATAATAAGTAAGATATTTAATAAATAAATCTAGTGTTAAGCTTTAGTAATAGCCTAGATATATTTATAGATTTTAAGTTCTATTAACTAGTATCTTTTTTCTACCTTATTAAGTAAGTATAATAAGTAGGTAATTAAATAGACTACTATATATAAAATAGATATAATTTTTATTAAGTTACTACCTATATTATTTATTAATAATTATAATACTTTTTAATTTATATAATAAACTATTATACTAATTCTATTTAATAATAAGTTGTTAGCATAACAGGTAAGCTAGTCTCTTAGATAGAGAATTCTAGCTTAGGAGAATATAAGAGAGTATATCTCTTATATAAAGATATATCCTATAGAAGCAAGAATATAAGATAAAAGGGAGATATAAATACTTATACCTAGGGTAGATAAATAGAGGATATAAGGATATATAGTTAAAAGAGTGTATAGTAGTTAGATTATTAACTATTT